TCCTTTCTCGCCCCAAGAGTCCCTTCGATTAATCTACAATTGTTCTTTCCTCCTCTTCTTCTCCCTCGTACGTTCGTTACTGTTTATAGATTTAAAATATGTACTTGCAAAGTTCTTATAAAATATTTATTTATATAATCCGTTACGCGCGCGCGCGATATAGGGTTCAAGGTTCGGGATCGCGCCACGTGACCGCAGCTAAGCGAGATCGCTTGGGTCGAGTGAGTCTAAATGTCCGTCCGTTCGATCCGGATTCGTCCGTCATTGGTCGCTGGTTTACAATCGACGCCACCACAGCTGTAATAATAATAATAATAATAACAACCGAGTCGTCGACAACTGTAATCGTCCGATGTAAAAATCATCTCATTGCACGTTTCCTGCTTTCCTCGGGGGAGAAGCAGGTATTTATATAATATTAGATTCTCCTATCACGCACACGGAAAGAAGGGATGTATATGTAGCAGCGGGCATTGTTACGCACGAGCTCTCGACATTGTGCGGGGCTTCGAGATTCAAAAATCTCGACGTGTCCGACGCATTCGACGGAAAATACGATGTTCCACGGGGGTGAGATTCTCACGAATTTACCCCTTCTCCTCCCCTTCGGAAACCACGTAATTGTGTGAACTTTTCCTCACAGGGATTCGCACGCGTTCCTCACGTTCTTCGGAGGAACCGGAAGTCGTTTTCTGAATCTCGAGGCGTCGCGGCGGCACGCAAATGCATTCACGAGGGGGCTGAAATATCTCGGCAAAATTCTGCGGGAACGAACCGCCGAAAGGTCACCCGCAGGAGCACCATCGTGCTCTAGTGGATAAACAAAGAGAGGGGGGAGGGGAGAGGAGAGAAAAAAAAGGAAAGAGAGAGAGAGATGAGATCACGTACAATTAAATAATTAATTGGGACAATAAATAATAAACCGTGTGAATAACTTACATCCTTCCCCTGTTTACATTACAAACTTAACGGGGATATTTAGGCTAGACAGTCACGATTTCGAAGAGAGAAACGAAAGAAAGTGAGAGAGAAAGAGAAATGTACAGTGTACATTAATAGTCGATTAATCAGAATTATCACGTGCGACTAAGCAAATCTGTGTAAACGTATTTACGAGTACTTACGGTTTTTATATCCGTAATTTATATCCTTTATATGTGCGCAAAGGTGCGGAAGTAAACGCGAAGGAATGACAATGGCACGATAGTTTAACAATACAAACGCGAACAAAGAGAAAAATACGAATGAGAAAAGGAGGGAAGAAGGAGGAAGAAGAAGAAAAAGGAGGGAGATGGAAATAATGAATGGTCGAGAGATGGAAAGTGAACGAACAGATCGTGAGGTAGGGATACAGCACGTGCNNNNGGGGGGGGGGGGGGGGGGGGCTCGCCTGCTTCTCGTTATCACATATTTACAAGGAGCCGCCTGTCGTGAGCAGCCGTTCTGAATAACGGTGCGATTCATCGTCATACGATGCCGCACGTCTGATTATAAATCACAATAACTCTCTTTTACTGAGAAAAGTGCCTCCGAAAGTTGCTTGGGAACCACCTAATCGGCCGAGAAGCCACATTTAAACCGGGATCTACAATGAAAATTTAAGGCGTAAGATTTCGAAGAAATTTATCAATCATAATTGATTTTTCTTTTATAATTCAACTGTAATTGGTAAATTTTTTAAGTCTTACGCCTTATTAAATTCTCATTGGAGATGCTTGAGGCATCATTTCTTTTTTCGATAAATGAGAGTTCAGAATACTACGGGCTTATGTGTCATGCGCATATTGCACTGATCAAGTTGTCGCCGATCATCGTCGTCCTTGTCGTCGTCGTCGCGTTGCAGCGGCGCTAAGTGACCGAAAAAGAGAGAGAGAGAGAGAGAGAGATTGCCGAAGTTTATTTCGTGAAGTTTCTCAGAAAGGTGAAAACCGGTTTTTCCCGTTTGCGTCACCGGTCGAAGTAAATAAGATCTCNCCCCCTCCTGCTCTTACTTCTCTACTTTTACTATTCATATCCACAGATCTTTACATACACGCATACACACATACACATACACCGTCGAGGTAATCGTCAAAACATCATCCGGGGCTGCTCGACTAGGAAAAAAGAGAGAGACCCGCTGAGAAACCGACCGACAAATTTCTGGGCTCCGCTGGTGGAGACGCGAACGATGGCCCCGATATTTCCAACGGGTTTTCCTTCTCTTCCTTTGAGGGAGTGGAAAGGTCTGAATATGCGAAAGATCAATGAAATTCGACTTGTTACTACAAGTACAGGTGTCGATTGAATATAGAATTCCTTTCGTGTGTTATATTGTTGTATTAACGATATTCTGGCAGAGCAAAGAACGAAAAACATTCCAGAAATGCCTATTTCATTGCAACAGAATCTAAGTAAATAATACCGTTTGAACGGAGCTCAAGTTAGACGGCAGAAAATTGAACACGCTTTAATAAAAAAAAAAATTATCCCAATACCTTTGTTCGTTCTTGAGTTAAGTTTATCACGTATACAAGCTTTTGAGCTTTTTTGCCAAAACCATAATGTACACCACGGGTGTATAGATCGGGTCGCAACAGCTCCACATGTTAATATTCCTTAATTTTTTTAAATATATTTTTATTAATTAATACATAGTACAAATAACCTATTAGAAAGACTTCGCGCTCGATTAATTCCTATACCTGTGTAGTAACGAGTTGAATTTCACCGGTTTATTCGTAAATTTAAGTTCTCTCGTCGCCCTTAATCTCGCGAAAATCGAATTCGTCATCGACTCGGATCAAATATCGCGGAATATCGTATAAGAGACGCTCGCGCGCGACGCTTCTCGAGAATATCCGGAAAGCGGAAGAGCACGCTTCTTCTTCTTCCCGGCGATGAGGGATATAATTACGATGATACGTCTCTCTACTACTGTCAATCATTTACGTATGACATATACACACATATGGTCGTTATAATCGCAGTGCCTCGCAATAGTCGCAAACAATACACCTTGTACGCCGTATATGTTGTCGTCGTCGATCGTCGTTACGTTAAAATAAGAATATAAAATTAAAGATCTATCAACAATTGTACATATCCGTAGAAAAGGTCTCCGTGTGAGTAAGAAAAAAGTCTTCTCTCTCTCGAGGAAAGTCAGATCACGCGATCGACTTTTGAGCTCTATCTCTCTCTCTCTCTCTCCCTCTCTCTCTCTCTCTCTCTCTCTCTCTCTCAGACAGAGAATTTCAGAGACATCTCTGAAACAGGATTTCCGCCTTTTCACAATACTGTATTTAATAATAAATCCGTCAAAAAAGAGTTTCGTCTCTAGTCGAATTTTCGCTCTTTTCGTATAAAAAATTCGCTCTCGAGTGTATTTTGTACAAAAATGTCTCGCGAAATGTTCGTGTGAAATTTCTCCCGTTCGATTCGAATCGCATCTTTCTTTTTAAAACCACCTTTATTAGTCTAATCTCGACGTCTCTCTGAGCATAGACCAGTGAAAGACGCTGATTTCCGAATTTCCCGATAATAAGCGGGCGAACGAATTCGGCAAGATCGACAGCCCTAACGACGTGTCTACATTCCTATTCTGCGAGCTGGCTTTCATAATTACGGAGATTTGTGCAGACGAAGCTGAGACAATCGTGAATGCCTCCGTCTTCCTTCGTCTTCGGGCAGATGCAGAGAGGTGAAACGCCGGAATCTACGGTGCTGCACGTTTGTTTGGTCGACGCGAGACTGGACGGCCAGCCGAAAGTGGAAAATCTCGGCCGACTATCTGAGCGATACGGGGGTTTACGATTTATCGTTCCGAAATACGTAATTTATTATTATCGATCTCATGATTCGCGTCGTCAACGGCTCTCTCTTCGTTACACACCGAGACTGTTCTACTATCTCGTAATACGTCATATACGTGCGTACAGATTGTGTGAGAGAGAGAGAGAGAGAGAGAGAGAAAGAGAGAGAGAGAGAGACTCAATTCGCAAATGTGATTCCAGAGTGATTTTCCCAAGAGAGGAGGAGGATATTCGGTGGCAGTCGGGCCTCTCAAGTGCGAGTGTCGTCAACAAGTCCGTCTGTGTGTACCTCTCGCTAAAGGCTCGTCCACAATGTGCTCGCGCAGGCTCGCGTTCTCTTCGGATTCTTTTTGGAATTTCGGCGACTGAATGATCGCAGCCGCTGGAATCGGAAATGGATTGACTCGAAAGATTATGACTACACGAGACTACACGGCCATATCGTAGACTTTAACGGTAAATCCGGATATACAACAGTATGATAAATCTTTAATCTCTTGCCCTGAGCAGTAAATTGTAATGTAATTTTAGCGAAAAAAACGCCTCCAGCGCCAGCAGACGTCGCAATTCCGAAGATTTAAACGTTGTATCAGTGACTTTTGTCGGTGCGGGATACGTTTTCAGAAATTATTAGCCTAAGTCTGCAATAGGTATTTTAAGCCTTAAGAAATTGACCAATCACAGTTAATTATTCTCTTCGCATTTGACTGCGATCGGTTAATTTCTCAAGGCTTAAAATACCTATTGTAGATCGACGCACTTTCGTCGCTTAGAGCAAGAGGCTGAAGACTGAGCACACCCATCGCGGACCATCCGGACCAACACTCGCACCTCTCGGAGCGCGACTCAGTCAACAGTTCCCCGATACGCACGGTAGAACTCATTTATCGGAACGCACGTTCCGTTCCTTACACGCTCGTTGTCCTGTCTGAATTAGTCGTCTCCGATAACGATAATAAAATTGTGGTGTCCGAATAATAATTGGCTATAAAACGCATCTCGTCAGAAAGTAACGCACTTGTGCGCGCGTCCACGAAGTCGCAGGAGTCTGATCGCGGTGGATCGCGGAGATATCCGAATAAAAGCAAACCCACAGACTGGATTTGAAAAGGGGGGAAAAAAAAAGAAAAATGAAAAAAGAGAGAGAGAGAGAAACTAAGAGAAAAAGAACTCCGCGATCCAAGCGAGACCTTCGTAAAACGTGGGCGGGGGGNNNCCTGCTGAAATATGCGCGAGCAACGAGGAACAACGACGAGAGAAACAGAAGAGTCGCATCGAATTCTCGCCGAGGAGTCATCGTCGCTCCGTCCTGTCGTGCCCGACGGAATCATCATCCTCACGAATGGCTCCAGCTTCTAGCTGCTCGATCGTCGTCGTCTAAGGACCGTCGACGGGGAGTAAAGGGGGGAGGGGGGGAGCGGAGAGCGGAAGGAATGGCCTTGTCGCGCGCATCTTCAACAGCCCGTTCACATATTGTACGCGACGTAGATCGGATCGAGCTGGTCCGCCAGGAAGCCGTCCCGCAGATGCATCCGCTGCTTCTCGCCGCGCGAATTGATGGGCACGACACCGGGGTCCACCACCACCACCACACCCACCACGAGGTGGTGCTCCTCGAGCACGGCGCTCGTCACCAGAGCCACCAGATCGAGGGCCTCGCTCTCGCTGCCGTCCAGCTCCACCACCACCACCAGGAGGTTCGTCCATGTGAACACGGCGCTGAAAAGACAAGGCCGTGCTATATACACCGGTTCCTCCTCGGTCGTCAGAAATTCTCAATTAAACCAAAATGAAATTAATCTTCTTATCTACAAGAAACTTTGAGATACAGCGGGACCCCCTTCTCTCGAATGGGTCTCCCTGTAATGATTTTTCCAACCTATCTGACGAAAATCGCTATATATATATATATATATATATATATATATTCCTCGAAAAAATCTTTTAAAAAAATTGTATTCACTAAAGGGAAACATCACCGATTAATGATTATCTTCTTCAAGTAAGCTACTGATAAATAACTAAGAAAGACGCGGAAATTCTTACACAGACGTGGACAAGATAAAAAATACACTTAATATTTTTTCCGGGACACAACGAGCCGTATTTTTCAAGACCACCGCCGGGACACTCCGAGTGGGGTCGATGAAACTAATTCGTCGCAGTGAAACATCGGTGTGTGAGAAAATTCAACAGCTTGAATTAAACCCAATGAAACTCACCACTCCGCAATTTTCTTGTGACACCTCATGACGCTGTTCTCGATATCTATCGGATGGTAGCGCATACCCCGCAGCAGTATGGCCTCGTCAAGAGCGCCGACGACGAAGACGGCGTCGTGAAGCTCCGGGTCGCTCGGCACGAGGTCGGCCTCAGCGGCGGACGTCGTGTCGCCGGGCACGTCGCTGATCACCGACTGCTGAACGCTCTCGGTCCTCCTGAGGAAACCGAGGTAACCGGTCCTCGCGTAAACCTCGTTCGTGTTGCCGGTGACCAGCCGGGCGTTGAAGTGATCGGCATAGTCGCTCTCGTCGCCGTAAATGGTGAAGTAGCCGCTCGCGTTGTGCGACGATTGCACCCAGATCTCGCCGAGGTGTGAGTCACCGCACTGACCTTTGGTCTCAGGGTTCGCGATGATCACTTTCACGCCGGGCAGCAGCTTGCCGGACTCCATCAGGCACAGGGAGTGCGGACTGCCGCGTTCGACCAGAGACACGCGGTCGTTGCGCAGCGCCCGAAGGTCCACGTAGACCGTCGACGGCTCCGGACTGGATGCACCCTGCCGAGATGAGTTTTGAAAATTCAATTATCATATGCACAATTACTTGGTTCCACAATTGATATAACTGAAGATATAGATATTCATGAAAATGATATGACGATGCTCTAATTGACCCATCGAAGCACACATTTTTCCTCCCGCTTAGTTTGCATGAAATTTGATACCCGGTGGTTTGAAAGAAAAAAAAAACTGTCCAAATATAGCAATGAAAATTTTATCGACAAAAATCTGAAAGAGAAAAGGTAGGGAGTATACTTCCCACCGTGCTTTTAAAGGTCAACGTTATTACCTGTAAGCAAATGGCAGTGTTCACTCTGCAGCCGAACGAAGTGGAGACGGCGCGCGGACTTAGACCGAGGGCTGAGAACAGTTTGCTGAAACTCGTCGTCAACGCGATACGCGGCCTCTCCTCCGCGACGACGACGCACGTCCTCACGCATGCCAGACTGACTCCTCGCGCTTTGAGAGTGTGAACCGACGAGCCGAGCCCCTTCGTGCACAGCTCCATAACACCGTACGAGCAAAACGTGTCTCGCACCCTCGACTGGCTAACCGCCGACAACCACAGCGCTGGGTTGGCCTCCACCTGGTGGACAATAACGGAACGGATAAATTATATATAAACGGTCGAGAAAATTATATAATAATATATGATTATACATGGAATTTCACAGTAAAAATCACTATAGAATTTTTTATTATAGAATTTTTGAAAATGATACATTATATATATTATGTGATATATATTTTCAAAAAATATATATCGATAACCTGTCTTAAGGTCGAATTAATAAACGTCTGTGACGCAGAGGCGATCCTCAAAATGTAACGTTGTGACCTTCACGTGACCTTCGAAAGACTATCAAACCAGTGACACCGTTTTTTTTACCTCCTCCAAACCATGCCAACTTTCGTACGAAACATTATAACGCGCAAAATTTCGAATCATTAATCATCGAAAACACCTATGTATACAGGTTTTTTCAAATTAATTGACCAGCAAAGAAGCTAACCTCGGAGGGCGGTATCAGTATGGAATGATGCCCGCTGTAAATACTGCTGAGGCACCACAAGGCGAAGCCGAGCCCCGAGTACGGATCCAGGCAGAGAGCGATGTGCCTGGAGGGGTAGAGTTCGCACGCCAGTTTCATGGCGCGGCAGAGCGAGGTGACCGCGGCGTGGGACATCTTAATGCCGGCGAGCATGCCCGTCGTCGAGACACTGAAGTCCAGGTAGGCCAGCATCTCAGCGGTGGGCGCCCGATACATCACCGGCAGCTTCTTCTTTGGCATGTCGTCCATATCCAGGATCATCGGCCAACTCTTCACGTCGACCACGTTGTTTGCTTCCTGCGACACGAGAACAGAACACGGGAATACAGTTTAACCGTTGAACGATGTTTCGTTTTCACGGGTGGGAAGCAACGGGCAGGGAAGAGGACTGAGTTTTTCGCCCATATTTCCGTGTACAACTGATCACTCGTACACGCCTTACTGTCCCGATCTGGTGTCCTATGACTTCTTCCTATTTCCATGTATCGAGGATAAAATGTTACTTTCCAGAGTCGATAACTGTGAGGGATAAGTTATTTCTTCAACGAGTAACGTGTTACCGTTCAAAAGGTAAGTCTGCCAAGGTCGTAACTAATCAGGTAACGGACGGACCGATCGAATTCTCGAGTACCTTTGTTTTCAGCAGCTTCAGGATGTTCTGGTTGGTCAGCACGAGAACGGACTTGCTGACGTCGACGATCATGCGAACGGTCGGCAGGGTCGTCTGCAGATTCTGCGGATGGGGCGGCCTGATGGTCACCGGCACAGCGCCTACGTACAAGCAGCCGTAGAACGCGCATATCAGATCAGTGCCGGGTGGGAAAATGAGGGCCACATGGTCCCCCGTATTGACTCTGCCGCGATCCAGCAGCAGATTCCCGATCCTCTCAGCCTTCTTGTGCAACTGCGAGCAGGACAACGAGGTGGCCACCGCCCCTTTCGCGTTCAACGACGTAAATATCACATGGTCCGAGGTGCTGACGGCGCGCCACCGTAGGATCTCAGAGATAAACTGATACTAAAAAACCAGTACACAAATTAAATCGCACGACCTGGTCCTCTTCTTTTTCAAGAGACGTAGGAAGGTTCATCGAACTTGTGATAAGTCGGTGAAATTCTGTCCGTTATTATAGATATAGAAAAAGGTTTATTTGGAGATCCCGAAGACGATGGCAAAATCTTGGATGGAGGAGGCCATTTATCTCCCAGCGAAGTGAAATTTCACCGAATTCTCACGAGTTCAAACCTTCCCCCGCTCCGTTTCAACACGAATCACACACACGCAAGGGCAAATTCGATCTACACGAGAAAGAGAGAGAGAGAGAAAAAAGCTGAACGTTTCGCCGAACGTCGATTCGGCGAGTCGAATCTCGTCGGATCGTTTACGAACCTTTTTGGCATTGTCGCTGTCCTCGTCGAGGACGCCCATGTCACGTCCCTGCGCTGAGGCCAGCCTGTTACCCTGGACGATGTTGCCCACCATGACACTGGCCGGACCAACATCTGCAACAGAATCCCCCGCTACACGCCCCCGCACCACTCCGTTAGTAAACCAACACAAACACTCAACCCAATAAATGAGTAGCTCACACACTCTCCCCTGACTGAGGCCGGCTAAATCAAAGCTACAGCAAGTCCGGTTCCAGCCATATCCCGTCGACCGATATATAAAGCGGGTTCCGTCATCAACGGCGCTCTCTTACACACGGTTTGGAAACCCGTCCGTGGATGTTTCTTTCGACGGACACGTCGAGACATTTTATCTACGATTTTCCAACGTTTTCCCGGACCACCACGAGGATTATCCAAAGCTATTACGTCACGCGACACGCGGATCTCTTCAGATTACGCGAGTCGGGACACCCTCGCACGGACTCTCCCACGGATGCTTCCCGAACAACAAGAATTACTAGACTCGCAAATCGCCGCTACAGTCCGCAGATCCCAGACCGGCTCTGCGTTTACGGTGCCAACGTGAGGTCGTGAAGGAGGAAAATCATAGGAGAGGCGTCTCGGATGCGAGAAGCTACGAGAAACGTGTCTTCTTCTCCGACGATGAGAACAGCTAAGGAAAAAAGGCGAAACCCTCTTGCTGATGTCGCGCTAAAATTAACACTAAGTGTTTGCATATAATAACAGGGTGCTGGTACGGGAGATGTTCGGAACTCAGCCAAAAGAAAGAGGGACAACTGAACGGTGGTAACGTGCTAAAGCGTAATTAAACGTGTGAAAGGTTGTTAAGTAGAATGCCGGGTGTCCGATTACCTCGTGTCTCTCAATTTCGCTTTCCTTCTCGAAGGAATTCTTAAAGCTCCTCTTTCTTCGACGGTGATTGTCTGGATTGAGTGTCACCACGTTTTAATTTTACGCTTTTATCTCACTTCCAACATCATCAAACAAGACGATCGCAATGAAGAAGTAGGACTCAAATTCTCAAATAAAATTTTAACATCGAGAAGTCATGACACGACGTTACCGTACACCTTATGCAGTGTCTCAAAAAAGGTAAATTTATGGTATTTAATGGTGAGTAAACGGTGTGTACGCGATACTTCGCAAATATTCAATTAAAATGTTGAATTATCGTAAAGAGACGCACAATGCGTAAGTAAATCTTACTGTTACGACTTTTACGCGTTTTTTTTTTTTTTGAGACACGCTATTGTTATGTAGATAAATAGAATCATTAGATAAGTGTGTGCCAAATCTCTGAAGCCTACCAACAATTTCGTACAGATGCACGGACACTTAAGTTCCTTGGTGCTAATAAGAGTTCTAAAAACAGCGTAATTTGTGATTATCATTGCATCTTCTCCACATCTTCTCCTATCTCTTTCATTTCCTCTTCTTTTCACTCCCTTACACATATACACACACACACACACACTGTCTTTCTTTCTCTTCCTTTCTTATTGCTGTCCTTGCAACAGTTCATAAATGTAATCGAAAGAATTTACATCTTATCTCCAAACCTTATCCACCACATCATTCAAATATGATCAACTGGTAAATAATTTCACAATCTTTAAGTAATTAGAAGAGGCTATACTAAGAATAGGCGCTAGTAATTAGTCGCGAAATTAAGAAATTACTTGATTCACAAAATCGATGAGAGTCTAATATCCGAACATTTCGTCCGTAGGTTTCAGGCTCTTTGGTTCCTGAAAAGTACCGACTGCTAATAATTAATTGCAAAATTAAAAAACTTGTCTTACAAAATAGATCGAATCAAATACCCGAACGATTAATTTCGTACGGCAAAAATTTCAAATGTCAAAGACTGCGGAAATATGATGCGATAAGAATGATCATTCATCTATCTTTCATACTTTGCCAGAATAAGAATCGCACAAAAAATGCCCTTTTTCCAGGTCGCAAGGTAAAAAGGACCCTCGAGTGACGATTGTCACATCGAGTGATCGGAAAGATCTCAAAGACTGCTGCCACACTTTTTACACTAATTACAACGCTCAGTAACGGATTCCGTTCGCAGAAACACTTGCCGGCGTCCCGTTCGTTCAGGTCATCACGTCGATACCTGTCATCCGTCCGATACCTGTGATCGTCACGATAGATATCGACGTGACGGACCACCGCCTATCCAGTGATTGCTTTTTTCCTTCAGTTACCTGAATGCACTTCGCGCGGTTTCGGTAGATTGGTGACGCAAGTGTGGGGACAGAGCAGCACGTTCGCCGGGTGCAGGGCGCCCTCGAGGAAGCGACGTTTCGTCTCCGACAGATGGATGCCCCCCAGCGGCGTCTTCGGCAGGTAGTTAGGCGGCACCAAGGCGAGACAGTATATTCCCACTGCGTGAATCGAATCGACCGCCTGCAGCACCCGGGACATCCACTGGAAGCTCTAAAGCGTGGAAAAGAGAAGGATTTCCCTGAGGACGTCGAATGATGTTTGCAACAATCGCACTTTTTGGCGGCGAAAAAAAGAAAATGATCAAATAAAAACCGCCATCTCCGTGAGAAAATCACCTCTCTGTGATGACAAGATGACGTGAGATTTAATTCACACACACACATACACACACACACCTCTTCCTCGCTACAATCCGGCCGCTGTTCGGCGACGACGCATATCCTCTCGTCCCGGAGGACCCTCACGCTGAAAACGGCGATTCTGCCGCGGTAGATGAACTTCATCGGCTCGACCGCCAGCACCGTGGCGATGATGTCGTCGGCATTGTGCTTCCTGCCGGTCACCGTCATCAGGCCGTCCCGTGAGCCGCACACGAAGACCAGCCCGCCGGGGCCGAGGAAACCCAGCAGGCCGGAGCGCGTGTATTCCACGTCACCGAGGGACGTATTGTCCGCCTGCAACGGCGACACCTTGAAGGTGTTGTTAGTGAGTCCTTGCAGGCCCCAATATTGGCTGCCGGTCGCCGAACTGTGCACGCAAATCTCCCCGACCTCGTCCGTCTTGCAGATGAACGGCTGGCCCTCCATCTTGATGACGACTACTATACCTGTGAAAAAGCGGTAAGAACGGATCGTCATACCGATGCCCCGGGCTTCCCCTCGAGTTTTTGCTCGACGACGTCGGAAACGGGGAAACACGCGCCCGCTTCCGGGCAAATTTAAGCAAAAAAATATGTCCGTCGAGTGGATCGACTAGGTGGAGGGGGGGAGGGGCATACATCTAGAATGGTCGGGAATTCCGGGCACCCATTTCCCCGCTACCGGCGTCGTCATTAATCAAGACGGTCGACGTTGATCGAAGCAGCAAAAGCCTCGAAGAAGACGCCGTGTCGCGGATATAACGAAGAGAGGAAGAAAAAGGGGAAACCGCTCGACGAACGGCCCTCCAGGAGAGACTCACTTCCGGGCATGACCTGTCCGCAATCCTGCAGCGTCAACGACGTCAGGGAGTTCTCCTGATCCACCCTGACGACTCCGTAGCTCAAGCCGGACATGGAGAGGACCCCGCGACCGGTGGCGTTGACTCCCGCGCGGCCCGGCCTCCTCACCGAGACGGTCAGGGCCTCGCTGGAGGAGGCGCACGGACAGACGGCGTCGGGCCTGAGCCCCTTCGACTGGAATACTGAGAGAAACTGGTCGCACGACGACAGGGACCAAGGATTCGCGCCGTCCGCGACCAGCAGCAGCCTCAACGACGCCAGAGAGACGTCCTTGTGGTCCTTGGTGGCCAGAAGGCCCCAATGGAGATCCCGCGACTTCACTACGGCGACGCTCGCGCGATGCTTCGTGATCATCTGCATCCAGCTGGCGGGGTTGACCTTCATCAGGGCGTACGGTATGAAGATGACGTGCATACCGTTGAGAACGCTGGTCAGCGTACTGTGCCAGAGGCCGACCTCCCGCTTGAAGTCCAACACGCATACCGCGTTCTCGCCCTCGGTGTAGCCGCAGGCCTGCGTCAGGGCGCGACAATGGGCCATCATCGCCGATCTGGTGATGGTGACGCCCATCACCGAACCGTCCTTGTCGGTGGTATACTCGATGTACGCGGGCGTGTCGTCGGTGAGACGCGGCGGCGGCAGCCAGTCCTTCGGCGTTTTGCCCAGATGCTCGGTGACGAACCAGTGCAACTTCGGCCAGCCCTTGAAGGCCACCACCTCACCGGCCGCCGTCTTCGGCAGACCCTTCAGACACGCCTCGCTAGTCAACGCCACCTGGACACACACACCGTAGGATGTTAATCGCTCTTTCACTCGAGGTTGCAGCCTGTACGAGGTTTTCCATTAGGAGGTTTCATTAGTTAGGAAAAGAAGCGCGCTCCAATGTAAATTGCGCGATGCAAATCGGGCGAGCACGGCTAAGATCGAGCGTGCGAACGCAGGAGGGAATGTTGTCGAATGCCGGATAAGGGATAAAGCGCGAGGTGGGGGACGAGGTTCACCTGAATTCCGCAGCTGCCCAGGAGGAAACCGATCTGCTGGGAGCCGGCGTCGCGACGGGTCAGAGGTACCTCGATGGGCACTGGCACGATACCGGCCTGCAAGCAGCCGTAGAAGGCGCACATAAAACTGATCGGGTCGTTGTTCGGGTAAACCAGGGCGATTCGGTCGCCGGGTTTCAGACAGCAGTCCCCGCCGCGACTTAGAGCCTTGTTTAGAAGTGTATAGGCGATTTTGTGGGAGCGGCTCAGCAGCTTCCCGTACGTGAGCGTTACGCAAAGCTTGCCGTTGGGGTCGAGAACGGTCGCCACCGGCGCTTTGTACGTCGCCGATCCATACCTGAAAAGCAAACACGGGCCAACTCATTTCTACGTAGATCTCGCAGAGAATCCGGGAACCGTCATCGGTATGTGTGAATGAACGGGACGTGGTTTAGTCAGCGAGGACTCACCTCTGGATAGCGGCCTCGAGGGACCTCGGCAAGCCCGACGGCACCGAGAGGGCCTCGCCGACCGCCGACGTCATCGAACCACCCTCGGGTTTCGGTGCGTTGGGGTCCTTCGGATTCGCCGCGATCTCCAGCTCGATGTCGTCGTCCTCGTAGAACTCGGGCAACGGCCGGCGCTTCGGCCGCTTGAGCGTATTCAACAGCTGCTGGATCTTGGCGGAAACCTTCCAGCGGCCGGTGGTGCCGGTGCTGTTCTGATCCTCGACCACGTGATAACGGTTCACCCGGTCGGCGCCGGGCCGCCGGGTCGCCGACTGCTGCTGCACCGGCGTGCTGCTCGTGTGGGTGACGTCCGGCGGCTGGATGTTGCAGTACGCGTGCGGCGTGTATTCGGCGATGTCCGTGATGTCGCTGCCGGGCGGCCTCCTCGCCGGCGGCCTCGGCGGCGGCGGGGTGTCCCGGGCGGAGCCGGTGCTGCTGGTGTCCGAGAGGCCGGTACCTGTCGAGCAGCACCAAAACCTTGAATGTTGCGCCGCATCATCGATGACGATTTCACTCACTTCGCGCTGCTTTGTTTTTCCTCGCTTGCCGGCGCGCACGACGACGACGACCGTGTACGCGAGTTTTCGTACGCACGGAAAGGGAAAATTGATGCATATCGATCGTCGGTCGTCCGGCGGAAACAGTCAAGGACACCGCGCGACATCACGGCAGCCGCCGGCATTTACGGAGTCACACGGCGCGTTCGAATTACCACACAGAGAGAAAAAGGTCCCTTCGGATTCGGTATTTCCATCTGTTCGGCTAAAATTCGTCGCGCTGACGTGTACTTGCGTACGGGATGTTATTCCTTCGAGGAGAAATTTTATCGTCTCGTTCGAGAAAATTTTTACATTTAACGGAAAGAACGCTATTATTTGAAATAATATTTTTCGATCGAATAAAATACTATTCGGTTACAATCGGTGTTTACCGGCATCTAGATAAAATTATCCAAATAATCATCCAGATGAATAAATAGATCGATTGTTAGACTCGGGTGTGCCGGAGGGTTTCTCAGGCCGCTGCATCCGAATCTGAAGTAAGATTGTCAAAATTCAAAAAACGGTGGATTCGACACGGCGAATCGCCATAATTTGGAAGAATCCGTTGAACTTCAAGAAAATTTCACGGTCTGATAAATGAAACGAATAATTCTCTACGAGAAAATTATCTTTCGTTTCGAACAGACTTTTTTCTTTCAGACAAATACACGTGTTCATCGAAGAGTCGAACAATCGTACTTATTGACCGAATCATTGGTTTCTCCGGAGCGCGCCGATGATTTGACCGGATGCGATAATATCGATTAAATTCGAAGAAATCTCTTTCTCAGTGTACGCAATACGGTCTCGTTTTTACGCCCGTCTTGCGTTTCTCCGCTCCTTCCTTCGACATCAAGTGTAAGAGAAAACAGGTGGCGCAAATTACAGCTCGCGACTTCAAGCGTACTTGTATTGTACTCCGACACTGTCGCCGACTGCGTCGTGTTCAATTAAACGAACGGCCGCTGAAACTCGCGAATTGTTACTCAGGCCTGTATTAACTCCATGGCTGCTCGAGTGACTCATATGTGCGCATAGAAAAATCGTGCCACTTTTGCTTCGTGACACGTGTATGAGCATCTCGAGAAAAAAATAAATAAAAAAAAAACATTTATGCTATTACAATTTGACTGCACTCGGGTGTATCAAAAGGTTTCTGAGGTCGCTGGATCCTGACGTTGTAATTTCAAAAATCAAAACGGCGGACTGCGAATCGGAACAAATATCTGAATTTCAATGACAATGGGCGTGTTAAGGTTTCTGAGATCGCTGAAACTGAATCTGAAATCGGATCGAAAGAACGGGCCCGGCATGGAGGATCAAGATTCGTAAACATACTTGAATTTACATAAAAATTCGTATCCTATGGTTTTTTTAGGTCACGAGGAACCGGAATCTGACGTCAGATTTTCAAAATTTGATACGGCGGGTCCAAAAAACAGCGGGAGAAAATGCAAAACGCTGCTTCATTCGGACGAAACTCGGTAGTCGATGGTACGCAGATTACGAGTTCGAATTCGAAGGTAAACAAAAATGACTGACGGAAACAAACGCGGGGACAATACCGGTAGGTCCGCCCGCGCCGGGACTTTCCTCGGTGACGACGCTGTCCTCGTCGCTGCTGGATTCGCCACTGTCGCGTCTCTCCCGATCGGGGCTCCTGGCCATCACGGAGGTCCTTTTGGACGGCATCGGCAAGGATGGCTTCGGCCGTCCTTGCATCGCTGCCAGCGCTTGCTGCACCGCCTCCTGGCGCACCTCTAAGCACCAAGAATCGATTACGACGGAGGCGGACGGATAAAGCGAGAGCGGATGACACGCCGAGAGGCACACTTCATCCTAGCTTCCGCATTGTCATCCGTTCATCATTTATCGTCATCATCATCATCATCGTCGTTCCTTCCCGAGCGCTATTTATATACGTACGCGTTCATCATGCACACTGCGCGCGTCGTCGCACACTCGCGTCGATCACTTTTTCTTGCTATGCACACTGACAAGGAATCTTAAGGGTGAGAGGGATGGGGAGAAGGAGGAGGAGAGAGTGTCCTCGCATGCCGTCTCATAAGTGATACGTTTGTTTGAACACATTACACCGTTTAAAGATAAACGCGCGACGTAAGAAGCGTCCTGCAAGTGTCTCGTTCCTTCGGCGATTCATTAGCGATTTCGAAAGCGAATCGGGCGCCGTAGTCGCGCGGAAAAAAACAATTCCGTTAGTGTGACTGAATTCTTCGTTGCCTGGGGAAGGCAGCCAGACGAAAACTCGGTTGTAAGGACGGAAAGATTCTCGCAGGAGGTCTCGACTCGGTCGTAATTGCTTGTCTCAACCGGATCTTAATGCGTATCGATTATTCACTCGAATATTCTCAGTTCAGCTGCGGTAGCGGAGATATTCATTTCTTGTCATCGAGTTTTCATCTGTTCTCTATTCAAAAATAAACCTGAGACCGGTATTCATGGTCGAGAGTCTTATATTTAAGATCGTCGTATCACTCGAATTCGCGTGACTTTTAATTCATCGTGTAGAATGATCTATATTTTAAATCATCAAATGAATGTTTCCACGCGAAATTCAAGAGCGAATTCTATCGTCTTCCGCCGTCACAGGGACGAATTCACTTTAATGGACTGAATCACTCACTCGTGCGGAGTCGGACTCCATTCTGAGCTTCGAGTGAAACATCCATTCTCTCGCGATCTCGAAGCGGCAGTATCTTCACTATCGCTCCGAGTGAAAACACCGCCACTTTCCATTCGTTTTGAATGAGATTTCACTTCACAAAAAAAAAAAACCGGAGCGACCGAGTGACTCGATCGAAAATTCGAGTGGTCTTTAATTTTCGTAAAATGAATACCCCCTTCTCTGAAACACCGTGAGTGAAAATGTTTTCGCGCGAAACTGAAGAGTGAATCCGACATATACAGGGTGTCCCAAACTAATCCTTGGTTCCCGTGGTGTGCAGGTAGAACGGGTGAAACTTGTAGATCAGACTGTTCAAAATAAAAAAGTCTCTCACCATTTTGCAAGTAATCACGCAAATTGTTGAGTTATTAATTAAAGAAGCCTCTATACACGGCCATTTTCAATCATCGAAATGTCGCGTGTTATTTGTAAAATGATATTAGGACTTTCCTGCACAGTTTCACCCGTTCTACCTGCACACGAAGGTTAGCTTGAGCCACCCTGTATATCTTCCATCGTCATCGCAGGGACGATTTCGCTCCTCGCAATTTCAGATATCTTCACTGATCTCGCTTCGAGTGAATTTCGCGCTCGCCTCGTGCGCGAGATTTCACTCCGAGAAACTTACACAGGTGATGCAAACGTGAAGAAGCTGTAAGAGCGATCCCGCGATCGTTCCGTGACACTCATGGACACGCTTTTTACGTCGTCAGTTCGACTATTCGTAATTAGGGCCGAGCCTCGTGTTCTCCGTCTGTAATATCGCGCCGCCGGCCGGAGCACGACAATAGGGTACATCCAACGCGGCCGATGCGCCGCGCGTAAACTGCAATATAACGCAGGTAATATTCACCGGTCACCGGAGTCGCCGTGCATTTCCGGATGAGGCATAGCCGCGTATCGTTATTACGACATCATGCAACACCGACATCACACACACACACACACACACACATCGCGATTTGTTACTCGCTGCATTCGCGCATACAGGGTGTCTCAATCGAGCGTACACAATGAACAGGGTTTCCCACTGAGAGGTTTCATGTTACATTTCGCGCCATTTTTAACCTATTAAAGACAGAACCGTCATTCCTTAACGGCTGACGAGTAAAAGATATTTACGGTTGACGAAAATGGATTAACGATATCGCTCTTCAGCAACAGCATAGAAATTGTGAAAATTCACTAGAAAAATGGTAAAAATTTCGCCGAGACAGTTCGCCAAGTTCGCATTGCCTTCTCGTCCGGCAATTGTTAATCTGATTAGGAAATTTGAGCGTTTAGCTCGAGTTAGTAGATGTAAAGACCTCAAACCCGTGCTCAGCCAGCCAGATCAACCGTATTTTTTCGAAAACGAAGTCGGTGTCACCGTTTCGGTGAATGGGCTGCGTTACCGTAACGATGCTGACCGACTTTTTTCGGCCCGAGGTGGATGATTTGAACCTGGACAATGTTTATTTCCGGCAGGACGGCGCAACGTGCGCCGCACAAACAGCGAAACAATCGCGTTATCGCGCGTAAAGTTCCTTGTATGTACATGATTTCTCGACGCGGAAACTTGAATCGGCCGTGCGATTTAACACAGCTGGATTATTTTCTTCTGGGCTGTGTGAAGGATAAGGTCTACGTCAGTGTTCCGCAAACGATTCGAGAGCTCAAGGATAATATCAAAAATGTTATTCGCGAAATCAGAGCGGCAAAAACGTGATGCGAGATTTCCTCGAAAAAGTGACCATTTGTAAAAACAAAAAGTCAAGGCGGCTATTTATATCAGATATCGTGTTTCACACTTAGTCGTACAGTTTGTACCTTGCATTGGAATAAGAATATCACCACACAAAAAAAAATTAAAATAAACTTTGTTTTTCTAATAACTTAAAATGAAACCTCTTAATGGAAAACCCTGTACAATTGCAATATCTCGCTTGAATCCACGTTAGTAATGTAACAGTCATAATCCTGCAAAAATCTCACGAACATTATTAGCGTGCGATGATCAATGCGAAGAAACACGAAGACGACTTATCGTCAGAATGAGTAAATCTCTTTCGTTAGTGGAGAGGAGGATTTGTCATCGTCGTGGTTTTGCGGTTTACAATTGCTACCTACGTTCGTAAAGGTCATTTATCTGAAGAGAGAGAGAGAGAGAGAGAGAGAGAGAGAATATTTCCTACGTGTTTCCTTTTGAGACGCCCTGTATACCATAGAAACATCTATCGACGCAGACGTTCGCGTGGACTATCGACTTATCTCCTCTACGAGATACAGCCCGTCGACACCAGCCGGTAACGGTGTACCAGGTGGAAGATTGCCTGCACTTTGCGTTAAGATAAATGAACTTCTCTCTATCGGCGCTTCCGAACTGGATTTTTCTCGCGGTCGCGCGAGAATTTCATTCGAAGGGGGAGCCGCGAAACGAGCGGGAGAGAATGGAACATGGTTCAGGCTAAGCTCTATTAAAAACCTATATATCAAGGCCTCAAACCAATCAAAAGGGACGGCGAAAAACTACGCAGATCCGTGAGATAAGGAACACCGTTCAACACACATCTTGCGGAAGTGACGTGGAGATACTTATCGTCTCTCGTCTGATCTCTGAAAACGATCGCAAAGGGCGCCCGTCTCGCTTAGACCTTCGACTTCTCTTTCCACACGATCTCCACAATATATATATATCAATTATAATTTTTTTCTACATATCAAGAAATTACAGGAACTATCGGAATCGCAAAATTTTAACATCAAATCCTAAAAAGTTAAAAATTCGTCGATTGAAGACCGAGATCTACCCGGAGGATTCGCTCGACAGAACGCTGAGCAATGTAAACGCTTTCGCACGCAAATTGTTGTAACCGTTGCAACGTAATACGTAAACTTCGACTGAAGAGCCGATCGAGATATTGCTTCAGGTTTGTATTGAAGAAGATAGAATTGACGGTAAATCCGTGATCGTGGACGGAAATAATCAGGACCCGGCTGATTATAATTCCTTTACATTTTTACAAGGTCGCTTCTAGCTTTTTTCGGAATAGGGAAAATCGCTGTTAGTTGTAAGGAGTAATCAATTGAAGCAACCCGGGGCGAGTCTCAGCTACTGGGCGGGTCCTCGGGTGGTCGATAGAGAAACAGTCCGCAGACTAGGAGCCACGATAGGAAACTTGAACCCCCCTTCCCCCCGAACTGAGGCGAGAGAGTTGACAGAACGCGGGGTTGGCAGAGCCTGTGGCAGGGCTGCTGTCGCTGAAAACCACAAAAGTTCAGGGACAACTTTAGCGAGTAAATAAGCGCTGCCACCGCAGCCAGCTGCAAGAATGATGAATATCAGATCAAAGGCTAAGGGAAGAAAAAACCCAGGGAGAAAAAACCAAAGGGGAAGGAAGGTCTCTCCGTAGGCATAGTTAAGCCGACCTTCCTCGAGAGGAGGAAACCTCGGATGAAAATCATTTTTCGCCTCTGGAAATGGCCTTTTGCCTAAAGAAATGACGTTACGATGTAGCGTTTGGGGCAAAAAAAAAAAAGGCTTGCTAATATCTATTGCATAACAGATCCAGCCTTGCGGTTATGTTAATTTGCGTGCGAAAGGCCTCGACGTTCCATCGACGTATGTCGCTGCCAGGGTGGCACTGGGAGACAGCAATCCCGCTAACTGGACAATCCAACATCCCTCCACGTGTACTCACCGGAATGGTATCGGCTCTCATTGCGCGTGAGTCTGCGATTGCCGCGTCTCGCGGCCGCCGCCGCCGCCGAGTTCCCGGTGTTCCCTGTGGAGCCGCCAGATCCCGGGGGACTGGCGATCCCGCCAGGCACTAGCCGACCGCCTGCATGCAACACAACAACAACAACGGCACATAGACAAAGATAGGAGGACGCTGCTACGGAGGAGTGGCAAAGGCGCGATCGCCGCGGTTTTGTCGCTGTTATTCCCCTTTTTTCCCCCTTTTTCTCCCCTTTCTTCCCTTCCCTCACCACATCCGGATAAACTCGAACGGCCTGAGGGCTCCCCGTTAGCGTTCCGGTATTGACATCGAGATTAATTAGAATTGGCACGTGAGGCGTCTCCCGTTCCTCTCTAATCGTCATCAACCCGGGAATAGTCTCACTCGGGGGGTCATTTCATATACCAGCGGTCGGAAAATGAAGCTCACGTCGCAGAAATTTTTTTTTACCGATCAGGAACCAACGTGTATCTTTCATTTGGACATTTGGAGAGGTAATATGTGCAATGAGAATAGGCTGTGACCCGTTATCCGTAATGCAAGCCTGTAAAAACGCATCGGGGTACAAAACGACCCCGGGTGATCGTTTAGCCCTAATCTGCAATAGGTGCTTTATAAGCTCCAAGCCTTAAGAAATCGACCGATCACAATCGGATTATAAAAGAATAATCAATTGTGATCGGTTAACTTCTCAAAGCTTAAGACTTGAAATTCAATTGTAGATCTAGCCTTACGTTAAAAAAAAAAAGTGTGATAATTCCCGGGTTAATCGCAAGCTCGATCCCGACTCCTTTCCCAGCTTGCGGTGGTAAGAGAGCGTGGGAAGAGCCGACGTCGAACACGTAATAATGTTAATGAGCCCGAGTGGAGCCTCGCTGGAAAAGTCCGAGGACCCTCGAAGGATATACTCAACGAGCGTTGAGGATCCTCGCGAATCCCAGTAGCATATTAGCGGTGTACCATGCGGTTAACTGCAGCCCCGCGCGCCAAGCTTCTCCAGGGATCCTCGACGCGGGGTTCGCATGCCGCGTGTTGTTTATCCGAATGCGAGGTAATCGTCTAATTGCGACCACTGACGACTCAGTCGTTCCACCATCGGATGATTGCGTCGTGCGCGTAGTGTGACGATCGTCGTATCGATCGTCGTTCATGGCTCTCGGCGCAAAAAGTACGCAGGACGAGGAGGAGGATCGTGGCGACTCACGTAGTGATTCACTCGGACTAATCGCGGCGATTTCGGGACGATCTCAGCCGCGTGAATTTATCGTCAGGTCGCGAATCACGCGTCAAATTACTTCGTCATCGAGCGACCGGCGTTCGCAAAGAGGCGACGCGCGAGAAAAACAGAAAAAAAAATAGGCACTTCCTGTTCTGAAGGACCTGCTTGCTCGCAGATGTGATTCAGCGTTTGGACGCGCGCAAAGAAGAAAGAAAGAAAAGGAAGGAGGAGTTTCTTAGACTGTCCGTTGATGAGTTTGCTGGTCCACGAAGATTAAAACAAAAAAAAAACGATCCTTCATAAGCCAATATTAATAAAATCAAATCAAATCTTACATATTTAAGACCGTTTCAAGTTCAATTTCGGATGCTGCACGGATTGTTTCATTGGTCACGAAGCATCCGAAGATGAACCCGAGACGGTCTTATATGTAAAATTAGGTCCACAACAGGGGGTTTCAAACCTTAAACCTTAAGAAATTGACCAATCACAATTGATTATTCTTCTATAATTCGATTATGATTGGTCAATTTCTTAAGATTTAGGGCTTAAAGCACCTATTGTAGACTAGGCCTATGAATATCGTCTTTAGACACTTCCTTTCGAAAAAGTCGATGAGCTATCCGCCGATATCAAGAAGATCGCGGCATCACCCCAAATCGAGAGAGAGATTCGCGACGTGCGTGCGCGCACACGAAGCTGTGATGTGTGCGACGACGAGATATCGGTGATCCGCGCGAGCGGGAATTTCTATTGACGGGTTAAACCCACGTGAAAGATAGAGGTATTGCGCGTTCGCGGATACACGACGCAGTCGGCTCAATAACGAGAATACCGATGGATGGCAGGCAGGCGGGCAGGCAGGCAGGCAGGTAAGCAGGCCAGGCAGAGGTAGGCAGATAAGTAAGCCGGCCGGCCGGCTGGCAGCGATCTTGAGTCACTCGAAGGTGGAACAACCGGTCTCTCGGCTACCGCCTGGCTATGTCAAATTACAAAGGTACCTAAAGGTGCAAAAGCGTCTCTCGAGGCAACACACGCGAGACAAGGATATAAAGCAGGCACATAGGCGCGAGGGGGAGAGGGGAAAGAGAGAGAGAGAGAGAGAGAAAGAAGAAGCGTATGTACGGGCGGGCGGAATTCGTTCGCAAGGTCTTCGATCCGCTCACGAACGAGTTTCTACGATGATGCAGAGAACATGAAAGAAAAGAGAGAGAGAGAGAGAGAGAGAGAATAAAATCATTCCGGGATCTCTCTCGTATCTATTTCTCTACAAATGTGCTAATGTGCACTACATGCAAATTGGAAGAAAGGATAGTTGGGGAGGGGGACAATGAAATCGATAACTCGACGGAGCGATTAGCCTCGAATCGCCTCTCGAGTAACGCGAGTTACTCCCCTGCCTGGGGGAAAAATGCCGCGATAACAAGCCGTAGAAAAAGGAAATCTCACCGCCATCACACATCTCTGTCATCAGACACATAAATAAAAGCCGTGTCGTGTCGAGTCACGACAATAATAACGACTCAACTCGACGGGGAAACGACGTTCTGTCTACTTTAGGAGTCCACACGGTGACCGGTAATAATAATCTTCTACTCTTCTCTCTCGTCGAAGAGACGCGCGGCGAAAGAAATCGGAACCAAGGAAAAAGGCGTGAGAGACATTGTGAGTGAGAGAGAAAGAAAGAGAGTGAGAGGGAGAGAGAGAGAGAGAGAAAGGAAGAGAGAGACACACACACACACGCGTAAATCAATAATCGTCGTGTCGCGTCCGCGAGTCCGAGTCCCGCGTTCGCTGGTGTATAGTGCGTGGCGCTACCTGAGTGATAGCGCTTCTCGTTGTGCGTGACACGCCGTTGCGTGCGCCGTGCACGTGGCTGCGGTCGACCACTGCCACCACCACCATCGCCACAGTCTCCTCCTCCTCCTCCGCCGCCGCCGCCGATACCTCCCCCGCTTCCGTAACCCGTTCTCTCCAGCCCGCCACCTCCACCACCAGCATTTGCAGCCCCTACGATCCACACACACAGAGGCGCACGTATGCACAGAGAGAGCACCGATGCATCGTTTCTCAAACACTCACTCACGCTTAACGCTTTCATGTATATGCCTTATCATTACGTAATATCCGTCTTCCGATCCGACCTTTGAATGAAATAAGCTGAACCAAGAAGAAGAACCGGTTAAGCAAAAGCTCATTTATTAAAATCCCTTTTAGGGACGTTCGCGTTCCTAACGTACATCGAGCTATCGAACGAGCTGCGACTCGTCCCTGGAAATCGAGGTTCGAGATTCACGAGTCATCTTTTTGTACGTTACCTGGCATACTTTTCTTAATAAATGTATGTTAAGGTCAGGGCCGCTGGAAAGGGATTCGTTAATTTGTACACCCTATTTATCTGTATATCCTATCATTTTTTTTTAACACTTCCTAACAATTTTGTTCTAATTGGGAGCGACGATATTACCTTCCAAATTCGTATTCCACGAAAAAATACACAATATTGTTAAATTTCCGCCAGAAATCGGTGAGGAATCAAGCAATAATACAGATTATCAGGTTAGAATTTCTTTTGTTAATAATTTCATAACAAAATCCGACGGCTGAAATTTTTTGCACGTTACTCAGCATACTTTTCTTAATGATATACATCAAGGTCAGAGTTGTTGGAGAAAGGTTAAAAAAAAAATATATATATATATATATCATACATATTTACCGATTTTTTCTTCGTGTATGCGTAAAGCCGTAAAGGAGAATGTCGGGTCGGCCGCGACAGTTACGACGACGGCTTAATAGGGGAGAAAAAAGAAAACTGCAGAACACACGGCTGCGTTTCGCCGCGGCCGAATTACCGGATTAATGTTAAGGGATTTCCCGTTATCCGGGCTCACAAGCGTGCCGGGTTAGAAAAGTGTCGCCGGCTCGGTACTTCGACGACGACACGGCGTTCACGACAATGGCAGATGCACGTAGCATATAACGAGCGGATAACGCGGAAGCGCTTCTTCCGCGTGCAGGTACAGTTAAACTGCGAGCCGATTGCAGCGGTTCTGCCGATCGCAGCTGCGGGCGCAAAGGCGCGTCCGCAGCAAAACAACTATACGGGGTGGGCAGCGTGCAAACGTACCGCTTTTGAACGTACCGCGAGAGTAGATTATCGGACGATAAGCGATTTATTCGAGTCGGCTAGCTTGAACGCGGGTTAAGCGAGACTTCAACGTCCGGGAGCGTTCGAAATTATCACTGGACGCCCCGCGATACTCGGCTGGAGCTTGCGCTCGTGCTTGCGGTCCGTTTGACGTTTTACGTCCTTTCTCGATTTTTTATTATAATAATAATTTAACGAAGCGATGACGACGTAGTCGGCGACCGAAAGGCGACAGCAGCGCCTAGACTGAGAGAGGAGAAATAGAAAATAATAATGAATAACAGATAAAAAGAAAAATTTGTGCTGGAAAATATACAGGTCTTTTTCTTTTAGAACCGTTCAGCTTTTCGCGAAAGCAACTGTTCATCCCGTTTATTAAATAAACGAGAACGTAGTATTTAATATATATTATTCATATCCGAGTAAATATTTCGAAATTCTTCGATATTTTCTGTCAGTGTGATACGGGAAAAATCCTGAAAAAATCAAGGAAACAACGGACGCTGAACTGATCGAAAGTGTTACAATTTACAAGACAGAATACGACGATACGTGCGATTAATGATAACGTCATTATGTGGCTGAAATGCATCTGACGGAGGCTACCTACCCGGAGGAAGAGACGTCCTGTGACTCGCAGGACGCTCGACTGATCCTGAGAAGAAGATTCCGGAGGGCCGGAACTTCAGAAATATACGGGACGGCGGAGTTCGCGAAATTGTTGAAAAACGGCCGCTCAACCATGAGAAGATTAAATCGACGCGGGTAGTAACGGAGCGCATCGACGAGGCGATGCGTCCCAGGAATGCGTTCTCTCGCGCGCGGGCCGGCATAAATGACGCGTGGAAATGTCCGGTCGGCGATTCCGTCGCCGGTAATTTGCAGCGATAGAAGACGGAGTCGCGTTAGCGGTGGCGACAGTTGCGGTAACGGTTGGCGACTCGGAAACGACTCGCATTACACTCGGAGCCCGCGATAAGCGATGCGGAAACTCACCGCGCGATCAAGTGAGGCCGCGTTCCGATCCGTCTCGTGGCGGAGGTTTCGTAACAAAGCTCGCGAAACAACCGAACAGCGTTTGCCGGTGTCTAGGTAAAATTATCTAAATAATCATCCGGATGAATAAATCGATCATCTTTATCTTTATCTATACGAGAGAAATACAGAATATATTAGTCTGAATTTTTGCGGAGATTTCATCTCATCTTCATCTAGATGAATCTGAAATCATCGAAGGCAAACACTGCGAACGAACGAATGAATGAATCGCGAAATGAAATCGGCAAAATCATCATCGTTGTCCTGCGTAATTTCCCGGTTTTTCCTTCCACGACTCGCACGTGGCGCAAGACAGGGCGGGCGGAAAAAGTTTGCGTCGCGCAACGCGCGAGGTGCAAAAGCGACGCGTGCCGACACGAAGATTGCTCCTCGTCCCTTTCTCTCACGTGGATTACATCTACCATTGTACGTATAACGTACGGCGTGCGCCCCTTGAGAATCGGAACACGATTGATACAGAGTGAGCCCGTTGCGTCTCTCTCTCTGTGGCAACTCTGTGCGCGCACACCAAGACGGTGATGAAGGATAAGACCGCGACGAGTTAGAAACCACAGGAACCGGCTTTTTCGCTCGACGACGCTTCGCCCGATCGCCGGGACATTTCGTGTCTCACCGAATTTTATTCTCCGCACGCGTGTAACAGGAAAATAAGAAAAATCAGATGTACAGGTTCTGCGAAGGAACCCGATGAACTTTTGAAACATGTCCCCAGAGGTTATTACAAACAAAGAAGTTCAGGCACACTAAACAGCAAATTTAATCTATAATTAAAAAGATATTTATAAAAAACACATTCATATATATATCGCTTTGTATAATTAATTTCTAACTGTTGTAACTTTACAAAAAGTCAATTTAATTTTCAACTTAATTTTGAGTTACATTTTGATTGTGTAACCCTTAACGTCAATTTAATTATTTTTTGTGCAATTAACTTACAATTTAAATTTAACCTTTAAACTTAGTTTGAAAAAAAAATACTAACTCACTCAATGCTGGATATAATTGATTCACGGTGTATCTCGACTTTCTTTGCTAGAATAACTCCCAGAAAATTCTAGAAGTTTGTCTGGAAGTTCCCTCGCAAAACACTCCGTATGCAGGTATAACATAATTAAGTCTAACGCTGGAGCGGAGGTTGAAATTAAAAATTGAACGAGCATCAAAGTAGCGGAGTACTTTCAGCGCGACGTTGAATTTAGCTATCCCTCGTCTGAAAATTAATCGGAAAAGAGTAAAAGCCATGTGAGACGCGCGATGGATCGAGCACACACACATATATACGCGCACACGCACGAGTGCTCACACACACACACACACACACACACACAAGAGCGGCGATGAAAAGTGCGCAGACGATAATATTTTTACATCTCGCTGACTTCTAGCTGCGCTTCGTGCTGCATAGCGCGGATAATGCGCGATGATATCTCCCATATGGCGGGAATTTTAATGAGTTCTGGAAAAGCGAGAAAGAGAGAAAGAGAGAGAGAGACTAAGAGAGACTTACCTAACTGCTTCGAGGCATACTGCTGCAGTAGACGCGTCCGTTTCTTTTCATAACCTTTCTGTGTAATATCCCCTGCAACAGCGAGAAACACAGTAGCTAATTAATGGCCGATTTTAAAGAGCGATTTGCATTGCACGCTCGACATTGCGGCATCGGGCTTGCTTCGTCGTGATAACATAAACGGAAGCGAGCGAGCGAGCGAAATTCTGGCATCCGGCATTGCCGCGGATCAATCTTATCGAACCAACACTGCATTCCTTTTTGCCGCAAACTTATCCGCGATGCGTCAGTCGCGTTCGAGTTTACGACGACGAACAGATAATACTAACAATCCGCTTTCCATTTGTATGAGAAGATTACATAAATATTACATGGAAAACGGTTTCTCACGTTTGTAATTATAGTCGTACAAGTGAATGAATTATCGTCAGGAAAACTGTTCCTCTGTCGAGATGCAATATCATTAAATTCAAAATGTAACATCGAGTTACAGATGAAGGAGAAGATGAGGAAGAGGCGGATATAAACACGGGATGCGCTCCGTAAGGGAGTTAATTAAATTGGATTTAATCGATCGTGATTTTTCGCCTCAGGGGGATGCGATAGACCGCTGGATAAAGGGGCAACGATCGAACGGGCGTTTTCCAGGATTGAATTTTAGATCTTAGCTGCACGCTTGGCCGCCGGCCGGCTACGCCGCTGACGCAGCTCGCTCCGCGCGATGTAAAACTGGTTGGTTAGCGTACTCGCCTACCGTCACGCCTCGTAACTCGAGAAAACGTCGAAGAATCAATCTAATGGCCGAGACACGATTTTTCCACATTCGCGAAACGAAACCGGGCCAGCGCAATATATGCACATGTATATATGCAGGTTTGAATAAAATAACTTGGAAGTTAGTTATGTGAAACTATATATATAAACCTAATCTAACTATTCCTCTTCTAAATAAATATATATATATATATATATGTGTGTTATATTTATATATTTATATTTATATGTTTATAGTTTTGAATAATTAAATTTTAATTTTACTAAGTCAATTTAATTTCAACTTAACTTTTAATTAGTTTTTGTTTAATTTTCATTTACATTTAACTTAATTAAATTAATTGCACAGGCCACTAACTCCTATAACTTAACTTCGAAAAAGAAATTACCTGAAATATTTGAAATTATCAATTAAACGCATCATATTTAAATATTCGCGCAAAATAACTGTTGATCATTCATGAAATCAGTAATGATACTCCAGAATTGCAGAGCCGTCATCGTTTGTCAGTTTGACAGCTTTACGTTTAACGCAATTTCAAACGTTACTGTGCCAGGGAAATGTACTAATGACGCTTCGTATGCACGGGAAAAAGGCAATTGAATCAGCATGACGTAACTAGGCGCGTGTCAGTGGGAGGAAAAGAGTTCCCCGGCTTTTTACAAACCAAATTCAGGTCTTAATACGTTGCCGACTGCGCAACGAGCTGTGGCTTATCAGGCTCTGAAACTACACATACTTCGTGAATACATACGCAGCACGCGGTCAACACATCTTGAGCTGAATTTTTACGATTCCTGTCGACATAAAGAAATCAAGAATTGAAAATAATAAATTTGGCTCCTCAATTTTCAAAAGGTTTAGATTTGATCGATCGATCGACAATCGCTGAGGAAAAGGTAGACCTGATCGGTCGACAATGCGCGTTGACACGTTTGCGACAAGCGTCATACATATGCGACGCGAACGATCTCTCACGAAAGACCAACACATCACATATGTATGGGCGGCAAAAATTTTTTTTTTTAATCAACACATCAAAGGCTATGGAAGGAAAACCGGTGAGAGATTGATAAGCTAATAAGAACCGTCACGGAACGCTGGACACGATAATTCAAATCACAAGAGCGGATAAAATTGCCCGACATTTTTCGTTTTGTTGCGTTCCACATTATGAAACTACAAGTTCCGTCTCTCGTAATTATGCGAAAAAGAGAAGTGGAAACCGCCAAATAAAGCTCGGTAGCGAGCGTGCTGAAAACCAGCAATTCCGTTTCCCATCGAAACGCGCTCAGTTACATTACGTGACGTTTATCTTTTGATTAAGCCCGATCCTCTATAACATCGTGAGCTGCGATCACGCAGGCATGGTCGAATAAAACCTCGTTGAAAAGGCGATCGCGGGAAACTGCAGTGCGGTTACCAACGTGCTGGCGTGGATCGATGCGGCCGAGCGAAGAATGTAGACGCATATTCGAGCGAATGAACTTAACGCGCAAAACCGCCGCGTAATTGTCGGCTGATTCAATCGAGTCGTCGAATGCAATTGTCGGATCGGCGAATCTGCGAGAGATTCAATACGTGCGGGTGATTGTCTCTCTCTCTCTCTCTCTCTATCTAAATTTCTCGGAGTGAAATCTCGTCCGGAAAATAGATCGATCCACGAGTCACTCGGATTCAAGAGACTTTTGGCTCGAAAATACCGCCACTTTCCACTCACTCTGAGTGAAATTCTACTTCGAGAAACTCAGGGAGCGATATAATTAAATTGTACGAGGTAGAATTCGGCCCGGGCAGAGATGGTAATTCATCATCATCATCTTACTAGGACGTTTCCTCAAGGACGAGCATTTGCGCACGAGGAACACCGGCTGGCCGGAGGCCCTTTTCAGCTGCGACTTCCGGCGCAGCGGTCTCCTGCGAATGCCCGACTTCTGCCTCTTCAGGTGATGCTGGCGCTGCTGCGGGAAGCCGGCGCAGTTCCGCCGGCTGCGCTCGCTGAAGCGATCGACGTCGTCGTCCTCGCTGTCGGTCGACGAGAGACACCTGTAGCCCGTGTTGGAGCTCTCGCTCCTCTCCTTGGCAACGTCCTTCGCCAGGAAACTGAGGAACTGGCTGCTGGCGAAGTAATTCCCAGAACCGGCCGCACTTGTCGTCGTCGTCGTCGTCGTCAGCGAGGGCTTCCATATAGCTCCACGCGCCAAGAGGCCGCTGGTTCTCAGCTCTTCGGAGAACAGCTTGTCCTCGTTGAAGTCGCTGATCTTCGGGACCGGGCAGGCCGACGAGGAGGACGAGGTCGCCGAGAAGGAGCCGAGCGACGACGAAACGATCGAGTTCAGGGCGTCGTCGTGGATCGGTCGCTCGTTGAAGTCGCCCGACAGCAGCAGCTTCTGATCGTCGAACTGGTCGTCCGAGACGTTCGACGACCAGTCGTTGATCTGCTCGAGGACCGGCCCCTCGTCGTCGGGGAAGTAGCGGATCTCCCGCCAGACCCGTCGCTGACGTCTCGAGCGCCGTCTCTCCGACGGGACGAACCAGACCGGGCTGCCGGCGCGAGAGGACTGCTGCTGCGACTTCCTCGAGTGCTGGGACGTCCTCTTGCCGCGCGAGCGGCGCGAGCTCGAGCGTCGGGACGCGCTGGTGCGCTTGAAGTAGCCCTCGCTGCTGACGCTCGGCGACGGCTTCGGCGTCTTGCGGCGGAACAGGCCATTTCGCGTCACTCCTGGCCGGAAATCCGCGAGTTTGACGATCCTAAGGGAGAAACCGAAAGGAGACGAGGAGTCCTTGCTGACCGGCTTCTCCGGCGCGGAGACCGTTCTCGCGACCGTCGGCTGCGGCTTCCTCTCCTTCAGCCCGCTGTCCAGGGAGTGATGGACCGCGGGATCCGCAGCCGGATAGGCGGCCGGCGACGGTACCGGCACCGCGTCCCTCCATATCCTGCCGAGGCTGATGCTGACGCTAGGCGGACCCTCGACCGACGACTCCCAGAGAACGTCCTGCCCGTTTTCCTCCTCCCGGGCGTGATCCTGCACGGCGATCCTGAATGGTTTCGCCCTCTTGGACGTGAGAATCGGCGAGGCGTCGAGCTCGAGGATCTTCAGATCCTCGGCGATCGAGTTCGCGTCGGTATTGCCGTGCTTGGGCGCGGCTTTGGCGACTCTGCTGACGACAGGCTTGCCTCGCTTAGGGATCTCCGCGTGATCCTCGTGGGGCTTCTCGAGGGAGGAGGAGCTGACCCCTTGCAGCCACTCGTCGTACGTGATGGAGTCGCGGCCGAGCGAGCGCTCCTGACTCTTCTTCGGCTCCTGCTGCTCGACCTGCGGGACCTGCCGCGCGATCTTGTCGTTCGCCGGTTGCGGCGCGCCGCTCGCCGCGGACTGCTGCTGCTGCTCCTGGTTCTTCTGCAGATTTCGATTTCGACGTTTGCCGCGGTCCAGGTAGCTCTTTCTGATCGAGATTCTCTTGAAGGACTCGCTGCGCTTGAAGGAGGGCTCGTTGCGGTCCTTCTTACGGCCCACGAGCCTCTTCAGGTTCTCAAAGGAGAGGGGCCTCATGGGGCAACGCGACCGGCCGCGACACGCGGAAGTACTATCGCTATGGGATTATTTATGTTGCTTCGAGATGGCAGGTCGGCCCGATCCTGCGGCGGGATCAATGAGGTAAGCTCGCTCCATGGGAGAGTTACGAGTTACCGGGACAGTCTCTCTCTCTCTCTCTCTCTCGTATGTGTGCGTGAGCGAGCTCTCGGGGAGGGAATGCGCCGCGTTCGGGATCTGGCTGATCGAGGGATTCGCGAGGGAACCGTGAGGAACCCACGAAAGCATGAATTTATGGAAACGAGCAGGTCTACGCGAATCCTTCCTCTCCTTTCCTCCTGATCGCGCTTCGTCCCGTTCCCCGTACCTATCAGAACCCTTCCCTCCTCTCTCTCCTTATCTCCCCCTTCCCCCCCCCCCNNNNCCCCCTTCCCCCCCCCCCTCTCTCTCTCTCTTGGCCTTCTTGCCCTTTTGCTCCCTCCTCTTCCTCCTCCTCACCCTCTTCTTCTCTCCCTCTATCTCTCTTTCGTCCCTTCTTCGTCGGCGCGCTCGCTAAGGTGCAACGCCGAGGTCTTCCAGTCGCGGGCGATCAGCGTGGCTTTCCTTTTTCGACGCCGTGCTGCTGCTGCATCGCCGCCACCGTTCCTCCCCCCTCCTCCTCATTATCTTCCGCTACTCTTTTCTCCCGTGCCCTCGGCAGGACGACCGGGATGATCATTCTACGAGGAGAGGAGATTCGGCCAAGTCTTGCGCGTCTCTCTCTCTCTCTCTCTCTCTCCGGAAAGTCTCGGCGGATGGTCAGTACGAGGATGCTGTATGTATCGGCGGGACGTCCCGCCTGGATTTATTCTCGAGCGAGACGGACTCGTCCGGCGGTCGAGCTTTCACGAAGCTGCTGCCATCGTGACTTCCCTTGCTAGGAATATTCAAGGACTTCTCTTTATCGGCCGACCGATGCGAGACCGGAGCGTTTCCTTCTTCGTACGCTTCACTTCAGGACCGAGCGATCTCGTTATTTCGAACTTTTGTATTATTATTACTATTGTTCACACGATACGCCCCGTGGACGCTTCTTCTATCCCCTTCCCATCCCGCCGCGACATCATCCGGACAACAGTCGAGTCAGGGTTGGATCATCGATCGTGCGGGTTTCTCGCAGATGCGAATAACTGAACGAACGAGCGGCCACCACGAGAGCACCTCAATGTCTGATCCAGGCACTTTCTCCGCCCTCGGACCGGGTTGCGACATTCGTCTCGCCCTTTTCCTCACCGTCGCGCGATCTCCACGCGGTCGTCGTCTTTGCCGACAACCTGCGGCGCGCTTCCGTTGAATTTGCCCCGTGCGGAAAGCTGCCGCAACTTGTGTGAATCAGATCCTCCACTTGTTGTCCCTCTTCGTCGTCTAACCAACGAACAAACCACCCATCGGAAACGTCGATCCGCCGTAACCAGTACCAAAGCACGAGTCTGAGTTCAGCGAGGTGGCGTATCTCTCTCTCTCTCCTCCCTCCTCTCTTACTCTCTCACTCTCTCTCTGGTTAGAGCGAAAATGCACCGTTCACGCTCGAGGCACACACTCCGAACTTGCCGGCGATCGAAGGTTCTCCCGTGAACAGCAGAACCGCATCAGCAGCACTCGTTGGAGTCGGAAGCACTCCGAAGCAAGCTCGCTCCGTTGATCACCGCTTCAAATTACCATCCCGACGCTCACGTAAGGTGGTAATGCACGCACACGTGCGCACACACACGTGTACACACACATACGCACTCACTCATTTCAATCAAAACCGAGAACACACACACATACCCTCTTCGAGACTCGCTTCGTATTTTCGCTTTCGATCGCGGCCTCTCTCTCTCTCTCTCTCTCTCTCTTTTTCTCTCATTCGTAGATCGCATGTAGAAACACACGAAACACACACACACACACGGACGGAATCCACTCGAGAACGCGCAGATCCGTCACGCGTGGCGCGTGAAAAAACAGCCGAATTCTCCCTCTTCGGAGGGAAGGACACTGTATGAACCCGGACGCAAAAGATCCCGAGCGGAGGAGTTCGCGTCGCGCGCGCGCGCGCGTTCGATTTCGCGCGGCGGCCGCTTCCTCGATCTGCGCCTCCTCCTCGGCGAGAGAGCGCTGTCGAGCCGCGTAGTTCAAGTCGCGTCGAATCACTGGCATTTTGCACGCTCTCCGCAGCTCTCCCGCGGGGAGAGAGAGAGAGAGAGAGAAAAAGCGCGAGTAGAACGAGTGAGAGGAGAAGAAGGACGAGAGAGAGAGAGAGAGGAACGGGTGTACGAGTGGGAAGCCAGCTCGCGCGTGTAAAAGTCATCGGACGGAGTAAGTGAGAGGAGATTGAACGCAGGAGCGAGCGAGGAGGAAGAAATGAGAGAGAAAAAGAGAGAGAGAGAGAGAGAGGAGAAGGAGGAAAGAAGAATGGAGAGAGAAAGAGAGACAGACGGAGGGACATGGGAGTGGTGGTGGTGGTGGTGGTATGCCGTCCGTCCACTCTCGCCTGCCTTCTTCTCTCGCAGCATCCCACTCTCTCTCGTTCCGTCCGCTCGACACCTTTGATCGCGTCGTCTCGCTCGTGCGGCTCTCCAGAACGGCTCTCCGACGCGGGCTCCAGCACTCGGCACTCGAGATCCGAGACTAACTCTCGGTGTGTCTTGCCTCCTTCTTCGAGAGCGGGAGAGGAGATGGAGGAATAGATAGATGGATACACAGGGTGTCCCAGGACACACCCGCGTCATCCATTTATGAAAACGGGGGAAGTGGTTTTTATCAGAAATCCTAAGAATTTCGGCGAGTAAATCGGTGGTATCGAATGATAATATCTTCGACTTCCAAACTTTTTGAACGGAAATAGGCTATTCAGATCGGAAGTCGATTTCTTTAGATGGGACGTGGTACTTTTTTTTTGTAGACTCGGGTTCTACGCAAAAAATTATTAAACTTTTGCACTAAGCGTTTTTTTTTTTTTTTTTTCGAAACAATGCCGACTATAACTTTCAAGTGACGTTTGAATTGATTTTCAGCGGAAGAAACGTTTTTGTATCATTTATTCTCGACGTAATTCAGGATCTACGACGAGGACGTGGCAGATATCAGGTCCCATGTATCGTGTACACTGTAGAGATAAGGATCCTGTAATTCGTCTCTTCCGTAATGTTTTATAAGTCCGAATCCTTTTCACGATGTGTATGTGTATGTATACACATCTATAAGAGAGTAGGTAACTTTGAAACGGGTATCGCAAAGTGTACAAAATTATATTGTTTTGAAAAGCTCTCGAGGTAAGCTACAAGAATATGCAGAAAAAAATAGGGAGGTCTGTTAAACAAATTTAAGGTGATCTTGTCCTGACCTTGGCAACGCCATCCAAGGTCAAACTGATAAGATCAGTAAATGGACCCTACAATTTTTATGTGAAACATTTTTCTGTAAAACTTATATTTTTCGAGATTTTTAAGGGCCCCGACCTTTTTGAGACACCCTGTACATACATACATACATTTATACATATATATAAAGAGAGAGAGAGAGAGAGATAGTCTTAAAGCGACATTACGAGAGTCGACCCTCCGCGGGACTGTTACAGTCCGTGGTTGTAAAACCCCGATATAGCGTATACGCTGGCTCGTCGATACACGAGTAAATAATCGTCATCGTCGTTTAACCGTAATCCCCCCTGCTCTCGGCTCGCACGAGAGCAGCGCGTCGAGTCTTCGCGAATCTTTTTCTCCTCCGCTCTCGGTGACGCTCCGCGGATTCCCGCTTTCGCGGAGAGGCTCTCGCTGAGGAATCGCTTGCCGTTCAAGCCGTTCTTAGCGCTCTATGTGGCTATCTGATAACGCGTCACTGCCCGTCCTCTCCGTGCGACGTAAAGAACGTCACCGTTCACAGAGTGGAAGAAATGCGCGGCTGAGAGCCGCGATAAGCCCGCCTCTCCAGCTGGAGGAAAAGCTTGAATTTATTAGTCGATTGCTCTTCGACCCTTCTCGGCATCCCCGACACACGTAGCTCGCCGGCCGAGATGCGGGCTTTTACTTTCCGCGAGTGAGATTCCCGACGCCCACGCGGCAATTGTCCCGCGAACTCGGACGGCGATTACGCCCGGGCACGGACGGACACGGCGCGCAGCGGTGCTTTTCCAACTTTCTCGTCGCTCGGTCTTTCCTCGCGAAAACGGACTCCGTTTATCTCGCGATCGCGACGCTCCCGCTGGAACTCTTCGCTTCGCGTGGATCATCGGGAGAAAACGATGCGCAGCGTACATCAACGTAGATCGCCGAAGACACTCGGCCCGTTTACTATGAAACTGTCGATTCCGAGCGTTACCAACAGCGATCGACTTAGATCGAGTGACGGGTCTGAGGGAGAAAGGACTTTGTACCGGCGCTGGAAGGGGGAGGGTGACTTTGATCTCCGATTTTTACGGACGTGTTCGATGCCGCTGATCTCAGACTCGGTGACGATGGCGGCAGACGTGAGCAACACGACGCCGTATATAAAGGTACGTATTATCAGGACGACGCGGAGGAGAGTCGCACAATAATGGCCGATAAGCGAGGGGGCGTGCGCGGACGGTGTTGTGAAGCGCGGCATCACTCAAGGCGACTCGAGGACGTTTACCCACGAAACCGGCGGCCTTGATCTTACAAAACGATCCGTGAAGGAGCGGCCGACCTCTGCTGCACCGCAGCTGCACCTGCATCGCGTGTCACAAAATCGTTGCATTAATCGACCCTGCACTTCGTTTTGTCTTCTGTGTCTTTCCCTCGCGAGACACATCGAAATTCGTACTTCGCGTCTCGCACTTGATCCTTTCACCGTCGAAGAGCGCGATTGTGTTTCGCGAGGTTTCTTCCGTCGCGAGATCTCGGTCGGGAAATGAAATCACCAGCGAGTCACTCGACGTGGGGTGATTTTTCACCCGTTTGTATTTCCAGTGAATCTTCCATTCCGAATAATTTCACTCGAAACTGGAAGAACGAATCTGAATCGCGTCCCATCGTCCATAGTAGACAGATTCACCTCTGATCGCTCGAAACGCTCGCTCATACAGTCGGAATCCACTCGAAATTTCAGTGAAACATTAATCATCCTTCGCGATCTCGAGCGACAATATTTTCATCCATCGGTTCGAGCGAGTGCATCGCCACTTTTTCAGTTATTCGAGCGAGATTCCGCTCTGAGAAATTTCGAAGGTATAAAAATAGTGATAATAATTTTGACAAACCGGGGAAAACCTTAGTGCGAACATGAGAAACTGAACGTAATCGCGGATGAAGCAGGCAGAGAACTAGTCTAGTTTCCAGTTACTGGAAATCAGAAACTGGTTTAATTTCTACACGGGGGACACGCTGCAAGAGTTAAGGTCAGCCTAAAGTCTGCCGTGTTCGGTGTGAAATTTTCGCAATTGATTGCTTCGAACGTTCAACGAGGTCGGCCGCGAAACGTACGGCGAATTTTCCAAGCGTCAACGCAACGTCCTACCGGAAGGAACGATCGTAAACGATACGCGTCCTCCCGTTGTTGGTTTCTCTCCCTCGATATCGCGAACGCACACGCGAGTTTCTGCAAAATGAGCGATAATCTTCAGGATTAGGCAATATCGTCCGCGCAACAACCGTCCGCGAATCTGCGGAAATCGCCGGGATAAACGCACGCCGTTGCCTCTAATTGGTCATGCCGCGCGTAATAACACGGCAATTATGAAATAGCCGGTTAAGATCGCTTTCTATTCTTTTTCTGGGTGAGCCGCTCGCGCGTACGCACGCTCGTGTTTGCGTACATATCAAGAACTAACGACTTAATAACACATCGCGGTGGTAAATATCCGGCGATAAAGGCTCAGCACGACGAAGATCCGCCGTCTGTCGAACGAGTCTTAATCACCCGGATATTACAAACGTAATAAAACTCCGAAGACCTCTGTTTTTAACAACAAATACATATAATGCAATAAAATGTCGGGCAACAGATGAAAATATGAAATCGGGATAGAACTGGTGGTAACGCCGCTGATCGGGAATTCAATTTTTGCCTGTGAATTTTTGTCGTTATCTAATATCAAAAATTCATAACGAGAAGATGGAAGGATCAGATTTCCCACGGGAAAATCCCGTGACACTTTTTTTCCATCCACCTGCTTGATCCTTAAATGTCAAGAGCACGAGCCAGTGTGAAAATACCTGACATTGGTATCCCCACCTTTGAGCGTGGCGAGATTCAACGCGAGTGTTCGATCTGACGACGGCGGAACTCCGCAAGGGCGAAGTATGTGCCGACATTTCGTCCCGTTCCTCCATTATCCGCCGAAGCGACCGCCGGTGATTAATGCGTCATTATCCGTCGGTTTTGCTTTCGAAACGAATTAGTCACTTTCTCGCGGTAAGCATAAAGCCTCGATTACGCGATACGCTTTTTGTGCGCGCCGGCCGGCTATTCGCCGGTAAAAAGGGTCGGCCGCGGATTGGGAATGTGGGCGCTGAGGAATCGTGCCGAAGAATCGTGCGAATCGGCGGAATCCACCGGTGGATTTTACCGACGAAACAATACCGACCGCGCATTCACCCCAAATAATAATCCCCTCTCTCTCTCTCTATCTTTCCCCCATCCTCTCCCTCCTCCGAAGCTGATTTGTGATCGCCGGGTGATTATCTTCGTGATTAAGCGACACTCAGGGTTTCCACGGAAAATCCGTCGATTATACGCGGGAAACACGTTCTCGGTTGGTGCAACTGAACGGGGGACTAGACGAAATTCGGTCACGAGAAATGATATCTCCGTTATCGCCGAAAACATTTGTCTAAACACTCGGTTCGTTATAGATAACTGCACGGGGCGCAGTTCGATAGAATAGAAATCTCCCACGGGGAACTTTCCGCCACTGATCTTTCAAGTTTCTTGGAAGGGAATCTAATTCGAAACAATTAAAAAGTGATAGTTCTCACGCTACGATACCCTATAACCGCGCGAGGATTCCTCGACCGCGTTCGATATCTTCACGATAACCACAACGGAACGTCCTCGAGAAAAGCGAGAGGGTTACGCGGTTGCCAGAAAACTGGCGCTCCGCTAATGACGCGCGTTCCCGTAAAAAGACCGGTCCTCTCGGTTTCGGCCGGGTTCCTCGCGAGCGAGGAAGGCGCGCGAGTTCCCGATCGATGCGCGAACTATTCCGACCTCTCGTTACGTCAGCGGATCGACGCGTGCGAAGGACTTTTATCACATTTCCAAGGAGGGACACCTGCCGTGAACAGAAGCAACGTCATCGACTCGAGAAGAAACCGGTCGCTTTCTCGTTAAAACAGTCCTAACTACAAATGCAAATAAGTGCATTCCCGAGTGCGTTATTACAACGGAAAACCCGAAACCTCGCTCGCTCGAGCGACACCTGCAACGAGTCGCGGAGCGTAATTTTGTAACAACGCCCGGCTGTAAGTCTAAAACGCGTACGGGAAGTTCGTGTTGACGCGCAGCACGTTTAATCCCCGCAAGATTTCATTTGCGAGCGAGAAAGAAATATTACGAGGTGGACGCGTGCGCGCGCGAAACGTCGCAACGCGCACGGAAACCGCGTGATCGTCGATGACGAACGTCCAGTCCCTGGCCATATTATTAGACGCACTTGGGCTCTTTAACGCTAAAACCACCGACGATTAACGCGCACGTGCTTTCTACCGGAGCAGTTCAGATAAGATTTTTGAAAAAAATCTGTGATTGAAAAACTGACAGAACTTTTGTAACAACTTAATAGAATGCAGGTTAGGAGGGGAAGAAAAGCTAGTTGTTTTTATGTTCACTCGATTAGAGTGAATTTCGGTGTCGATCAGCGCTTTTACCTCTGTAATCTTCCGAGGTGTCAAATGTCATTTGTTTCACCCACAATTTTGGTAAACAATAATATTCTTCGCGCAAAAATGTATCTCTCCGTCGGTATGCGAGGAATTGGAAATTTCGAGTCACAAATAAGCAGAAACAATATCGAATCACGATTGATCATTCTATAATTCGATTGTGATTGGTCGGTTTCACAAAATTTAAGACTTAAAGCATCTATTGTAGACCAGGACTAACGTGTCGTCGTGCGCTGAAACGACAACGAGCCCAAGTGCAACGACCGGGGGGTATGTCGGCTTACCCGCAGACTCGCGAATGAAGGCTCCGCAGGGATGTCGAAGGGGATGGACATCGGGATTGTCCGAATAAACAGCATAACGAGAAGCGTCAGGAGTAACATGCGTGTCCGTTATATCGATATTTGCGTGCACACCGCCGGCGCATCGTCGTCGTCGCCGTGTCCGCAAATCTCGAGAGATTCGCGCATCGTCCCTCTCGTGTCTCCTCCTCTCGTCGCATCGCGTCTAACTCGCCGTCTCGTTCCCCGCTCTCGAAACACCAACGATTTTCAATTAATCGCTCGGCGTTGGTCGTGTTGCTCGATATTTAATATGGAAAGAACCGGCGCGCCGCTGCCGCCGCGCGGCCTGTCTGCAGAGAATCCATGGAAAATCCTCGCATGCGAACGGAGACGGCAACGGCCGTGTAAGGTGTTATCGATTTTATCAACAAACGGGGACTTCTAGGGGATTCTGTCTCGATGTAACACACGGGGTGAGTCAGAGAGAGAGCGAGACAGAGAGAGAGAGAGAAGAGACGGGGGGGAGGGACGAGGGTTCGCACCGCGAGGGGCGGCGGATGATATCGCATCGCTCGCCGATCGGTCAAAGGAAAGAGATCACTCACCCTCGGACAGTTCGAGATCCAACTCGGCGAGTTTCTCCCGCACGTCCTCCGGGAGCTTGCCGATGTCGATGTTGTACTCGGCCATCGCTAGGCCATTCGCGCAGCACCGTGTTCGCGAGTCCACCAGCCGTGCATACCACGACCCGTCACCACCGCTCGGCCATCTTGCCAGCCACTGAGTACGGAGTGGCGCCGCCAGGCGGCGCCACCGCACGCGCCCGCGCATCGAATGTGTGTGTACGTGTGTGCATACGCGACAGGTGACGATTCTTGACGGACGGGCGATCACGCAGCATCGATACGTTGGAATGTCGACGCTTCGTTGTCGACGTATCGAAGGTCGAGGTATCGATACACACGACCGTTCGATATTCTGCTATTGTCGATATACGTGACCTTTATTTTCTTGTCTTAAGCCAGCGGCACACAATGCTTGCTTTCGTGCCGGATTGTTTGTTGGATAGAAATACTGCGTTTAAATAAGTGTATTATCATCCATTTTTGAAAATGCATTAATCAGAACGCAATATTTTTATCCAGCAAGCAATCCAGCACGAAAACAAGCATCGTGTGTCGCTGGCTTAATTCGCGAGTGCACCCGTACGCTTAAAAGCGCTTACAGCGCGTGAGCGTCCAAATGGAACGCACCTTACGTCTACGATTAGTACATCGTTTAATATAGGAGTGTCCTGATTGACCACGTTGCAGTCGACCACTACCAACCACAGCCAGCCGTGATTTGGTATTTTTCTAGTGCCGACCAATCGGCCATGATTGATCAATAGTCGCGTTCAGAAGATACAATGGTTGTACAATAGTTGAATAATTCGTCAATGTAATCGGTCTAAATTTCGGAATCTAACGGTGAAGACTAATAATCACCGACCGCTCACTGATCGCTTCGCGTTTTCCGAACGCAGCCAATCAGGTCCCACCCGGTGTGTATCCCCCTTCCCCCCCGCACGCTCTAGCGTGCTGTAAGAGTCTGAAAACTGGCATCATCGCTTTCCGTTTCCAACTCAGTTGTCCGCAGTTGCTCAAGTCGGTGGTGCATGTATCGGTTTGTATCGGCGTGCGCTCGCGAATCGCGCGCGTCGGTCGACTTAACGACGACAACGACAACGCGCGACGTTGCGCAGTAGTCGGCGAGCGCGAGAAACGTGTGCGCGCACTGCGACGTTCGCTCCACGCCGCGCGCTCTCCGAGCTCTTCGGAGCAGCCGAGCTGTCGCGACGAACGGCTGAATCGCGACAAATTGATCCCGCGCGCTGTATATTTCAGTTCCTTCGCACGAAGGCCGTATTAATCATCGCGTCGCAACGGTGTCGCCGTGTGCCGTAAGTATCGCTCCGATCGTCTTCGTAGCTTTTCCGTTCCGCTTCCTCGCACTTCTTCTCGTCGTGCTCCTCGAGAGAAAGAGAGAGAGAGAGAGGCTGAATTTGTTTGGATACTTTCGCGCTCAAAGCGTCATCCTGTCTTCATTGCTTATTATATACTAAAGGAGGAAAGAAAACGATGTTTTGTATATAGTATATAAAGAATTTTATGTATAGTATATAATATATAAAGAATTTTATATGTAGTATATAAAGAGCTAGATATCATTAGATATGCATTTTCTTCCTTCGATAGCAGACAGAGACATTTTTCCACGGATTTTCTTATTTCTCTCTCTCTCTCTCTCTTTCCCTCCATCGCCCGCACGTTCGCTCTTTCTCCCCGCCTTCGTTTCACTTCGACCACGAAGTTGATTGCTCGTAGATAAGCTTAATCATATACGTTCACTCACTTTTTTCTCTCTATGCGGTTATTTCTGACGTATTTGCACGCGCGTATCTCGCACTGATAAGCGGCACGCACCTGCGTAGCCTTGATTTTCACGCATTGACGCATACGAAAATTTTCCTCTGCGTCGTGTCTTCTATTCCGCGCGTCACTTCAGGTAAAAAGACGCACTGCGGCGACTCTCTCGAGGATGCATTTTTCCGAAAGCCAGAAAAGCTAAGAAGAATCGCAAAGCGGCGCGCCCGCGCGCTCTGCTTGCGTTGACGCGCCGGACAAATGTCCAAAATCGAGACGTAAGACATGTTTAAGTTGTCTTCAAGATATCGTAGTAAGTCGTTCCTGAGACGTCCTAGACACCTCCCAATTTCAGACACTGCGCTATGCTGGTTCGTAAAATCACCCGTAAAATCAGTGTTTCAATTACTCCCCCCGCGCGCTTCTACCCAGTACGACTCGTGACGCCCGAGGAGGGGTATATCGCGCTATCGCGAGTAATTACTTCGATAATTGCGCCTCGCGGTGAGAAACGAGCTCAAGTTGCTGCGCCGCTTAAAAACACCGCTCGCTCGCTGGTCGCCGTGAAATTATTTTCTTGCCGCCGCGAACTTCCGACTCGTGCCGTTTCAATGTTTTCTTCCAGCGTCGTTGAAGTTTTTATTCAATCTATGAGTGATGCACTTAAATACGTGCAAGCTATCTTTCAAGAGCGTGAAAATGGCATCCAAATTTCGAATGGATCCGATTCGAAATTTTCGCATTACATTGGTTAAACCTATAATTCTACAAAACGATAGGAGTTAAGAAAAGTATTGTTTCAAAAAGTCGATTTTTAATGTCTCTTGCTTATCAGGCGTCGTCGCGCCGAATCCATATAAAATCGCGCGTTACAATTGAATATACGCGCATAATATTTCCGTGTGCGAGTACGTGAACGCACGTGCTGCGTGTGCGGAAACGTCGAAACGATGAAATTAGCCGCGCGACATAAATCGCCAGTCTTCACGGACGCGCGAGCAACTTTATGTAATCTTCTGTAATGATGCCGCGAGCGACGCGCGCACACACGCACACGCGCGAAAGAGGAAGGTAAACTCGCATCCTTCGACGATGAATCCGTTGAAGAGATGAAGAAGAGAAAAAACGATGCAGCGATCTTTTAACCCCGGATTAGCGATGCGCGAAGATAATACGGCCGGAGTGACTCATTGCGGTTTACCGTAACCTCGGATTCTTCGAGGAGTATTTACGAACGTTATGATATACTCCACGCTTTCATTTGAATTCTCGACGAGATGCAGATCGAGCGTGATTGGATGCGAGATTGCGCGCCGATCGTGGAGAGCAACTTCACGGAAAATCTGTATTAATTATGCAAATTAATTCGGTGCCTTTGCATTGAACGTCCTCCAACTCCGGTTCGAATTAAAACTTTTCCCCGCCTCATCATACGATTAATCATTAACATGGGTTTATCGATAAAAATTACTTGTGTCTTCCTGTTCTTCTTTTTTTTTTATAAGAAATTTATCGGTCCAATTTATCGGGACATCCTGTATAAATTTGGATCTCGGTATATCCTAGTCGCGAGTCTAACGTATTACTCCGTTAGTATGTTACGTTGTTCGGCAAAAGTTGTTTTCGCTTGCACGCGGATATCAATGATATTTCATATTTTAAAACACTTATATTTCATTTCACTTTGTTCTTATTTATTTAATTCACTATTTCTCGGATTTTCTTTGCATTTTGCTTTATTTTTATCATATCATATATACATAAAGATAAATATATAATTATCATATTTTACATTATAATATGGATGCTTTATATTAATGGGATTTTTCATTTCCCAGATTGGCCGCGAGACCAACATCGAGCTGAAGAAGAACGCCCGGATTGACCTGTTCCGGGCATTTCTTTGCCGGAGCACACTTACCGCGGCTACTTAGCATAAGGCGCGTGCGGTGGACATCCGGGAAGTGACCCGAAGACCCGGCAATCGGTCTCAATCGAATCAACGTATCTCGACTCCGCTTTTTTTTCCCCTCGAGGTGCACATGAGTCAACAAGGGGGCAAGATGGGCCGAGTTCTCATTGACGAAGAGACGGGCGAGGATCTGATCCACCCGCTGATCGACACTTGCAACCATCAGGTCGACTCGACGACGACGGTGAACAATGCGGAGACCGGGGAACCGGAAGTCAGCCTCGTCGAGCAGAGCTCGGCGGTCAGAGGTCATCTCAGAAGAGTGCCGTTTCAGGTAACGTCGTCAATCGATCGGGGGTTTCGGGGATTTCGCACGATTCAAATAACTCCGTCGTCAAAATATCGGTGGTTTTCATTCGCGAATACGGAGCGTTTGTTGTCGGAATTGATTCACCGGCACGAGGCAGTCGGTATACAGGGTGTCTGAGAATTAAAGGCGCAATGCTTGCGCGGAACGAATCGAACGTTGAACATGGGAGTCACGTATCTCTGTTGAACTAGTAGGTCCGAGTCGTCATAATCGAACAGGATCGATTGGAATATTTGGTGCTTATTTTGTAATTAAACTGTATCGAAGGCAATAGATTTGTACAAATTATACATAAATATGAATTCGTGTCAACGAAAGCGGACAACGGAAAAATAGAGGACAGGTTTCCTTTTACGCTCGCATACTCGCATTCGATTAGTGGCAATTCTCGCGCTCTCGATATATACATATATACTCCTCGTGCGTCACGGACACACTTCGAGAGAGCCATATTTCACGTAGGTTCGGCGACTTTAATGAGGGTGACTTCGTGACGTCTGCGTTTAACCTGAACGTATTTATCACGCATCAATATGCGTGCTTCACATGCGTGTTTTCTAACTTACCACTCCATTAACGCTAAACGAGATACGACGTGACGGGACGGGACAATTTTCTTATTCGATTTACCATCGACGGGAGGGAATTTTTCCGGCGACCGTAATTCCAACGAAGCTGCGCTTTTCTGCCCGCAGATACCGAAAGAGGTGAAGAAAAGCTTGTCGGAGAAGAATTCGTCGAGGAAACGCCACCTGATGGAACAGGAACCGGTGCCGGCCGGCGCCTCGTTTGGCCAGATCAATCCCATCTGCCTTTTCTTACCGGCCATCATCTACTTCCGCTGGTTCCTCGCACTGTTAATGCTCTTCGAGGTAGACATGTGCATATTAAGTTTTTGGCAGTACTTGCGCAGATGCAGAATCGCTAAATTCGGCAATCCATGCCGGCGAATCTATTTGAAATTAAGGTCGTTCTGCACGTATGGGCGCACCACAAGAACAAGGCCCTGAAGAATGCCAGCGTGTACTTTCGCTCGCCGTTTCACGATATCTCCGCCGAGTTCTGCGCTCTCTGTCAAAGCGAGACCTGCATGAACCGCGTCGGTAAGATGCATCAGATCCGAATGCACAAGTTCCTGCGACAGTGCAACTACATGAAGAGGGTGGTGACATGAGAATTCGTGCGAATTCGGGCTCGACTCTCAATGGTAATTGATGATCAGCATCTGCAATGGTCGACCCGCGAACGGCCCGTGAATTTGTTGCAACTGTTCTATGTTTGTTTCTTAATACGGTGATAATTCTTGACGAATAACCAATCTAATATTTTGTTAAGTTTTGTATCTACTTGTTCTTCTTCTTAAAAGGTGACTCTTTTGCGCAAAGTTTATTCAAAGTTTATATCAGGTATTAAACATTTCGTAATACCACACACAAGGTCGAGTGATTTATATTCCTCCTTCTCTTCTAATTATTTGATGTACAAATTAATTCGGCGCCTGCATTGCATTTAACGTCTTGTAAATCTGCTTCGAATTTAAAATTTCTTCCTGTGGTGATTGGAAAGTGCCAATCTCGAACTTTGAGAAGCGTTATAACAGTCGACGGCCTCGTCGATGTGACCTCAGAAAACAGCAATAGTCGCAACGATGTTCGAAAAGGAGTATCCGAGGCACCGCGTCCTTTTTGAACGTTAAATTTGTACCCGACTCTTTTGTAAATAAACGTTGTATTTCATGAAAAAAGGCGCCGAATTAATTCGTACACCCGATACAATCTCGTAGGGACGTATATGATTAAAAGAAAAATCTCTCTAATCGAGATTTGGCTTTATGGATTATAAAATACACGTTACAATGTTATTCCCTGAATACAATTTATTACATAAAACACATACAACGTTCTTACTTGATATTGTCCTCTTTAAAATTCAAACTCGACATATATATATACACATATATTAAAGCGTAAAATAAATTACCGCGTTATCCTTTAAACATATCCTATTATTACATTTAACAATTACCATACTGATAACACAGACGACGTGTAGGTACGAAGAAAATCTCATTTAGCAAATATGTGAAAACATTTGCGTCGTGATGTTTAACGTTTTTCCGACGCGAATTAAAATTGCCTTCGATCGGTGCAAGAGAGCACAGAGTGTGTTCAAATACGCGTTAATCGTCATTATCTTATGTAAATAATAATTATTATTATTATTATCAATTGGTGTACATATTTTTTTCCGCCACTGTTATCATCGCAATGCTAAAATTTCCCTGGTGGCGATTTTGCAAATGCCGTGGAAGTTCGCGGTGAGATGAGCCCGCCAGAAACGACACCTGCTCCAGATTAACGCGGGATAACCCGGGCTGGAGATCCCGTGAAAGATACGAGCGACGGCGCGACCGGTGAACCTGGCGTCTCTGTAGCACAATATCAAGCTGCGCGCGTCGGCTGCGATCTGCTGCTCGTTCGCCACTTTGTCCTGCGGACAGAGAGTGAAATGAAGAATCGCGCGACAATAAGTCCAGAAAGCGTCAAGCATCGTTTCACGAACGTGTCCTTTCATTTCAACAAGTATTCCGCAAGTATTCCCCCGCTTCTGACGGCATTAGTCAAGACGGGGCTGCGGGCAAGAAAACGGAAGCCTCTGGAAGCATCTCTCTCGATTGAAAAAAAGAAGAAAACCACACCTGAAAACTGATGTCGACGTCACTCAGAGGGAAGTCCGATTGGAAGTACTTCCGGACGGTTTCCTTCAGTTCGTCCGATCTCCTCGTGACATCGTCGTCCAAGACGGCGCAATGCTTGATCGACGGCACGCTGATTCGATCGAGCGCGCCGGCTATGATCTCGAGTTGGCGCAGACACGAGGATTCCTGTGATTGGGTGTGCGCGATCAGCGCGTCCAGCGCCTCGTCCAGTTCGCCGTCGGTGAGATCGCCCGGCGCTTTCACCCGTAAGCCGAGTTCCTCGTAGTTTACCGATATGGACGAGCGTTTCTTCGGTCCGTCAGCTGCAAAAAGAAAGCGTCATCGTCGTGAATGAAACGAACGTTTCACGAGGAAAGTAAGACGTCTCGTAGGAGGAAACCTCGCACACGCTCACCTGCCTCCGTCCACTCGAGATTCTTAAGGTGGCTCTTCACCACGCCGCTGTCCCAGCCGATGGCCGATGCGACCTCGACAACCGGGAAATTGATGACGTTGCTGTTCTCGTGCGTGATCCCCTTCTGCATGTCCAGCGCTATCGCCATCGCCAGCGGCGGAGACTGCGGGAAAATTCGTTTCGTCAAACGAGAGATTCCCTGCTAAGCGCTGTGCCTGAATACGACAATCGCTCGACAGGTCGAATATTCCGGGTAATATCGGGTGTAGAAATTAATTCGCATTTAACGTTTTGTGACTCTGATCCGAATTTAAATTTCCTTTCTCGACGATATGTATCCGGAATGACGATGATCCGACGATCGTTTTGAAGGAAATCTTACGGATCGGGCCGCTTGTTTGAGGGCTTGTGGCCCGCTGTAACTCGAGACTCGGGCTCGCGTGTACACGGACGAGAGTACAGTGACGAATCTCTTGGGGTGCAGCTCGAGGTAGCAGAGCAACGTCGAGATCGTCTCTTCCGTGAGGTCGAGCGCTTGGACGGTCTCGTTGATCGGTAGGGCGACCTCGTGACCGGGACACCTCCGATCCTCCGAATGCTTCGCGTTCATCTTCGCGCACGAGCAGGGAATGAAGATCCTCTGCAGCAGATGTCTGATCGTGTACCGGTCGACGCCGTTCGCGTGTACGTGTCTGCGTAGCTCCCACTTGTCGCTGTCCTCCTGTTTGGAAACAACGGATCTCAATTGGGGGGAAAGTTGGCAAAGTTACGATACGATTCTTTAAACGAGATATCGACGAATCTAGTCGCTTAAGAAGGAAAGGAAATCCGAAGAGAACGGGCGAACTGGAATTTTCGGGGGGAGGTAATCGGGGAAAATGAATGGAACTTTACGGTACCGTCGGGTTTAAAAACAAGTGGCAGTGCGCCACGAGTCCGTCTCTTCCAGCGCGGCCGACTTCCTGCACGTATCCCTCGAAAGTGCCGGGCATGTTGTAATGGATGACCGCGCGAATGTCCGATTTATTGATGCCCATCCCGAACGCCACGGTGGCGACGACGATCTTGATCCTGCCGTTCATGAACTCCTTCTGCACGACTTTGCGCCGGTACGCCGTCATACCGGCGTGGTACGCCTCGGCTATCGTGGACACCTTTACGTTCGGCTTCTCGGGGTTCCGCGGGTCCTATCGGCGCGCGAGTGTAGACAATGCGTTAATGCCAGTCGAATATTTTAGCTGGAGAGAATGCTTTTACGGAGAGAATTTTCAACAGACTCGTTCATCCGGTCGACCGTTTGAAATCGCAGTCGATCACCTGTTCTCACCTGTCTCACTGATAGAACTTGCGGATAGAAGCGACAGCTGTCAAATGAAGCCGCACAGCGGAAATGTCGAAACTGCGCTATATATCGCACTATATATTGCGCTAAACATTGCGCTACATATCGCGACACTCACCTGCAGAGACGTCCTGAGGAAGCCGGCGATCCTCGCGCATTCTTCCCTGCGAGTGCAGTAAACTATCACAGAGCAACACCCGTGAAATCTCTCGCTCCTCAGCAACGCTATCAGCGCCTGATCCCTGTTCCCGTCCTTGGAGACCGAGAGAACGAGGTTCCCGGGTAACGGCGCGTCCGACACAACGCCGTCCACGCCGTCGGGTAAGTCCAGATGACGCGCTATACTGGCCGCCGTCATTCTCGTCGCGGTCGCCGTGAGCCCCAGCACCGTCTTCACGGCGAGCTTCTCCCGGAGCACCCGGCAGAGCATCAGGTAAGACGGCCGGAAATTGTGCGACCACTGGGAGATGCAGTGGGCCTCGTCGATGCAGGCGAACGCGATCGGCGGCAGCTGTCGGAGCAGGCCGACGGTTGACTTTTCGCCGGCCACCACCGCCTCCGGCGACACCAGCAGGACGTTCACGTCGCCCTCCCTCACCGCCCGCGTCACCAGCTCCCTCACCCGCGGGTTCTGCCCGGTGTGGAGGCACGCGGCCGCCAGGAAGGGCGGCATACCCGCCACTTGATCGTCCATCAGAGACACCAGCGGCGAGACGACGAGAGTGATGCAACGGGAACGCCGGGAGTACAGGTAGGCCGGCAACTGATAGCACAGGGACTTCCCGGAGCCGGTCGACAGGGTCACCAGGGTGGACCGGCCGGACAGCACTCTCATCACCGCCTTCTCCTGCCCCGGCCGGAAGCTGTCGTGGCCGAACATACGCAGCGCCTCGAGAACCTCCGCCGGCGTCTCGACGAGGCCGCCGTCTTCCCTCACGGGATACAACGGGTCGATCGTTTCCTTCTCAGGTGGTAACAGCCGCGACAGTAGTTCCTGCGGTATCCTATGCCCGGGTGCGAGCGTGTCCTTCTCTCCGACGGAGTCTGCAAAGTCGTCTGCAAAGTCGTCGGCGAGCAATTCCGTCCCTTCTACCTCTTCTCCTTCACACCGGGACTCTGAAGACTTCACAGTGGGGAGGGACGGCCTCCCGGAGAGTCGGCCGATCCCGCGACTACGAGTGACCACGGCGTTCGCCATCTTCTCGGCCTCCTCCAAGGTCGGGAAGCTCGACGACTCCTCGTCGATCTCCTCCAACGGTAGAAGAGCGCCGCCCTTGGAGAGCGCGCACTTCCCGGAGAAGTGGCCGGGCTGGCCGCACTTGAAGCACGTCGCGCCGTTCTTGTCGATCAGGTCGGCAGCGTCCAGGTTGCTCTCGCTAGACGTCAGCTCCCTCTTCCGTTGCTTCCACTGATGCCTCTTGTACTTGGAGAGGTTGAAATTCTTCTTGCCACGTACGAACACCTTCTTCTTCAGGTTGATCCGGACGAAGTTGTCGTTCATCGTTCCGGCGGCCATCTTCTTCGCCAGCCGCGCCTCCTTGTCGCTCGCCTTCGACGGTGCGTCTCGCTCAGACTGGACGACGGTGCACAGGGATTCGCTGAATCGCGCTACGAGATCGCCGCCGGTTCCCGTCGGCTTCATCGCGAAACGCGGCACCGTCTCGATCGTTTCCACACCGTACACGGGAACTTTTCTACTCCCCGAGTCCGAATCTCGCTCGTCCTCTTTCGGATTTACCTGCAGCCTGGCGGACCTCCTTGCCCTGGCTTTCCCTCCGACGCTTGCGAGCTGTTTCCTCCCTCTCGCTTGGCCCGCAGCTTTCCTCACCGCGCTGCTCTTCCCCGCGCCGCCTTTCTTCATCTTCGCCCTGACCTTCTTGCTCGTCTTACTCTCCTCCGCGTAATCGGAGTCGTCGGATGGGGCCTGCTTCTCCCTTCGACGCGACGCGCGCCGCCTCGTCGACCTCGGCTTCCCCGCCGGCCCAGGGGAATCTTCTCTCTTCGCGGAACTCGCCGATTCGGACGCCGCTCGGTCCGCCCGGGAAGCGTCCCCGATCGTCACCTCGTCACGAACGACTGCGTCCGACGAGCCGACGCGTGGATCCCCCGGAACCTGCAGAATCCTCACCGACTCGTCCGAGAAGTTCAAGCCGGCGTTAACGTCGGGAATCGAGCCGGGCGCATCGACACCGTCGACCTTGGCTTCACCGTCAACGCTGCGAGCCAGTTCGACCGCGTCGACGACGACGGTCGTGTCGCTGGGACTCCTCACCTCGACGCATCGTCGCTTCACGGGCCGGTTCTCCCGATCGCCCAGCCGCTTCCTCAAGTTCCCGACGCGCTTGTTTCGCCGCTCCTCCTCGGAATCGCTGTTGCACACGAAGTCCTCCTCGTCCGAGGTCTGAGACGAGACGCCGGCGGGATGGTTCACCGTGGACGCCGGATCCATCGGCGAGTGGATGCTGGACCCCAAGGACTCCACCCCGGAGTCGCTGGTGCTCGAGAGCCTCTGCGGGACGAACGCCAGCATCTCCAGGTTGCTGTCCCTCGTGCACCGCTCCAGCCAGCCTTGGTTCAGGTTGCGGTTCACACGGCCCGGCGGCTGACCGTCCGCCAGCTGTTGCACCACGTTGATGGGGCGGTGCAGCGCGGGTTTGCTGGCCTCGAACGTCACCTTCGTCGACTCATCGAACACGGGCGTCGTCTGATCGGCCGCACCGAGTCGATCCACGTTTCCACTGTCCGAGGTCTCCGTGTGATCGACGCTCGGGTCGCTGGAAGCGACCTCCTCGGGCTTTTTGATCTTCAGTCGGGCCGACGACAACGATTTCCTCGGGTTTCGCTTGGCGAAGGCGGAACTCTCGAACTTGTTTCGGGATAACTGGAAGGAGGGCGATCTACCGATCAGCAGAGGCTGCTTCTTCCTCGGCGCCTGGTCCTTGTTCTTGCTCAAATGATCGCCCCAGACTTCCTTGACGTTCCCAGCCGTGCTTTTCTCCACCGAGCTCTCCCGGGTGTTCGCGGTTGATTTGCTGTCACGCGGACACACGTTCTCCGCGTCTCTCGCGATCTTCTTCTCCGGACTCCGGGGCTTCTCCTCGTGTTTCTCGTCGATGACGCTCGCCGGCTTCTGCGGCGAGCCGTTCGCAACGTTGCCCCGCGTCACGTCGTCGCAGAAAGTGATGTCGACGAGGGTCTCCTCGAGCGCGCGCGTCTTCAACTTCCAGTACATCTTGTACGATTCCTTTATAGTCGCATCGGCCTCTCTTATGTCATTCTTAAATGCACAAGGAGAAAATGCAAGGTGAAAATCACACGATCGATAAAGACACATTAATTTAATCATACGCGAAGATGATGATACAATAGAAATTTTCTCGCCCTGTATAACACGGTGAGCTTGAAGATGATCTTAAAGATACAATTGTCATTATTTAACTTGCTTATAGCGCCATTGGGAAAAAAAAGTATTCAGACGGTTTCCGCAAACGAGTGTGTGTACAAAGACGTAGGCAGCGGTGAATCATAAAAAATGACTTTGAAAACTTGGCGAAAGAAGTAACGGAAAACTGTGGTGACTCGTTAATTCTTGAATTACGATAACAGCGACGGGTTACTCTTTCTCAGAATAACTATGAATTTCCGTTGTTTTGGATGGATTGACACGTAACAGTAAAGAATTAGTTTCGAACTTTCCAAGACTTTTGTTAATTACCGTTAATATGACAGCCACGTACTTAAAGTTCTCCATGAGGCACGAGCATATCTTCGTTGCAATTTTTAAGTCGAATATGGATGCAATTGTGCGTTTGATTTATCTGACACGGGGATCACATTAAAATGGATACAACACGCAAATCAGATGGCTTTAGTTAATATTACAAATATGCAACGTGAAATATCGCAAATATGAACGCGAAACTATCGTGTGCTAAGTAACTCACTTTATTGGGTTTACGTCCGTACTTCTCCATGAAATCGCTCTCCCATAGTTTTACACGAAGCTTATTCTTGAAATACTTAGTTTTGAAGGCGGGATTCTCGAGGAACTCCATATCTGTCGTGGAACAAAGGTATTAACGGGGCTGAATATTTAATATGCTCGACAATCGAATTCGAGGTTGGACCGTCCTCGATATCTCCCGCGTAAACATGGGACCTCTCTCTCTCTCTCTCTTTCTCCTTCTAGGTTTGTTCTTTATAGCTGTGTGGCGGCTATGCTCTATCTCGCTTGCATGCGAGCTCGCCCCCCACCACACGCCGGCGAGCTAGTCTTTTGTCACTGCACGGCTAGTCCTTTGTCGCTGTACGGCAGTAAAACAGTGGAGACTAGCCCGCCGTTAGAGCTGCATCCTTCTAGTGTTTCTCTACGTAATAAAAGAGTCTTTCTTAATCTCTGTGCCGAGTACTCAGTGGGCACATGCCTAGATTCTTCCCGGGCTATCCCTTCTAATCTCCACAGCTGAACTCGGATTGCACGAGAACTAAACTGAACTGAAAGTGTGAGTCAAAACTAACGGGTGCAAGGCGCGCAGATAAAGAATAAAGATCTTCACACAGATTACCGTAACCATAAGGCCTGTATCACACTATGGATTAAGATTGAGATTGAATTGTAATTTGACCAATCAGTACAAAGTTAACTGAATTCAAATTTAGTGAAATTTAGTGAACTTTGCACTGATTGGTCAAATTCCAATTCAATTTCCAATCTGTAGTTTGATGCGGGCTTAAGAATTAGCCAATGAACGTATAAACTGTTCAACCAATCATAAAACATAAGCTGCAATGCTTAACCATAGCACAACTTATGTACGTTTCGTGATTGGTTGAACAGTTATAAGCCATGTCTACAATAATAATTGTAGTAGACGTTAAGCGTAAAAAATTGACCAATCACAGTTTGTTATGTTATAATTATTCTCTTCATATTCGACTGCGATTGATCAATTTCTTAAATCTTACGCCTTAAATTTCCATTGTAGACCCCACTGTAGTCCCGATGTACAATAGATGCTTTAAGCTGTAAGCCTTAAGAAATTGACCAATCACAGTCGATTATTCTCCTCATATTCGATTGTGATTGGTGAATTTCTTAAAACTCAGAACTTAAAGCATCTATTGTAGACCGGGACTTAACCGTCGATTAACTTAAGTGGAATTGACGAAGGTGACCCAAAATGCGTCAGAGTCTTGAAAGTCGAGGGATTTTTTGCCTGATCAGGAATAAAATATAGAGATTTCTATTTTTTTTCATATGGCGACACTGACAGTCCGTCTGACGTGCGGGTGAAAACAGGTAGCGGCGCGAGTAAGTGTCCACAACGGCGAGCATGGATTCGAATTGTCAAAATTCCACGTTGAACGCCAAACATCTGCTTGGTCAGTTGAACACAGCAAGACGGGAGATTAATAATCTCAGGTACTTCATTAACGAGAATAATTTGCCTCTCCGTCGCGCACTACATGACGCGCAATGTCAACATTCTCCACTTGATTCTCCCTTTTTTCCACTAACACGTCTAAAAATTGTACGATAAGAATTATTTAAAATATTAAAATATCAACAAAAATCCCCTCGTTATCTCAGGCAACAGATGAAGAGTCTGAGGTATATACTCAATAAGGATGTCGACAACATCAAACGTCTGTTGGAATTACAAAAACATGGGGGGGAAGCACTGACACAGACTAAACTGATATCATCAGAGGAAGCCAAGCCTGGCACGAGCAAGGACCAAGAGATTTTCAAGTTGAAGCCCATCGGCGTGATCTCCACCTGGTTCCCCAACAAGAGAGCGACCCCGCGGCAGCCTGGAATCTGCGGGAAGGTACCAGGAAAGCTGACGCTCTACAATTCTATATTCACAAATCCGGATCACGCCTTGCAGGGCCTGCAGGATTTCTCTCACATGTGGTAAGGAAGATTTGACTTCAAACTTAACGATTCTCGAGTAATGAGACAGGTGAAAGTAGTCTGAAAACAAAGTCCAATTTCCAATCTATACTCCTGTATAGATCGTAGCCTGTAAAATGTTGATTGGCCGAGCTTCATGTTCTAATCCGACGTATCCTTCCAGTCTCTATTCTATGATATGACAATGATTTACAATCCCAGAATGAGAAAGTGGAGGGTAACGCACTTTTTTTTCTCCCCCGGACAGGATCCTCTTCTACTTCCACAGAAACGACTCGACGCACACCCGCGCGAAAGTGGCGCCGCCGAGGCTGAACGGAGTGAGAACCGGCGTGTTCTCCACGCGTTCTCCCCACCGTCCCTGCCCGATCGGCCTAAGCCTGGTGAAGATCCTCAAGATCGAAGGTCACACGATCTACTTCGAGGGTGTCGACATGGTGAATCAAACGCCGGTCCTGGACATAAAGCCCTACATACCTCAATACGACAGCCCGTTGCACATCGAGAAGTTGAATAACGGGCTAAGGGAAAACGACGTGAGTGTCTCGGACGTGCCTCGCGGTATGGACGAGGTGCTCGATCTGAGGGAGAACCAGTCAGTCGACTCCTCCGATATGGTGGACGCCAACAACGTCGAGCTCGTCGATATCTCCAGAGACGAGGAGATAGCCTTGAGGCTTCAGGTGGAGGAATACGAGGTCTACCCCACCCTCGGCGGCTACGACACCAGCACGAGGCAGTCTTCCCAACTGGCGGAGAACGCTTCGTTAGAAAATAACGTCGACGAGGATGTTCTTCACAGAGAAGCGTATCACGCTCAGAACAGGTCACTGAACGTCGTGAGGACGGACTCGACCACGTCCGTCGTCGATTACGGCGCGACGGCCGAGGCGCACACGGACTACACGATTCGAGATCTGAACGACAGACTGCAGGACGTGGACGTGGTGAGCGGTTCCGGCAACACGGAGTCGACGTACGCGCAGACGGATCACGAGAACGACGAGATCGGCTACACGGGGGGGAATCATCAGATCTCCCGCAGCTCGAGGCTGCTGGACGGGGCGGACGGGCCGAGCACGGTCTGCGGCACCGACGTGGATCTGGTGAATCGTCACCAGGTGCTGCATGCGAGGGTCGACAACTCGCCCGTGAGGATGGGGATACGCGAGGCGCCCGACGGGGAAGAGGGTCTCGAGTCTCAGACTCTGACGCCCTCGCAAACCCTGCCGAACATCCACGCGACGGCGACGACGGCGGCGGCGGCTTTACTGGCCGGGCAGAACGTGATGACGGAGGGCAATTTCTCGGAGATCCGAGTGCCGGACTGGATATCGCAGCCACGCACGGCGATGCTGTCGGTGATCTTCAACGAGCGCGCCCTGACGCAACTCAGCGAGATCCTGGACGACAAGGTCGACGAACAGAAGCGGGCGATCGAGAACGTGCTCAGGGAAGACCCGAGGTCGGTGTATCTGCGACAGAGATGGGGCAGCCAGTTCTACACCTTCCTGATACACGACCTGCATATCACGTGCAGATTCGACGACACCCGGGGCGTCGTCACCGTTTTCCAAGTCCGTCACGCCGGCCGCACTTGCGACTGCGGTGAGCCCGAATGGCAGTGCTTAGGCCACTCCTCGATATCCTAATATATGTATAACGTATCAACGAATTTCCGTGCGGGTGGAATGTAAGCGTATTCGAAAGCGTAGTCTTGCAATGGACGGTAGAAGTGTGGTTCATAGGAAGCAAGAATGAGAAATCGACCAATCGTATTCGAATGCAAGGGAAATAATGAACTGTGATTGGTCAGTTTCTTACTTCTTATAAACGTACTCCTACTGCTCATTGTAGGCCACGATTTACTTCTTATAAACATATTCCTACTGCCCATTGTTGGTAGGCCACGTTGCAAATATGGAGGAAAGAATCTGTTATAGGTTTAGTATGCAAGATGGGGTAGCTATAATTACGCCGTAGGTATCATCTTCCACATGATCTTAGTCCCCTCTGAAATATATATCTCTCTCTCTCTCTCTCTCTCTCTCTTTCTCTCTCACGTAAAATAAAAACAATGTTTTACAGTTAAGTATACAACTTCAATGCAAATATACAAGTTCCTATGCTTCGCTTTTACGTGCAATCACGATCCGATGAAAACCGATTGAAATTTACATCGAGCAGCTGAGGATTAAAAAAAAAATTATATATATTTTTTTTTATGTAACCTACATAAAATTTTTAAATGACACAATCGTGCGGCTGTTTCCTGACAGTGACGGGTTTCCCGACGGGGAGCGTGTTCTACGTGTACATTCTTATGGTAAAATCCGCGCCGGCGGAGAACACCCACGGTTGAGTCGGATGAAACATGACGTCCAAGATGCCGAAATCGTTGTACGACTCGTGGTTGTGGAATCTCTTCAGCGGCACGATCAACGGATTTTGCAGGAGATCGCTGGAAAAGAAAAATGCGTGAATGTGAACTGCACATTATGTGCGTGGCGCGATCAGACCGTGTGCGACGCAAGGATCCGTCCGCGCGAATCGTCTTACTTGTAGACCATTCCGTGAGATACGATAAGCCCTCTGTCGTCAGCTCCGGAACTGAATAGAGGATACCGCTTGTGAAACGCCACACTGCGCACGCCCGTCCCGTGCAGACGCAACGTCTGATAAGGCTTGGTACTTAAATCCAAATCGAACCAGAGCATCTTGCGATCGTAGGTCGCTACCAGCACATTATCGCCTCCTAAAAGATCGATTACACAACGACGATGACATTAGGAGAATATTCGTATAAAAAAATATATACATTTTTCTTCTATATGCATTTTTTTTATACGAATGTATGTATAGCTTACCGGGATGGATAGCCATTGACGATATCCACTGCGAATTGGACAGCAACTTTTTCATCATTTCCTGTTTCACGAGATCGTATATCCTCACATTCCGCTGCGTCTGAAAAGGGAAATGAGCGCGCGTTAATAACACCCGATTACCCGTGTTTCCGACGTTGTTGTCGTTGACTCACCGCTACGAATAAATACGGTCTAATCGGATGGAACAAGACGCACTGTATCAATCCCTTCGATTTGCTGAAGGGCAACTGAGACTTGCGTTTCGACAACTGATTGATGAGAACGGATCTGTTCTGACCGTCCGGCATTACGGTGGCGAAGTAATCCCCCTTTCCGTGCCACGTAACTTGCTTCACGTTTCTGAAGTGATTCAGGATCACCCTTATTCCATCGGTGTGGTGTTTACCTTCCGCTTGTTCCCACTGCACCGCACTTCTCACCCTCTCGCTCACTAATATCGCAAAGAAATATTAGTATCGTTGGAAATAATATCCCTACAAATTAAAAACTTATCTCTACAATCGATTACGAACGGTCGGTCTCATCGGTTACCTATTACTTCGCTCTGCGGTATTATCTCCAAAAGTTCGTCGGTTTTGCCAGTGATCAGACGATCTCCGACCCCGGGATTGATCAAGAGAACTTTCTTGTCGGCAGCGACCGCTATCAGCGACACGGCTTGATTCGGGCACCAGGCGACGCTTCTGATAACGCCGCCGCAAGGCACTGTTTTCACACACCTACCTGTTGATACTTCCCATACTGTTGAAAAGTAACACATCAATATGTAATATTATTCGTTGCACAGGATGAAACGTTCTAAGTATGAAATATCAATTAACGAATGTAACGTAATTGACATCATGCGGGGATATGTATTGAAGTCTTCGAGCTGGCGCCACGTTCTTCAAGAGCTTGCTCGATCAAGGGGACAAATTAATCAAGAACCCGGTATTAACTCGAATACTGAATTAAATTAATTTCTCCACACTGAGAGAGTCTAATATATACAATGAAGTAACTCACTTTTCAAAGACATGTCATCTCCACCCGATGCGATGTACTGGCCTATCGCTTCCGAGGTGATACTTCTCACCATATCCGTATGACCGTTGAACACCATGGACATTTTCGTCGGGAATGGTTGCAGGTCCTTCGGATTCGGCAGTTGCGGCACCAGCTCCTCCGGCTTTATCGTCAACCTCATCTTATACGCTCGGGGACAGAGGTACAGGTCCAAGCATCTCTGGAATCTTTCCTTGATATATTTGGGATACGCGGGTACTTCTCGCAAAGAATCGAACTTCTGCGGTACAAAGTGTAACTTCCTCTTCCACGGCGTCGCCTTCAGTTTGTTCCACTCTCTGAGTTCTCTGTTGTCGAACAGGTATTCCGGCGGTGGATTGTAGCTCTCCGCGTGGCCGGGCAGGTGCCTCTTGGGCGCCGGTATGTGCTTGTGGATCCTGCGCATCTCCTCCGCCTGGTCGTTGGACTGCCACAACATGTAGAACTGCGGCCCCTGCTTCCTCTCCTCCCTCTCCCTCTTCATTTCAGCGCTCGACTTGATCCAGCCCATTTTCAGAGCGTGCACCAATTTCGACACCTGCCTGGCTTCGTCCTTGGACGGCAGGAAGGAACGTTTGTGCTCGGGGAACTTACGGAGCGGCATTTTCATCGCTTCGGAAGTGAACCACTCCACCCATGGCTGCGATGAAAAACACATACACATAGCAGGTACTTGTGTATGAAATGGCATTTCCGCGAATTGAATCAAACACAAGCGTAACTTACCGCGTATTCGTCAAACTGGACATCGGGTACCTTCTGCTTCTGTATCCTCACGATTAAGTCTATATCATCTTCCTTCAGCACAACATCCCGACCAGTCTGAGGGTCCTTGATGGTCCTCCAAAAGTCAGGATCCTCCATTCTTTTCAAGAAATTATCCAACTCGTCACCTTTCTCAGGCTTCAAGATCTTCTTGCTCTCCCAGTCATAACCAACATGGTCGTATTCGTCGTACCATTTCATCGGAATATTCCCAACTGTGTTGCGAATATCCTCTTCGTCTGAACTGTCATAGTCGTATTCATCTTCTTCTTGATGTTCCGTATGAGATGGCCGATCGTTGCTCAGATCGTCCTTGCCAGTTCGTATCTCTGGAGAATCCTCTCGATCCTCCCCATTATTTAATTCACTTACCGATCTAATTTCTTTTTCAACTAACAATTTGTTTTTAGACGTTGACTTTTTAACCGACTGTTTCTTATTCCTCTTGGAATCATCGCTCAATTTCTTCTTATCGTCTCTCCGCTTGATCTGTGAGCTCTTCCTTGTTTCTTCGTGAGAATCGCTCTCTGATTCGGCACTCTCTGAATCTTCACCATCCATAGATTTGTCTGATTCAAATTCAAGCTCACTGTCTTCATCGCCCGATGATGGAAAAACGAGATCCTGTTCTGTGTCCGAATCAGGTATATCTGCTTCTTCCGTCGTTTCATCCGTAGAATCTTCATAATCGTTTATTTCGGTCGCCAACAAATCTTCCGTGTCGGAGTCCTTCAATGTTGAAACGATATTACATTATTACTAGTATAATGATAATACGTGCTTACCATAAACTAAAAATATAACGATAAACACACACAAAATATATAAAAATAACAATGATACAGTACCTCAGTATGATGTTCCACATGGGCTTCTTCAGTTTTGCCTTTATCTTCTTCCACTTTTGAATTGGCGTGTTTCCTTTTCAAACCTCTTTTTCGTGCCATTTTTCATAATCAAATTTACACTCCAAATTAAATTTACAATTCTCTCTCTTTCTCTCTCTTTAGACGCCTCTATCCATTAAAATTGACTCTACCAAAAAATATACACAAAAGAGGTTATGCGAAACCATGTGCGTTCTCGTTCCAGCCTTGCGTTCACGATGCTAACTCCAAAATCGGTATACTTAGATTTTAGGGAGGATTCACACCACGATAGAAAAGCAGAAAGCAGAATTTGGCCAATCGGAGCAAGATTCACTAAACTTGAGTTGTAGTGAACTTCACTCTGATTGGTTAAATTGCAGTCCAATCTCAATCCTAATCCGTAGTCCGTCACGAGTGTAATAGGTACGCCGGACGGAAGTAGGAGGAGTCTGAACGGCGGTTATGGACGGCTCGGGGGGCGGGTGGGGGAGCCGTCGTTTCCGCTGAATCCAGCCATTCACGATTAACGTTGGAGCGCTCGAGAAACGCGCGTCCGCGGACGTGAGATTTAAAATTCCAGCGGTGAACGCGATGAACGTCACCGGCGGTGTACGAGTGAGGATATTCGAAGAGGAAAGATGCGTCTACGAGCGTGAGCTTGCGAAGTCCGACGGGGGTAACCTAAAAACGCTGCTTCGGGACCTGCGGGAAGCGCAGTCGGGAGTCAACGATTATTTAACCACGCTGATTCAGCGACAGGACGCAAAGTCCGGCAGCGCGCGAAGTAACGTTTCATATCATCGTCCAGTTAGTCAATTAATTTCCTCGTTCTCGCGTGACTTATCTTAATCTTCGACCTGCACAGACACGACGGATCGTTCGATCTCTTTGGAGGAGGACGTCGTCGACACGGAGGAAGAGGAGGAGGAGGAGGAGGAAACCCGAGTTAACCCCAAAAAATGCAAGTTGTCGATATAAAATTATCATGTATTCCGCTTTTTTAAAATAAATATTACGATTCACCGATGCCCTAACGGGACCGATTCCGAGTTTAATTGTGGGGGGGAAAATCCGTTTACTCCTGTTGCAGAATTTTTTTCCTACGAATACCGCCATACTCTCCATGACAGACAGATAGAACGTGTATGATAATGCGCGTCTCGCGTGAGAACTGAGCGATAAGAAGCGAGCCGGACGACGGTGGTGCGCAAGCAACCTTGAGTGAAAGCTGCGACGTAATCTGGTAATTTTCCGTTTCCCAAAACCATGCCGATTATTTTCGCCCGTTTATCGCGACACCCATTTCTTGATTCGTTGCGTTCGCATCGAGCCGCGTTTCTAACCTAGCGAGATACTTCGTATTCTGCTCGTCTCGTTATTTCCCTTATGCAGACCCGGGAAAAAATGATTATATATAATTATGTAAAATCATATATGAGTTTTGCCCGTATATGTGATTACATGTGTGATCATGCGTGTCCATACGAGAAAAATGATGTTATGTCATTTAATTAAATGTCGATGATCGCGTGTTGTCAGAAGCATTTACTTCGACTGTATTTGCATATGATTTGTAAGCAACAGTATTTTTTTTCATTGGGACGTGTATAATTATATATATATGTGTATATATATATATATAGTCATATATGAGCAAACTTCACATATGACCTTTTTCCCCCCTCCCCCGAGGAGTTACGTCGCAGTTCTTGTGCTTTTGCGCCAATTATTGCTTAAATAGTGGAACTACGCGCTTGGCTCTCCACACTCATTCCACACGTTATCTCCCCTCTTTAAAAATATGTACAAGATTACAAGACAATCGTAAAATTCATATTTCCCTTTACATAATATCTAATTATTTGTTTTTTCTCTCGACGTCTTTACCTTTTCAAGCGGGAACATGTGCACCAAAGTATCGAAGGAGGCTCAATTGCGTTACATGACGTCATGGTTTCAAGAATGGTCGGAGATGCAGAGGAGCGATTTCCTGGAAGTGTTGCTGAAATTCTGGGCCCCGCCGGATAAGCTCATGAACGGTCTGCTGTCCGAAATGGAGAATCTGAATTGCCAAGGATCCGATAAGTATCCGAGCCTGTTCCAGTGTCGTATCGAGATCTTTAGAAAGTGGAGCGGTACATGGTCACAGTCCGACAAGGATTCTTTCTTAACGAGTCTCAAGGATATGGACGGTAAATTCGTTGAGAAGTATGAAGAAAGATTATCGGCCCTCATGGAAGATAAATAGTAGTTGAGCAAGGATTTGTACGCTTTACCACCTGCAAATCCCACCTAGAAAGTGTTATTTCTAGTTCCTTCAAATATCAGTATGAATCGACTCAAATTCGAAGGGAGATTCCATTGTTTTATATGCTACCGATTTCTTCTAAAACGAAAAAGGTATTGTTTTTGATCACATGAGGTATTAATATATCTGTAATCGCTCACCTTGAAAATAGCACGACGCTAACCGCGCCAATCGCGAAATTATGCATTGATAATAATGAAACGTATTATTTCCTGACTTAATTAATCTTACTTATTCTTAACTTTTTTGTTTCGAATTTTGGCTTGTTGTTTTCAAAATAAGAAAAAACAAGTCACTATCATCGCATTAAGAGAGAATTGTTGAGGTGAAATAAGTAAGATAATTGTAACAAAATTTCATTTCCTTTAGTATTTAAAATGTTATCTTTCGTATGCATTCCTTGCGCATCGTGCAGACGCCAAACGTGCACATTAATAATCAAGTTTCATCGCACTGATCACTGTTGTACGTTGTATATCCATATATTTACTTAAACTTTATATATCCTTACAACGTACAGCGTATCCGAATCTATGAATAAGATAATGTGAGGTATCGCTTGATATTTAAAACGCTATTGATTGTTTTTCTGTCTGAGGAGGTAGGGAATATTCTATAATTTATAATAACAATTGTACCGATAGTTTCAAAGGCTTGATAAACTTTAAGGCCTCTGATCTCTCATTGTTGACAATTACGTCGGAAGTAAGGAATTATATATATGCATAATTTTTAGCTTTAAATTCACATTCTTATCTTAGCATAGATACAACGAGGGATCATGGTTTTTTAGCGCGTTTAATGATAAAAGGGTAGACAATAATTTCAATAATAGTATTATCAGAAATAATTTAAGTCTGTATATTTCCTCGATGATCTGTCTTTAAAGAAGATACACGCGAATGTATACAGGAACTTGCAATGAGTACAAAACAACTTTATATCATTTATTTGCAATAAACCTGCATTTTATCTTAAATATCGTTTTGTAAGGTGTCGCAACGAAATCCCTTCTGCTCGGTTTGCAAAAATCGCATCCCCCCCCTCCCCAACGAAACGAATTGCAAAAAATACACTTCGATAGTACAATTCTCGTGTATATCCTAAACTCAGTTCTTCGGATCTTGTTGCAGCCATTTCAGGCATATCGCTTTAATTGCATTTTGTCCGAGCCTGTCCGATTCCTTCAAAATTCTTCGTATATCCTGCGCTCTGGAATGTTTAACGGCAAGCAGATACGCAGCCTTCAGTTGTTTACTTTCGATGTAGGCGTTTATCTAAAAAAAAAAAAAAAAAAGAAAAAATCGATACCAAATTTAATATATTTAAAGTATCTTTCAATAACTAACAATGGGAAAACTGTGAACTTCTGATTGAATTAATCTTACCCTGAGTTCCGTGTCTATTATCAGCCTGACCAGAGTATCGATATGATTCTTGAGCGTCGACTTTTGATCCTGCGTGCTGTACGAACGGTTCAGCAGCAATTTAACACAATGTGTCAGAACGTGGTCGGAAATGACGTGGGCATTGGGCGCTCCGGAACTGCGACAGCACTTGATCAATTGTTCGATCGCGACCACGTTATTCTTCAGGGCCAACACATGACCGGCCAGAGAGTAGACTTTCTGTTGCGGAAGGTTGTAGTCTGCGAAAATATCATAGAATTCAGCAAGTGATTAATTGCCGTTCGCACACACGTCACTTCGCATCGGGTATTTACATCAAAGGTCACCGACTCCAAGTTAACTGAATGAAAGCTTCATCACCTACCGAGGTGTACCAGCTGTGACACAGCAGCCTACCTTGCATTATCCTGAAAGCGATGCCGAAGCCTTCCTCGATGTCACGGCCGCACAATATAGCGAGGACCGCCAGGTGTATCTTCTGCTGTTGATCGCCGAACAACGTGGGCAATTGGCGCGCCTGGGTGTTCTCGGTGTTCTCGACGACGTCCGGGAAGAGAGACAAGAATTCGGCAGCGGTTCTCTCCTCCCTCTCGCAGCCCGCCAGGAATTTGGCGATCTCCGTCTGCCTGCATATAGTGTTGATGTGCCTGTCTATCTCCGACGGCTCCATCTCCATCGCCAGCACGCCCTGCTGCTGGCTGTAAACGGAGGACCTCCTGCGCCTGTTCAGACCGTCGATCCGCAGCTCGGACTCCAGGTGCCGCTGCGCGTCCCGCAGCAGGTGGGCCTTCCCGTGCAGGTCCGAGTAAGCGTTCGCCTCGTCGACGTAGAAACGGATGCACGTCATCGACGCCCTGACGCAGTCCCTCATGAACAGCTGCAGCTGATAGAGGATGTGCCAGTGCTGCCTCTTCTCCATGAAGTGGCAGACGTGCAGCAGGTACGTCTTCCACGCGAGCAGAGTGGGATCCTTCGTCCGCATCGCCTCGTGAAGGTCCCCGGTGCCGCCGTTTCTCAGACAGTGCAGGTAAACCCCGTTGAGGAAGTGCTCGCGCTCGAGATCGTTCTCGAGGACGTACGCCAGACACCTGTCGTACTCCCGGTGCTTCAGGAAGAACCGCAAGATGGATGCGTGACTGCCGTACATCAGCAGATAATACAGGCACTCGTGATAATAGATCGTTTGATTCGCGGCGGTCAGATACTTGGCCTGGTTCAACTGGTTCTGGCTGACGGCCTTCAGGCTGTTGAGCGTCTGCAGGATCTCCTGCGCCGCGTCCGAGGATCGGGACGACGGCGACGGCGGGCACTGCGCCCGGGTGTACCGGTACACGCTCAGGGTCTCCAGTATCTGCAGGATCTCCGTCAAGAGCGGCGGATCTTTCAGCGGCCGGCACAGCTTGGCGAACTCGTTCCTCCTCGAGTGACCGGCCTCGCTCGTTCTCTCGTCTTTCTCACTCGTCCTCGGCACGGTGGCCGTCATCTCGACCGTCGTCTCCCCGGCCGGCTCCTTCGAGTACGTCAGCACGACCCAGCCGTCGAGATCGTCGTCGCGCGCGATCTTGTCGAGGCAGTAGTAGAACTTGTCCTTCGCCTGCTCGAAGTGCCCCACCTTCAGGCACGCCTTGCCCCACGCGGCCCACACACCCTGCGTGTCCAGCCCGGCTTTAGTACTGACGTCCAGGGCCAACGTCCACTGCTCCTTCTCGGTGAGGAGGTCGCGCAGCTTCCTCAGCGTGTGCTCGTTCAGCTCGTCCTTCGGCACGAGGGCCAGGCAGTCGGACTGGAGCAGCGTCGCGATCAGGTCCACCTGCGAGAGGAAGCGGTCGCAGTGCGCCAGGCCGGTGTTGAAGCCGAGCTTCGCGCACCTCACCTTCGCAGCGACCAGCAGCGAGCGTATCATCTTGATGATCACCGCGTGATCGACCTCGGGATTCACCCTGCCGCCGCCGACGGGCAGCAGCAGTTGCTTCATCTCGTCGCAACAGTCCAGCAGGAAGCTGCGAGGAAAAGAAAATCAAGTCATCTCCTTTTGTTCGTGACTTGAGCAAACGTAGATTAAAACGGGTTCGGGAGAATTCTATTCTCCGTTAGGAAGCTGTTCTCCTATTGGATATCGTATGCCGTATCCAGTGTTTGCCTGAGATGATTTTAGATTCGTCTAGATGAAGATGAGATGAAAATCCGGGATATTCATCTTAGATGAGATGATTTCGCTTTCGATTTATCTAGATTTATCTAGGCTTGGAAAATTGAGGAAAGTTACCTGGTGTACATCTTATGGTCGGTGTGTAAGTTGAGAATAGCGAGACACAGCGAGATATTCGGCGCGTGTTCGAACGAGAATTCCTCCCTTATGGTGCGATTGTGCTTCTCGTCCTTCGTCAAGCGCCAATAATCGAACACCTCGCTGCTGGGCGTCGACGGTGTGTCCTGGGCCGCTCGCATCTGCAGCACCGTTTGACGCTTGCAATCGTCGCAGACGCGCACGGAAACGGAGGCGGGATAGCCGGCCACCTGCATACGATGTTGCGAGCAAACGGCGCAAACTACACGGCCGCACCTCCTGCAGTGATGTCGCCTGTTGAACATGGAGAATATCACCGCCTTGCAGCAACTGCATTCCCTCGCCTGTTGAACAAAACGGTGAATCCGTTAAACGAATGCAATTAGGGCCACGATTTCATCGTGAACGAATCATCTTTGACAACTTCTCCGCGGGATTTCGACCGGTAAATAAGATGATGCCGTTAGTTTCACCTCGGAAAATCGTTTGAAGATCGCACGAAGGTCATTCTGAATTTCTTTAATGGAAACTTCCACTTTTCATCGCGTATTCTCGTAGCGGCTCGTAGCAAAGATACTCGATTTACCTTGTCGTTCGGCACCCATTCCTCCTTGGTGGGCACATTTACGGGCATGACGAACTCGCCGTCGTTCTCCATCCTGAGATCGGATTGCGGCACAGTTTTGCTTCCTTTATTCTCAACACCATCGCGGTGGAACGACACGCGAAAGTCCAACGACTTCTTCGCGTACAGTCGTATAACTCTGTCGAAGTTGCCGATGCCCACGTCGAGATGCTGCAAGTTCTCATTCAACGTGTTCAGAATCTTCTGGATGCTCTCGAATTTACAGTTCATCAGCAATTGTTCCAACATCAACAGCGGCTCCTTGATCAGGTGGATGTACAACGCTCTCTCTTTGCTCTCCAGCATCTTCAGGATGTCGACTCCTACGAGAATCTTCCGGTACTTCGGCTTCTCCGTCGCTCTGCAGTGCTCCGACAAGTAGTTCACGACGAACTTCAACGCGCTGGTGGACTCCAGCTTCTTCAGAACGCCTTTGCACACCTTCACCGATTGACTCGACGGTAACGTTTGGAGAAACTAGAGCACACATACGTATCGTCGAGTTCTCGTCGAAGGGTGTGTTTTCCCACCGGGTGCTACGCGCGATATACGGGATGTCCCATTTCACTTCCCCCGGACGAATTGCTCGAAAACAAAGTATTGAAGGAAAACCAATAAATACAAGAGCCACGGGGCTTCGAGGAGGTTTACGAAATATCTCGTCAAGCATTCACTTTTCAGTGATCCCACCCTGGTGCTTCCTTTTCACGCAGAACGACCGGTGGAATCGATTGCCGTGAAAAACTATCTAGAGATATTTCCTTTAAACGCCTCGTCACCGAGTAATTCGTTGAAGGGGGCAGGGAGGAGAAGTAAAACGGGCCGCTGTGCGACATACCTTCCGAGCTTGCTCCAAGTCCCGCAGTTGGTTCTTCAAGAGGCCGATGAGGAAGTCCTGCATCACCGACGGCTGGATCTCCAGGGCGAACGCTTGGCACTCGAGCCACTCGAGGCACAAGCCGAACTGATCCGCGTTGATCAACGACCTCATGATCTGAAACGGATCGACCTTCTCCGTGCAGTAGACCACGTCGTACCACGTGCTGTTCGACTTGCTCACGCAGTACGGTATCATTTTGTGAAAGATCGTGATCCTGCCGAGGACGCTCTTCATGCGGTGTCGGCAGTGGGCCGGCAATTCGCCGCTGCGCCGGTGCTGCAGCGTGTGAAACAGGGCGTGCTCGCACACGTTCATCGGCCACTTGTCGACGTTGTGCAACACCGTCTGCGCCAGTATGCGCACGTCTCGGATCTGATAGAGGTGGCGCAGCACCCTCGCGGCTGGGAGGGTCCTCCTCGCGTCGGACAGCACGTGGCACAGAATCAGATCCTTGAGGCGCAGCAAGTCCGCGTCGCGTCTCGCCGCGCGATGATCCGCCAGAGCGTTCAGCACTTCCAACGCGTTCTCCCAGTCGCCATCGTCGCCCTCGAAGTAGCTCCAGAGTTCGCGCGCGGGCTGCGCACCCGCCCCGTACACGGCGGCGAGAATTCGATTGCGGTCGAACAGCGGCTGCAGCCTCGCCACCCACGAGGAGTTCAGCAGGTTCTCCAGGCACGCGGTGCGCCTCGCGCCTTGCGTCTCCAGGATCGTCGGCTTCTCGTTGTCCTGCATTCTGTGCAGGAGGTAAGAGAGCAGCCAGCAGTGACCCTCCAGGTACTGCAGCAAGCTCGGCTTCAGCCTCTGACTTTGCCAGGGCGATGTTACCGCGGGACTCACCCCGGGCGACGTGCCGACGGACGGAGCGTCGCGCTCGGGATATCTCAGTATCACTTCGTAGACGTAAGTCGGCCCAACGTACGTCACATCCGCGTCTTCCAGCGTCTCGAACCAACCGTAGTCCGCCGGAAGCGGCCGTCTGTTCACACTCGCACACGTGACGTTGCCGCAGTGAGACGTCGTAGTCTGATATTGTCGCACGAGGTCGGGTAAACTGATCTGCCGTCTGGTCGAGTCGTCACCGAGCGAGTTCGAATAGTGGGAGAGGTAATCGCGCATCGCGTCGTCCAGGCTCTCGTTCAACGTCCGCGTCTCGTACACCTGCGGAAGCATCGAACGCTCGTTACACGGCTCGCGGGATCGCGTTTCAACAGACTGAACTTTCGTCCGAAACATTTTCCGCATATCTTCCAGATTCTTCGGAAAATTGAAGTGAATCATCCAGTATATACGTAGCGAAGCTACACTAATTATTCGAATACTCTGTGTGTAGCAGCTTCTAATGTGCATCTAATCCGACGGCGGGTGGCCACGAATTCGCTCGTGTAAATTGTAACGCCCGGTAGCGCTGAGAGAACGTTTCCCGTTGGAAATTGCGTTCGACGGAATCAGTGGTCGCAATGAAGCTGAACGAAGCGCAACTTACACGAATCTCGGGTGTCCCATTAAACTCATTGGCCATGGCGAAGACGACCCGCGGATTCTGCACGAGGTCCAAGTCCTGCCAGGCCAATTCATTCAGCTCCTCGATCCGCGTGAAGAAACCGAGATCGTTCGGCCAGTTGCCCAGCAACCTCGACCTCAGGGAAGCGAGTGTCACGAGGCCCAGGTCGCCGATTACGTAGCCGACCGACATCAGGGAAACCGCGTGTCTCAAGTGATCGAATGGCGGATCGTCGTCGCACCACACGGTCAGGCACGCGTGGAGGAACATGACGTTCCAGACGTTCAAGAAGAACGTCAGCGTCTCGTCGCCCACGGACAACTCGCCGAGATCGAGGGTGGCTAAGCTCGACGTCTTGCTTAACACAGCCCGCACGTCCGTGTGATCGGAAACACTCCTCAGGCGCGAATTCTCCAGACGAGGTTGCCCCGAGGTCACCAGGTGCAAAACCCGCAGGAGTTCCGTCAGAATCTCCGAGACGCACTGATTCGGTCCTTTCATCGTGATTACATTCTTCGTGTCCTACAAAGACGAAATATTCCCGATATTATAAATAATGGTAAGTAATGGAAATCATTTCGAACGTTAAACTTGTACCTGACTTTTCTGTAAATAAACGTTGAATTTTATGAAAAAAGAAAAAAAGGCACCGAATGGTAATTTGTACGCTACTAATACGTATGTCGGATTGTTGGGCCGATGACGGGTTCATACCGATATAACTCGATTCTGGTTTAGTACGACGCATCTTCCGGGATCCTCGATCCCCGTGTGACTTCTCTCGTTGTAACAGGAAATATTCGGGCACACGTTCACAAGGATGCTGTAGATTAAATTCACTTGCAGGCTAGAGGCGACCGTCTCAAGCTTATCCGGTTCTGTCTGCAACTCGAATAGCTGGTAGCCGAAGTAATGGTGCAACGGTGTTCTTAATAAATCCGTCACCGTCTGCAAGTTGGTGTCGTCTGAAAAAATACATAAACAATGAATCGGAAAGGCGAGTACAACGGTTTTTTAACGCTTGAAATTGGTTCACTTTTCAGCGAGTTACAGCGTTCCGCGAAGTTTATAATTTACTGTCGCTAAAACGACCAATACACGTATCGTCGTTGAAATGAAAGACTCACCATTCGCGTCGGGTATAATGGTGTACACAAGCTGTAAGTGCGAGTAGATATTCTGAAGGTACTTCTGATCGTTGTTATTCACGGCGGACATCCTTTTTATCATTTTCAATCCTCGAAGACGATTATCGCGGGAGCGCGCTTGGACGGCGTCTTCAGTCTTTGCTCTCTCGGTGTCGCGGAATGCGCGACAGTTACTCTCGAAATCGCTCCAGAAGGCGTTGCACTCCCTCCACTCCTTCGTGGACAATGGAATTCTCGCGTCGCACAATATAGCTGTCATCGGCGCGCCGCTCTTGCTCTCGTAAAACAATTGACTGATCCGCAGGAAGAAACTGGCGTATTCCGTATTGTCAAACGATTCGCCCAATTTCACGTACTTCACTGCGACGTCGCAGAGATTGCACGATATCTGGTGGGTTTGGCCGATCGTTAGGCTCAGGTCGAGCACGCTCAGCGTCAGCGTCTCGTTGCCGTTCCGAGTGTCCGCGTTCAGCTTCTGCAAGTGCGGCTTCTGAGACGCCAACAGTGTCTCGAGCTGGTTCGTATACCTGGAGGACTGTACACCTTCCTGCGCGGCCAGCCTTATGTTCTGCAATCATACAGCGCTCAGATATATCCCGGAAGATCAGGCTCTGGTCTACACGAAAGAGCGCGGAATCTCACCTCTAATATAGAACTTTTCGGACCTTCCCTGGGAGAGTCCGTTGCGTCTGACGTGCGCACGTATCCGAGCGTGTCCAGCTTGAATGCGTGAAGAGCCTCGGCAAATCGGACCTCGCTGTTTAACCGCGTGTTCTCCATGTGGAACATCTGGAAGATAGAACTACTATGGAAGAACGTTACTACGAACGGGAGAGCTTAACGATGTTGCATCGAAAGTTGACTGTATTCTTGTCGATAATCCAGATTCGTATTATGCGAACACCTTCTCATACAGTTGAGTATATATCGGGGCGAAGAACCGACATGCCGATTGAAATCCATAACGTATCTCGATTAATCCCCCCCTTAGCCGTCGGGCGAAGGAGACGAATTAAATAACATCGACCTTTTACAAGTTCCAAACTTTCCACCCTGTCTTAAGCTAATCGATTTGAAATTTGACCATCGGCCAAACGTCAGCCGCTCCATCTTTTTTGCCAACACGGATATAGAGAAATCATGGTTATTTTAATTTTTTTCTTTTATTGTAAAAAATCTAAAAAATCATTTCTGGCATTATATTTCTACATTTCATCATTCTACTTTCAATTATTATATATGTGAAAAATAAGAAAAAAATTGCGGAAGTTGCAATTCTTAATATCACTTATGCCGATTAATTTAATCGGAGGTTTGGCCGGAAGTCATCCTACGAGACTACCGATAATCACGCGCATCGCAGATAGACGTGCGGGACACGAAAGTATTCGAGATCGCGCTGGACGACATGAATTACGACGAGGAGAGCGAGAACGAAATGATCCAGCCGGCGGACCTCGCGGGCCTGAAGCCTCTCGCGGACGACGAGGGCAAATACAGGGAGTTACACTCCCACGTGAAGTACTACAATGAGCGTAACACCGAAGACAGAAAGCGGTTCCCCTACGTATTCCCCTACATGCGACCGCACGCGGAGGAGAGCACGTGGAGCAACTTCGAGGAAGAAGCGAAACCGTTCGTCGCCGGCTTTAAGCATGAATTCAGCAAGGTAAGTGTCGTTTAATCATGTTTTCCTCTTTCGCGCAATAAGAGAAACCTACTTGAACCTTCTGCGAACTCCGACTCTTTCACGACGGATGCCGTGATGCGAACAACGACGGTCACCCACGAGACGTCAATCGAGACTACAATCCGCGGGAACAAGAGAAACGTGCGGAGGAATTACGGAAGCCGTGAAGCAAAAATTACCACAGGTACTGACTGAATGTTAAACTAAGTGTGCTAAATCTACGACCAGGGACCAGGATCGAATGAAAATATCGGTTTCCGGTCCACTGAAATATTTAATGAAGGTTTCGGCCTCGGTTTTCTGGAATATCACCGGTACCGTTTAAATTGTGCGTTTTTTTCGACTCCGGTTCTTTAAACTTGTTTCCTTGTTGAAATTGGTATCGAATTAAATTTTATATAACAACGGGACACCCCGTGGGAACGCGGTCGACGCAATATGACGTCTACGGTGAAAACGGTAAAGAAACGGACGAGGATACGGAGGGAGGCGTAACGGATCATCGATCATTGATCTCAAGCGGAGGATTCACTCCCGAGGATACCGAGAGCCCCGACGAGGAGCCGTACGACTACGAGCAATTCAAGAAGGAGTACGAGCAGCAGCTGGAGTACGGCATGAAGCGCGGCAGAATGTTGAATTACACCGAGAAGGGGGAGCCGAAAGACGCGCCGAAGGAGGCGCTGAAGAGGATAATAGATGTGAAAAGTCCGAAGAATTGCACGAAGGAGGAAATCAATCGGATTGGTGTGGAAGCGATAGAATGCCTCGCGCACGACTACCAGAGAGCGAAGGATATGGCAACCGTGGGGACGGTCCTTTCACGGACATGGCTGATTCTCAGGGTCTGGCTGTTGATCTACGTCTGTCTCGCTGTCCCGTGCTGGTGCCAAAGAGGTAACTTCCCCGGATAATGTTGAACCTGCAGAAACAGATTTTATACACACACACACACAGTCTGCTGTACTTGTACATCTTGTCGGCAGCTTGCTAGCGGAAGTACAATAGAGTCTGCTGGTAGAGTGCGATAATACGATTGACGGGAGCAGAAACTGAGCAGAATCTGCCATTCTCTGAATTGAAGTATAGTACGGAAAGGCTCGGGAAAAATCCGACTTTTTTCAGGGTTCTCATTTTTCCGATTGATCCTGCTCGATTTCCGCAATTTCATCAATTCGTTGTCAAGTATCGTGTCAGCGAGCTCTGTCGACGGTACACGAGCTTAACGCGTGTGCTCGTGGATCCAACACGTATTCTGATCAAATCTACCGCCAATCTGCATCCGTTTGGCACGCATACGCTGACATTTTACTTGCTGGATTAACAACGAGGCCCGACGTTCTTCCCTGTAGCAACGAGCAACGTATCGCGTTCCAGGTTGGTGTTGCTGCTGCTTCCGTTGTAAATTCTGCTTTCCGCGAAAGAGAATTTTATACGCGAAGCAGTATTACGCTATGAATCCACCTGGCACGCTGGTGAAGGATTTAAAGAAGAAGGAGGACGTGAAAGAGCCTATTAAGTACGAAGCTACCGAATACGAGCGTGACGCATACAAGACGCTCGAGTCCGCGATAAGAAACCTCTGATCTCAGAAAGAAGGGTGGTTCGCATTCAACCGAGATTTTTTTTTTTTTCTTCCAATTTACATTAAAACACAAGACAGGATGCAACGATAACGTGACGCAATAATAATGTGACAATGTAATTTCGTTGTGTACGAAAAATAATAATCTCACCTCGATTACTTCCTGCGCCTTCTGGAGATCGCTTCTCCACAAACAATGCAGGAGCAGGCTTTTCTGCGAGGCCAACATCAAGTTGATCAGAGACGGTCTGTCCTTCGCCGTTGAGGGATCCGTTGGAACGACATTCCTGGAACGTTTCCTGCGTCTGGCGCCGCCGGCTAACAAGCCCGACTCCGAGCCGCTGTCGGACTTGAGTTTAGTCTCGTCCGAGGTGCTCTCCTCCTTGTAAAAGAACGCGTTCCCCTCGACGCGATGCGGCAAGTTCAATTTCGGCGCGATCGCAGGTTCCGCTTTACTCGTGGCGGGAGAACGACGAGACTGCGGGGTATCGACGGAGGAGCTCCCGATGAAGTCGGATTTCGCGTGAAATTTCAATCTCCACCGTGCGTCCACCAGTGCGGACGCAAAGGCGGACATACCTTCGCGGAGACGCTGCGCCTCCACCTCGTGTCCGCCGATTGTTTGCAATTTATCGATCTCTCGCGTCGCAACTGTCGTGCTCTCCCACAAGTAATGGAGGATGTCTCTCATGGCGTATTTATTCGACACAAAGCCCGATCTCTCGTATTCCACCGACTTATTGTTGTTATTATTTGTCCTCTCGAGCGATGCGCCGCAGTCGTCGTCTCTGGGATTGGCGTTCGTAGCGTTGAAGTCCTCGTAACGCAGGAACACTAACGAAAATATATTCCTCATCGTCTCTAGCCTCAAGGACAGCGGGAACAAGGTGGATAAGTATGCTGTTACGTCGGCGAAGCACTCAGCGATCTGCTCGTACTCCGTGTTGTAAGATTCGCACAATAAAACGGCCCTCAACGCGCTCACTATGCTGCAGTAAGCCTGAAAGTTCTCGGATTCAGGAGACGTGATCAGCAAATCTTGTACAGCATCGTGATCCTGTTCGTGTATATTCGTCGTCATCCTCAATACAGCGAGTACACTGTGTTTCTGCAGAAGAGCGAGAATCCGCTTCACCGATACCGTTTCTTCGATCGCATCGGATTGCGCGTTTCGTAACTCCTTAGCGCCTCCTAATCTCGTCCTCGCGAAATACCTTCTCTTCCAATGTAATATGTACTCCACAATGGAGACGTGCTTTTTCAGAAGTACGTAAAATCCATTCAAGTCGTAATCGTCGTGTAAATCCGGATAACACTTCTCCAGCAAGAACTTGATGGATTCACAAGTGACAATGCCGCTGTCACAGTGTTCGAGGGAACTGATTTCCTCGTGTGGACATTCGTTTAACGCTTTCAACAGTAAGATTGGATACAATCTCTTCATCGTGTCACATGATAACAATAATTCTACTTCGCTGTATTTCCTGTTCACAGTTAAGACGTAACAAATGTCCTGCAACACACAAGTTCATTGCAGAAGCTGTAAATAATTTTGTTTTATCGAAAAGAGTTCAGAATATGGACTATAATATTATTTCAGATAATTTTTACACGAGTACGTTTTTTTATCTAAGATGAAGATCAGTATATTTTGTATTTCTTTCATCCAGGTAAAGACAAAAATGAACTATTTATTCGTCTGGATGATTATTTAATATATAATAAATAATTTCATCTAGATACCGGCAAACGCTGATTATTAGTGACTGAAATTATAAGGAAATTTAGGATATAACGCTAACCAAAATATCACTCAACCAGTGCGACCTCCTCGTGCTTATCCTCTTGAGCAATTCCTGTTTGCACAGAAGTACTTCGGAGTTTTCCGTTAACTTGAATATATTCCCACCGATTTTGTATGCAGTGTCCAAAGTGGCGACGCTTTCGGAACACACATGTGTCTCGTCCCAGAACGAAAGCCATTCGCTGAATAATTTCCCATTTCTCCTCGAGTACAATGCAAGCTCGATATCCTTGACATTGCGTGTTTTCAGTAACATGGGGTAAATTGTCTTGAAAAATTCCACCCCGGCATTCGCATCCACATCCATTTGCAACAAAACACACAGTAAGGTTCTCAAATGATCATCCTGATTGGACGGGCCATTTCCCGAGGAACAAAATTCAAGTGCATCGTGTCCAGAGTGCCAGATCTTTCCGAGCGGAGCGTGTTTCAGGCATAATTTCAACGTAGAAAAATAAATATCTCGCAGATCATCGGCAACATTGCACAGTGCGTTTGGAACTGCGGATATTAATTTGTTTACGATCCAGCATACAATTCCTGAGCGCATGTGTATATTCTCTTTTAGGAATGCGAGAGTCTGTTGGGATATGGCGCCTACTTTCGTACTGTGCTTTATGCTGGCGTCCCTAAGGAACATTAGTAATTCCTAGAGGATAAATTTCCGTTTCAAAATAAGAAATTCAAAGGAATATAAAAAAGATAACAGACAGTCGTCGGATATATACATTAAATTTAAGACAAATCTTGAACGTTCAATATAAACTTAACTTGATAAATTTAAACAATAATCCTACACACCAAACCTAAGATGATTCTTAAGGAATACCTTGTACACGTATTCCGGTGCATTGTCACACAGGTCTATGGCACTTTTCATCTGTATGTAATCGAGTTGTATCTGAATATTGCGATGTATGTCACACTCGACATTGGACGACTTGCTCACAAGCTGCCACAGCAAGATAGAGGCGATCCACTGGTACTGTTCTTCGCTCGGCGAATGACTGCAAGCATGCGCTTCGTCACTTCATGTAAAAGGAAACAACGAAACAGTACAAGAACGATCGGTTGAGCGTTTACTCACATCAAGCTTTCGACCATAGCCTCCAGTTCAGTCAGGTCGACGCCGCAATTGTGATTGAATTCTTTCGAGGACTCGCCGTTACCGTTTGCCTGAAAAACACTCAGAGACGTATACCACAATCGAGATGCGATGCACTTATCCATCTCCAACGCTCCCGTTTGTTTTGACATCTCTTCCGGAGACATTGCTTGAGACGTAGGAAACTTATTGAATCACTTTATACTTTTCTCTTCGCCTCGATATCAGTCTCCTACGAGGCTCGATGAGGCTCTTTGTTACGTTGTACTTGTACAAACCGGAAGAAGTATCGACACATGAAACGTAGTCAAACATGACACAATGCGATTATGCGAGGACAAAAAGTGTCACTGATTGTTGGCGAGATCTTTCGTACGAGCATAACCCCTCTCTCTCTCTCTCTCACTCTCTCACTCACTCTCTCTCTCTCTCTCTCGCACACACTCACTCACTTATGAAGTTTGTTCTTTATAACTGAACTAACAAACAGTGCAAGGACAATGTTTTCCGTTTACAGACATGTTTGTACGTTAGTTGTATTTATATATTATATATTATGTTTAATTGTGTGAATTTTCATATTTGTAGAAAGTATCAGGGCGACATAACAGAAAGGCAGGAAAGCATGATGCGGACATAAAGCCCGTATCAGACTGCGAATTGGGGATTGAGATTGAATTGAATTTAGCCAATCGGTGTAAAGTTAACTAAGCTCAAGTTTAGTGAAATCTAGTGAATTCCACACTGATTGGTCAAATTTCAATTCAATTTCAAACTTCAATTCACAGTCTGACACAGGCTTTATTCTTTCGCTGCACGCCTTGCACTCGTCGTGGTTCTGGCTTGTCCTAGTTCGGTTCTCGTGCAGTCCGAGTTCAGCTAGAAAGAATAAACCTAAAAAGAGTTCAGAATACAGGTCACTGTTGATTCGTTCTTTTTAGCCGCACTGCTGAACTGGTGTAGTAAGTTAGAATAAGACCAAATATATTGTGTCTCATTCCAACTTATTGAACCGGTTCAGCAGTGCAGCTAAAAAGAACGGACCAAACGTCTATGGCCGCGACCGTGTTTGCATGACGATGGTACGGATAAAATTGAAAACATCAGAACAGCACGAGATCCCGAATACGATACTAAAAACGATGAGAGCAAACTGTTTACTTTCCAAACGACCATTTTATTGTCGCGAGTATCGTAGACTTTAAGTTAGCGAATATACAATGATACAAACTGAAAGTGAGGTGAGACTGATTAGAGGTTAGGCGGATTTAACGAATAAACCGGCAGTACGCTAAGCGGAATTGTGATCGTATCTTTTGTTTGACTGCGAAACGTTATTTATTTATTCATCGTCCTTCTATCGTCACAGTTACGTGATGAGATTTTGTGGAAAATAATTACGCGGAATATCGCCTGCAACACATAAATACGTTTGAACCAAACAGGCGGGAAACTCAGGATTCGAACCAATTATGCAAGTAAGCCTCCAGCTAGCAATTAATTCAAACGTTTCCACGAGTTCCCGATTTGAATGATTTCACACGTTCCATCTTTGTGCAGAGAAAAGCGAGAAAAACGAGACGTCAGATCTTGGCGGAGAAGACAGCGGCGCAGCTGCTACTGGTCAATAAGGCTAACGCACTGATGGATCCTTTGATTACTCTGCCGGAATTCCACCGGTACGTCACGAAGGACGACGACGTGATAAGAGTCACCTGCACGAGGGCTAAGGATGCGCAGCCAGAATGTCTCTCCTGGATCTTCGACATCATGGAGAGGAATGTGAAGGATATGTACAAGCGGTCCAGCTGGGGCTGGGACGCGACCGAAAAGCAGGCGGAATTAACGGAGGAGACGGCTTGGTATCTGGTGGCGTCGTGTGACGACAAATTTCTAGGCTTCTCGCATTTCCGATTCGACATCGATCACGGTGACGTGGTATTGTACTGGTACGTATATGTATAAGCAGTGTTTGCCAGTATCTAGATAAAATTATCTAAATAATCATCCAGATTAATGGTTAGATTATCTTTGTCCAGATGGAAGAAATTATGGTTTCCTGTTCTTTCTAGCTGCACCGCTTAACTGGTGCAATAAGTTAGAGCGAAACAAAATACACTTGTCACATTCTAACTGCATCAGTTTACAGCAGTGCAACGAAAAAGAACAGACCATCTGTTTCGATTGATCAATCTTCCACTTCAATCCTGTATCAAACAGTCGACTAAGTGAGCAGCTAATGATTATCGGTCTTTTTTTGTTAGGTCCTTAAATTTAGAGCGGCTACGTCGACGAATTAACCGTTGCGCAATTTTACAATCTGCGTGATTTTTATTATAAATTTTTATAAAATATCTCATGAAAACGAGTAATCTAGAAAATTATCTGGATAAGTAGCGCCACTTATCTTTTATCGAGAGAAAAGCAAAATGATCTTCATCTAGTTGAATCTGAAATCATCCAAGGCAAACACTGTGTATAAGGTGGTCGAAAATAAAACTCTGCGTGTACGTGTTGAAAAAATTAAGTATTTACATGTGTAGCTACGAGTTACAACTGGAACCGTCGATCAGACGGAAGGGGCTCGGCCGTTTCATGATATCAGCCCTGGAATCCATGGCCTGTCAGAATCAGATGCAGAAGGTGGTTCTGACCGTTTTCGCGCACAACCCGACGGCGATACAATTCTTCTTTGCTCTCGGGTAAGGGGAACTCAGTCCAACGAGTATTATTACAAACATGTCCGATCAACATTGACGCCATTAATAATATCTCCGACGAATATCGATCGTTAAAACTCCCTGTGCTACATTGCACACAAATCATTTCTCACAAGTTCATTTACACTCGTACACATCTACTCTTGACGTAATGTTTCTAATAGTTTATGTACAATATAGCACAAGAGCATATATAAAATTGCTGTGCAATCGATTTTACTTTACACAATTCATAATTGACTAGTATTAAAGTATTTATTTTGATAAAGAAGTAGTTCTATCACATCGGTCCGTATTCTCACTCTTTATCAATTCACCGATTATTCCAAATATGACCTTCACTCCGTACCTCGCGTTTATATTATATAATGCGGATCTCTCGGTAAAACAAGCAGAGGACTCGAAAAGTCAAGTACACGGGTGAGAATACGTACCGTTTGTTATCTCGCTTATTCACAATATACTCGATCACCTCACATAATCTTGGTGATACCTTAGTGCAGCAGCCTTGGTGCAGCACCTATTTAGCGTCAAGAGAACACTTGTCGAAACACTTTGTCAGAACTAAATGCACGTACGTAAAATATCAGGATTATACCCTCCTTTTATATAAATCTATCGATCGAAAGATTTACTAAATCACAGGAATCACTAAAGAGTAACGTCCACATAATTAACATAAATAAAAGAAACCACATCGAACATGTGAGCTGAATAGTAAAAGTAGAATTGATCAATTAAAACGGAAAAAAGCGATTATGTAGATAAATAATAATTTCATCTTCTAATTTCTTGCTTTAATACATGACAATTAACGCACGAGGTAGACTAAAATTATGCTATTATTTACTTCTATATTGCATTTTGCTATAAGACCTATTGCCAGAAGTTGACAACCAAAATAATCAGCGGATTAGATACTGAAATCTTTTCAGCATACTGAAATCTTTTCACACACATACACACACACGCGCGCGCGCGCGCACGCGCGCACGCACACACACAACACATATATCTTAAATGCACATCACATGTGTAATTTTAAGGAAGGTGGACCTTTCGGTTCGTACAGTTTGACTGCATTTTAGTTGCAATATGGTTAAACATATACATTCCCTGGCCATATTATTAAGCCAGGGACTGTATTAGGTAGGTAAAATGTATAACCGCACTTGCACTCACATTATTATAATTTGTATATCACAAAACGTAGCATTACGTTGTAATACGTGAAACTGAGCGAGTAAGATTTCCCGGTCGAAATAAAATGACACGAATATTGAATGTCGCATCTGTGCAATGCTTTGTTGCAGATACAAGTTAGATCACACGAGTCCACCCGCTTCGGCAAAGTTGGATTACATGATCTTGAGTAAACAGAATTTACGCGGATAAATAGAAAGCAATCACTCATCCCGCTACGCTAAACCACTCTCTCTTTCTCTCCTGAGGACCTCGCTGAATTAAGACTGCGTCTTGTGAAATAGGATCGGTAGTATCTGATGCGGGCACAGGTTGACAACGGGCGACTTCAAGGAAGGCCCGACATTGTGGAACGTCAGGGGCGCTTTGCTTATGGTCCAGTCTTCCATGTCGTTGAGAAACTTGGTCAGGTCGACCTCACCCGATTCCGAGACGTTCAAGCGTCGTAAGAGAGGGTTGTTGAAACAGGTGTCCAAGGCAGGCTGATGCAACACCATGCCGATACCTTTGCCGGCACCCTCGGGTATAGGGAACACTCGAAGACTGACGATGCTTAGGTCTACTGGAAGATCGTACCGGAGCGGCGAGAAGTGGGCGTGCAGGTCGAACGGCAGAGAATTGTGAGGATGCAGCGCCACTACCGGGTGCAGTGACTCCTCCAATGCCAAGTGACTGCTCAAGGATAACAGTCCGGCGGGATGATTCGCCGGTGGTGTCGCGCCGGGGCAGCTCGTTTCCCTTTTCTCCAGGATCAACGTGAACAGGTGGCTCGTCAGCAGGTTGTCCATCACACCCTGTCCCAACCCTCGATTGTCATCTTGAAGCAGCCTTCTATCTTGCATGATCTATTTGTAAGACTCTACTTAGACTCTCTATTGTCCATCGCATAATTTGTATGAATTTTTAAGAATAATATATATATATTACGCTCAATCTCTCTCTTTCTTTCCGAAGTAAATTTCTTTGACAAAATCCGTGAGAGATNTATAAATCGTTAAAAAAAAAAAAAAAAAAAAAAGATAACAGTTACGGCGTTATAACACGTTACTCCCTAACTCTGCATATCAATGTTCATTTTTTTTTTATACGACGTCGCGTCAAATTCTCATCAAGGTCAAGTCAACCGACTTACCTCGAGCTGACCAGATGCCATAGAAGCTACTCCCAATGGCTGAGCCGTGGTAACCGTCAATCGAACTCTCTTGTCTTCTATGTACGCACTTGCTGCCATCGGGTAGTAATTGCCTTGTGTGGGAAGTTTTGGAAATCTCTGTCTCCTGATCATCTGAAATTAACCGAGCGGGATTCATTTTGTATCTCGAAGAAAATGAGAGATACATGTTATGCAGGGTGTATCCCACCTAACTCGAGCATCTGAAATATCCCGCTTGCTTTTTGCGATGGGAAAATATATCAGGGGCAAACATTGCTACGAAATCTATATAATTACGTTACGGGTGGACAGAGACGATGCCGAGGAGTATGAATTCTGCTCCGTCGGAATGCTTACATTGAGTCCGTTTAAATCGGTGAAGAACTGATCGCCGGACGCGATGTCGGTGTTCAGGCGCATCGCGAGCTCATAGTTTTGCGTCTCGCTGATGTCGACCTCGTTGATTATGTGCAGTCCGAGACCGTCGCTGCCGGGCGAATTGAAAAGCGTACAAGTGTGCCGCACGTGTGACAATTCTACGAACACTCTGGACAGAATGGGGCCGGTTACTAAGTGAACGATCGTCTTGCTGTCCACAAACACGAGATCCGGCTCCGGCTTGTCCGGCAGAAACAGATAAGCGCCGCTCTTGTCCTTGCCGGAGCCCCTGGTGCCGTACTTGACGAAGTCTAAGTGCACAGGGAACGTGGTGTTTCCGACCCTCAGCGCCTTCAACAGACCGGACTTGCCGAAGGAGGCGGACAATTCCGGCAGCTGGGTGATCGAGAACTCCTGCGTGTGCGGTAAAACCGTCAAGTGGCTGAAGCCGGGTAACGATGGCAGGCTGCTGACGTCAGCGTTGAAGACGGTGACATTGGCAGGGAACACTTCTCTGTTTTTGAGGAGGAGAGACACACGTGAAGTTTTAGCATCTTGGGATCGCATCGGGTCCATCATAAACGACTTCCTTAAACAAACTTAGATTTTACGCTGCACGTAGACATTGTCGTTGTATTTACCTCACGTACGACGCTTTGTGCAATGCGTGAACCACGTATGTAGTGATACCGAACCCTGGCACGGTGACCAGAAAGGAGAGTTCATATCTAGCCGCGGACAATGCGGCCGGGCCGATCCAAATAGGCGATATCTGACACCTGACGGTCTGCCCTCTTCGATCAGTGACTTTGACAAACGGCGTCGATACGATCAAAGTTTGCACCTTCGTTCTTTGCCTCGACAGGGAATTGTAGAAGACTACTTTCCTCGAAGGGCTGTCGTCTCCGAGACTGAGGACGTGCTTCTCGCCAGCATTGGTATGATGTAATCTTGAACCGAACGATTACTACATTACTACATTATGCGTGTAAATGACATTATGCTGATTATCAGGTGGATTTTAGTCCTCGTACCTGGTCTCATCTAACGTGAAGTATACCGCTTCTAAATCCAGAGGTGAGATTTGCGGGGTCTTCAATAGATGCGCTATAGATTGTTGAAGGACGTGGGCCGAGCTGTTCAATGCGGTTATCATTTTCTGCGCGTAATCGATAACAACGTTATCCCTGGCGGTCCCGGTGATGCCGTCGTGATGCTGAAATAAGGAATGCCACATTCTAGCCGTGCTCAGACGAGACGCGAGGTTACCCTCCACCAGCTGATCGTTGCCTCTGGCCCAGGCTATAGCAGCCAATGCTTCTGAGCCTCTCAGAGAGCCCAGTAACACACGATCCAGTCTTTTGTGGAAGGGCCTAGACAGATTGAAAAATTATACATCCTTTCTCTGATATTTCAAAACCTGTTTGAAGCTCACACGGCGTTACCAGTGCTCGCTTCACATGATTTTGCTTTTAATTTATCTAGATGGAGGATAAATAGCGCTACTTATCTAGATAATTTTTTAGGTGATGCATTCATGAGAGATAAATTTCATAAAAATCGAATCTCCGACCCCCTAGTTTGATACGAGTTTAAGGTCCATATTATTTCATTCATTTGATCGAAAAGTGAGTTCAGAATACGGACCATAACATCATTTCAGATAATTTTCCGATGAGATAACATGTTGTCTTTTATCCAAAACGAAGATGAAAATATTTTGTATTTCTCCCATCTAGATAATCTATTTAATCTGGACGATTATTTAGATAATTTCATCTAGATACCGGCAAACACCGGGCGTCACATACCTGGAGGTGTAATAACCGCTCCAATAATGATCATCCCTGTCGGAATACGTGAAGAAGTCGCCGGACAGAGTCGGGAACTCATTCAAATTGCGCTTTTCTCTGACCGCATCGAAGTAATCGCTCAGCGTGCCGAATTGTATTTGAACGTTCAAGTATTGATTCTCATTCATGTAGTTGAAAAGCTTCTGATAATTGTCGTACTGTGCCTCCCATTCGGTGAGATGCGTGTACCTGAAGTCGTCGCCCAAGGGTACCAGCAGCACGTCGGTCTTGAACAGCTGCGCCTTCTTGCGATACTGATCCAGCAGGAGCAACGCCCTCTCCGCCACGTTCGCCTTGGTTATCGTCTTCGGCGGTACCTTCCACGGGCAGCTCAGGCCGAAGTTCTGCATCCTGTAGAAGTCGAATTGGCAACAGACCTTCGGATCCGGTCCGCACGTGTGCGGCACGTCGTAGCTGTAAAACGGCATGACGTGGGTGAAGAGTTCCGTGGAGCCGTCGTTGTCCCACAATTGCCGCCAACGGAACTCAAGATTCTTATCCCTGGCCAGCTTCTTCTTCACCGAGTAATGAACCCTCTGAATCAGCAGATTCTCCAACCCCGAACTCTTCAAGAGATACGGCATGGTAGGGGAGAGACCGAAAGGATCGATGGCCCAGCCTGAGTTCGGCGTGTAATCCAAGTTGTACTTCAGCCATTGGTGGCCCTCGGTCAGCTGTGTGAGCTGAGCTATCCAATGGGACACGGATTCGTCCGGCATCACCCATCCCCCGGACACGATCTCCAATTGGCCGTCGTGTATCAGACGGCGCACCTCGTCCCTGATAGCCCTCGACTGGTCATCCCACCAGAGCTTGAAGAACGATATCTCCGCCCAGATGAACTTACGCCTCCTGTCCTCGCCCAGCTTGGTCACCATGTTGTTCAGTATGCTTCTCGTTTGAAAGGTGTAGTACTTCTCGAAGGTGTTCAACCAGCCGGGATCGTTGTGCGAATGGGGCACGACGAAGACCTTCAGTTTTCTGTTGGGGTGCCACTGCTTCTCGTCGTACACGATGTTCCAGCCCTGCTTCCACACCCCGCCGTCGGGATTGTCGAATTCCAGCTGCTTGTACAGCTCCAACATCTGCACGTCGACCGCCGGGACTTTGCGTATGTTGAAGTTACACGTGAGACTCCTGCCCGGATGCGGCGCCGCGGCGTCGGAACGGTTCACGTGGCTGACCGGCTGCGCGACCGGGTTATGCTTGACTTTCGCCGCCTCCTGCAGGGCGTTCATCACCTTGTGATGCTTGTCGAAGTCCTTCTCCAACTTGGCCAGTCTGTTCTCGAAGTGAAGCCACTGATTCTAAAAGGAAAAAAGAAACAAACACAGTCTTACGCATAGCACATCGGTGTGATTGTAAATTTTAGGTATAGGCGAAACAACTCCGCGGGAAGTGAAGGTATTCTCGCTGCGCGAACGTACGTCGTTCATGGAAAACTTGGGACTCTGTCCGGGTGGGAAGAGTGTCAGGTCCATCATCAGGTAGATCATCACGCAGCAGGCGAGGATCAGGCCTACTCCGAGAATAGCGATGGTCTTTCTAGTCCTCATAGTCACGAATTTTGTTTAAAGGCAAAACAAAACTTCCCCTCGCACCCGCTTCGCCCGTACACGCAGCTCACGCAAATTGAGCGGCTGCTGCTCGAGCCTACGTATGCCGAAAAGAAAAATCTATCCACGACCTTAACCTATTTCGTCTCATCGGCACAAACGACTACATGATAGGAGGGCGCGCTTATTTCGAGCTTTCAGCGAACACACTTTGCGGAAATATCGGAATACTGTGACTCATAAATCCGATTTCTCCCGGATCTCCCGACAAAAGGAATCTTCTCTCTCTCTCCCTCTCTCACTCTCGTCGCTTGTGCGCGTCTCACTCTCGGTGGTTTTATTTTATGGCGCGGATCATCGTTGTTGTACCGCGTTGTATCACACATCGGTATCCATTTGTGTGATCGCTTTGATTTTTCAATCGCGTATACTACTTTTTCACGACCGGCCACGTTGGCGACGAGACGACGCGACTCGGCGATGACCCTCGATACGTGACGTACGACTGACAATTTAAACGTCACAGTGAGGTGCAATTGACGTTCTTATCGTAGGGAACAGACGCCGAGTACGGAGAATTCTCAAATTAGTCCCGGTCTACGATAGATGATTCAAGCCTTAAGTCTTAAGAAATTGACCAATCGAATCATAGAGAAATAATCAATTGTGATTGGTCAGTGGGCTCTACAATGAGAACTTAGCGTAAGATTTAAGAAACCGACCAATCATAATTGGTTTTTCTTCTATAATTCGATTGCGATTGGTCAATTCCTTAAGGCTTAGAGCTGAAATATCTCATTGTAGACATCGCTTTAAATATAAGATCCGACTGTAAATATCGGTCTAATGTCCGTGTCGCATTACGGATTAGGACTGAAATTGAACTGAAATCTGACGAGTCGGAAGAAAAGTTCGCTAAACTCGAATTTAATCAAACTCGCTCCGATTGGTCGAATTTCCATCCAATCTCAATCCGTAGTGCGATACGGGCAGAACTCCCTTCCCCTCAAAACCCTCTACAGACGGATCTCCACGCACACCGTGACGATTCTTGCGCCTTTCTCAAGTTCTCGGTTCGCGCGAATCAAACATGGCTTCTCGTATGCGAAACATGACTCGATGAAAATGAGCTGGAATAAGCAAGTCGTCGTCGATTTAACCGCGCGCATGACACCGCACCGTACCAGATCCGATGTTGCTGAGCACAGCTAGTTTACTCTGTTGTTCAGTTTCGGTGCGAATTACCTGTGCGGAGACACCATGGCTGACGAGTGGAAACCCGACGCGGAGGACAATCCGACGATGCAACCGCCCGTCAGGGACCTGGGCTTTTGTCCGCAGAAGGAAATAGCGTACAATAAACTGCTGCCCTATGCGGACGAGCTCGACGCTGAGTCGCGGATCTTGCTCGCCGAGATCAAGGAGAATCTGGGTCGCGCGGTTATGCTCCGTGAGATCAGACCAGCGTGTTCTCTGTGGTCTAATAAATTATACAAGTAGGTAGCGGCTGCTGTCCTCCTTACTCGAATCAAATTTCCTCCCGATGACGTATATATGTATATTATAATTTTCACACGTAGAATTACACCAAGTATCTTCCAGATATATGTATCTATACGGGATGAAGTTCAGTAAAGAAGACCATATAATATTTATAAAATTGATGTACGAGCTGGTTACTATACCGAATCTGGACCCGGAACTTGTTAATAGATTCGGCTCTGCGTTGCTTTTGCTGTTGAAGTAAGTAAAGAGCGCAGATTGAAGAGTATCGTCGCTCGGATGCACATGTATTTGATATTGCGGAGCGTGTTTGTGGGAAAGTTCCACGATATATTTCCAAAAGGCCGAGTTAAATAAGGCCTGTGCTTGATATCGTAAGCTGCAGTCGGGAAACCTGTTCCACGAGAGAACGGGCTCGATTTAAGCACGAGACGGAAGAACGAAAAGCTTAAGCGTAGGAATGATTTGGTGTTTTTCGGACAAGACACGTCTGGTGTGTCACCAGTGACGTTACGAATGACACGGGCAATTAGTATACATCGAAGTGGGATTGTAGTAAAGATCCGACAGAGCAAGCAGATCTCTTGCCGCTGCAAAAGTTTTGCTTTCTTATCTCATCTCGCGATGCTGTGCGCTGTTAAACTTTCCCCTTCTTTTTCTTTTCATTTCAGGAAAAAAGAGCTAATTAGTCCCGACGAGTTGGAACTTCCGTGGAGGCCTTTGTACGAATTGATGCACCCTCTGAAGAGAAACTCGGTGGTCGCGTTAGGAATACACCGTTATCCACCGTGGGTTAAGAATATATTGCGTTGCCTGATCCGTGCTGCGAAGACTTATTTTCCCGTAAGCTGATCGTAATTTTAAGAAAAGAGAAACGATTTCTTTTTCCTTCGGGTTCCCCGGATCTCCATTGGCGTGCGACTAATCCTTGTATTTGAAAATGTTGCCACAGTTGAGCACCACGCAAGAGATACTAGACGAATTAAGACCGATGTTCTGTCCGCTCGATGGATCGACAATGTACGCGAGCCTTCAGACTTTAGAGACTTTTTTACCGTTGCAATTACCTCCCGAGCGTCATTCCGTCGGACATCGCCTGTGGTTCGAAGAGTTCATAACTATGTGGCGGGTGTGTCACAATGCGCCGGCGTGGGAGAACGATATGATGTGGCTGATGGCGAAATTGGCGACCTACAATATCGGATATATCGACTGGGAGCCGCATTTCCCGTTGATGTTCACCAGATTCGTGCGGTGTTTGAATCTGCCGGTGACGTACAAGCAGACGCAAGCCGGCAGAGTCCACAAGATGGAAATCACGCCGATAGCTATGTGGATAGTAGCGGTTCTGGTAAGGATTATGTGTGTTGCCATAAATATATAATAAATCAATAAAATCATGTAGACAAATATCTTTATATATATATATATATATATATATGTGTGTGTGTATGTGTATTGCAGGGAAACGGCTCGAGTGCGCAAATGTACTTGGAGAAGTTTCTGAAAACCATCGAAACATATTTTTACCCGGCGAACTTTGGACGGTGGGTAGGAAAGTTGAAGGAACTTCTCATCAAACTACCATATTACATTATCTTACGCTTACATAGGTACGTTGATGCGTGATATGTACGATCGGATTATAGCTTTCATTTAACCCACACAATTTAAGGACAGATATATATATATATATATTTTTTTTTTGCTCTAGAGAGAGATACGCCAAGCCGACGTGGGAAACTCCGATTCCTGATAATTACAAATTGACCGACGGTGACGTCGATGCCTTCGTGAAAAGCATGATGCCATTAGCCATGACAGCTATGTTCAGCAAGTTCGGTGTGAACGACGCCTGCCACGCTCTACAGCACCTCGCTACTATGAGGCCAAACTTAGTAATACCGGATGTGCTGGAACGAATGTACTCTACGCTCGATTCCCTTACCGAGCCCCATAAACTTACAGCCTCAATGATCTGCATGGTGGCCGTTGCCAGACCGATGGTGCAAGGTTCTAGAAATATAAACAAAGGTACGACGCTCATCTCCAACTCTGTTCTTTGTTGGCTGAACTTGGTTGCGCTTGTTTGCACAGAAAGAGAGAGAGAGAGAGAGAGTGAGAGAGACAAAACAGTTGGTCTGTTCTTTTTAGACCGCACCATACCGAACTATGGTGCAGCTAAGAAGAACAGATCAAATATTTATTAGGTTCTGAAGGAAATGTGAAAGCAGGATCTCAATAAGAGAGCCAACGCGGTTGTTGCCGATTCAAGCGGGAACCAAGAATTAGCCTGGAATTTCATACGTGGAGCACATTTTTCGCTCCTTTTAATCGCAATTCAGTAGAAAGTTCATTATTCTCATTATCTTCACTGGTTGAAAAAAAAAAAGAAAACAGGCCGTCTCAATCTCTCGTTCTCGCTGTTGCAGGTTACACGTACCCGGAGGGGCCGACTCACGTGTTGCCGCTGCTGTTCTCGTCTTTGCCCGGTATCGATCCGAACGACATCGGCAAGTGCTTCGCCACGTTCCGCTTGATCTCGGTTTACGCGACGATGATACCGATCGTCGATTCCTCGAGGTCGACGGCGAGCATGACCGAGGAGGAGCGGATGATCTGCGAGGCTACGTCGCGCTTCGAGGACTTCATACTGCAGTTCCTGGACCGGGTGTTCATGTTCATCGACTCGAGCTCGTTGGAGTACGTGCGGCTTGAGGGCCGCGGCAACAGCTTGAAGAGCAAGCTCGAGTCCGTGGCGGAGACGGCGCTTTACGGTGTCTGCACGACCCTCCTGATCGAGACCAGCGGCACCATCTTCGAGAGCGCCCTGCACAAGCTGCGCACCTTCATCACGGAACGGATCCTCGAGACGAAGGTGGCCGGCCAGCTGGCCGCCGTCGTGTGCAAAAGTTTCTCCCGCTTCAACGGACGCGACACGCTGCGAGCGTTGGTGCCGGTGCTCGCGCAAACGATTCTACCCGCGGTCGGCGAGGGCGAGGATGTGCTCAAGGAAGAGAATCTGGACCATCGGCTTCTGCACGCGATGCTGATCATGTCGGCGGTAGTCGACACGCCAGGCAGCAACCTGCTGCCGCATATGGACACGCTGATGAAGGTCCTCGATTACGTTCTGCTGTTGAGGTCGACCGACGGCAACAAGCTGGCCTGCCACCTGCTCAAGTGCATCCTCACGTCCCTGTCGACGATCACACCGTACCAGTACAGGTCCACCAAGAGGAGCTACAACGACCCCGACTATCCGTACGTTCGTGACTGGGGCCAAAGCGCGGACGTCAATACCTTCGACATCAAATGGTACATCCCCGGCGAGGAGGAGATCGCAACTATACAACGAATATTCGCGAGATACCTGACGGTGCAGATCGACAAGCTCAGGAGCTACTGCGCGGACTCCAGCACGTTGTCCAGGTCAGTCCGTTTCCGCTCCCCCCCCTTCATTGGTCGTTTCGTTTACACTCGGTGTTTGCCGGTATCCGGACGAAATTATCGAAATAATCGTGCAGATGGACAAACAGATCATCTCATCTAAGATGAATTCTTTCGGATTTTCGTCTGACCTTCGTCTAGATGAATCCGAAGTTGATTTAAGGCAAAAACACTGTTCACACTTGTAACGTCTGAAATCGTAACGTCTTCGACGATAACATGCGTACATCGAATGACTGTACAGGGAACAGCTGTTCGTCTGCCTGAATATCGTATGCGGCATTATCCGAGGCTCCGAGACCATTCTGCCGATATGGGAGGAAACGCCGCTCGAATTGGTGAAGTCCTCCTTCAAGTGGACGTCCATGATGCCCACGTACGGGATGAAAGGGTACGTCACCATGCCCGACGGTAGCAACGTCAGGCATTACATCGCCGGAGTTATGAGCGAGGTCCAACGGGCGATGCTTGAAAATGCGGCGGACAACACGAAGAGTTTCTTCGCGTTGATACGGGTGCGTGTTAACACGAGACTGCGTGAAAGTTGAAAAAAAAAAGAAAAGCGGACCACAATATCGTTCAGTTCTCGAGATATCTGACCTGTTTCACTTTTCGGAAATTTCGCACCCCGTGTACCTGCGTGAAGTATTTCCACGCGTTCTTATCCCCGTTAAATTCCACACACTTGATCGTTTCCACGATGAAATCGTTCCAACGAGTGAATTCGAATGAAACTTGACAGATTTGGGGTAGTTTGTTGCTGGGGAGGATACGGCTGCGCGATTCGCACGACGGTAGACGGAAGAACTTCCAAATGGCGAAGAGGATGTTCGAGGACCGATTGGTGAAGAATAAAGGCGCGATGGGCCCGATATTGTTGGAGCGTTGCGACATCCAGCACGAGGCGCGAATGTTCGCGCAATCGGTCGCCCTGACGGAGACCCACAAGCGCATCATGTTGGAGCTGTTCACGCTCGGTATAAGCAGATACTCGGACGTGCGTTTGAAGGCGCAGTCGAGCCTCTTCTCCGCCCTCAAGTATTTCCCGTACTCCTACACGTTCATAGTGCCCCGTCTAATCGACGTTCTGGGGAAAGACACCGAGGAGCATCACGACGCCTATAAGGTAAACGACGGTTTGTTACGTTGATTTCGACGCGACAGTCAAGTGCGATTGTTCGTTGAAGAGAACTCACGGTAAAGGGTCTCTCCCGAGTGGGGACCACCCCGAAGCTTCCACTCCGTAGAGCTCCTGCTCTATGCTGTAGAGAAGAACTGAGACTTCCCTTCGTCGAGAATTTACTTTTTCCAAGGGAGAGAATCTCGTATCTTTCTCGTTGGAGAGAGCTCGCCTTCCTCGAAGAAGAGCTTACTAACTTCCGAAACCCCACAGGGTGTCCTGTACATGTTATTCGGGCCGCAGTTTGATCCCATAATCACAGTGGAGAACTGGAGCACGTTGCAAACACTGTGGCCGGCGATCGTGCTGTCCAAGCCATCGGAGAAGCTCTCTGTGATCCGCCTGAAGGAAAACATCGTCGACACTGTGAGTAAGTACTTCATCACGATCACCATCGAGCTCGAGATGCCCGACTCGTGCCTGACCGCTGCGCGCGCCCTGTGGCAACACTTCCCCCGGCCGGCCGCGCCCCAGCCCGACGAGGACGAGATACGGGAGGGCGTGCTTAACCTGAAGCGATTCAGCGAGTCCAATCTGGCGGCGTACAACGGTCTGCTCGACGAGCTGCTGCGCTGCATACTCGAGGAGTCCCTGCACTGGCGGCACAGGCTGATGGCGATGAGCTTCATACAGGACCTGGTGCATCCGAATCAAGTTTACTCCGCGAAAATCGTGCGTTGCTTCCTGCAAGCGCTCGTGCACGATTCCCTGGAAGAGAGGAAGATCGCCATCAAGGTGGTGGTGTTCATGCTGAAACAGCAGAAGCGGAAACACCCGAAGGTATGAACGGGTATTTCACACGTGCGTAAATATCGTAGGTATCGTAGGAATATCCGGTCTCTGCGTAATCTCGTACCGCCGGAGGAGAAAGGATCGAAACGTTCGTTTCCTCCAGGTGACGATCGACCGGCGCAGCCTGTCGAAGAGCAGCTGCGCGCCGAGCGAGGACGACGGGGGGAGCGTCGTGCCCGGCATGAGAGCGGACAACTCTTGGCTCCAGTACAACCAGCAGACTCGGCCGCTGACCGGCGAGCAGTGGGACGAGTCCAGGTACGTTCATCTGCCGTACGTCGGCTATTACGTCTGGCCGAAGGTCTTGGAGGTGTACGCGCCTTCGTGCGAGCAGCCCTGCCTCGACCCGGACGTGCGCGAATTAACCGACTGCGAGAGGGAGGTCGACCTCTTCTTCGGCGATCCGCAGAACGTGAAGAAGCTGATCGATTACCTCAGCCTGGAGGAGAAGAAGGGCAAGGACAAGTTCAACGCGTACAGGTGCTTCCTGTTCAAAGGCCTGTTCCGTAACCACGGTATCGTGCACCTCGTGCACTTCCTGCCGCACCTGCAGCGGCTGGTGACGGACAAGCACGAGAGCAGCCAGCGATGCGCCGCCGAGATCACAGCCGGGATCATACGCGGCGCCAAGTACTGGCCGTTCTCCATCACCCGCGAGATGTGGCGGTCGCTGTTGCCGATCGTGCGGACCGCCCTCTCGAATCTCACGGAGGAGACCATCGTCGACTGGGGTATGTGCTTCGCCACGGCGATGCAACGCCGCGACCCGAACCGGCACCACTGGCTGCTGGAGTGTCTGATGGAGGAGGCGCCCCTGCGAGACTCGGAGTCTTCCTTCGTCGAGTGCGGCCGCCTCTACGTTCTGCAGAGCACCCTGAACCAGCAGCCGTGGCGGGTGACCGAGCTGCTGCGCCGTCTACTGCTGCGTCTGGAGAACCGGCTGCTCACCAACCCTTTCCAGAACGTGAGGGAGCGGCTGGGCTCGGTACTGATCACCGTGTTCGACGCCGACCTCAGCTTCCCGCGGCGGTGGCGCGACGCGACCACGCCGCGCGCCCAGGAGCTGATCGACAAGATCGTGCCGAGGCTGGAGCGACTGGTGGTCGAGGACGACGACGCGCCCGTGATGAACGGCAGCCGTGGCAATTGCGAGAAGGAGGACAGCCTGTCGGAGAAGGTGGCCAGTGTGTCGTTCGACGAGACGAGACGCCAGTCGTCGTCGTCACGCGTCGTGGAAACGCCCCTCAGGACGGAGGAGCAGGAGATGCCTCGACGGTTGCTGAAGACCGTGTGCAAATGGATCACCGGTAGCGTGTCGCGTTCGGCGTACAGCGCGACGCCGGGATTCTACCAGATATTCCCGGTGGTCTGTCAGTTGGAGAGCTCGGAGGCGGACGAGGAACTGAGGAAGTCGTGTCTGTACACCCTCGCGAGCCTCGCCCAAGCCTTCACCCTGCCGGAGGACATGCCGACGGCGTTGACCTCCGTGAAAGCGATATCCGAGCGAGCCTCCTGGTCGGCCAGATTCACCAGTCTGGAGTTCCTCCAAGTTCTGGTCTTCCACAACATGAGCATCGTTCTCAGCAACGCCTCCTGGGTCGACATGGTCGAAAGCATCGTCCTACGCTTGCTGGAGGACGAGCGTCTGGAGGTCAGGGAGAAGGCCAGTCAGGTGCTCGGCGGCCTCTTGCACTGCACCTTCGTCGAGGATCAGGAGAAGCTGCTGGTGAGTGAGCCGCCGCCGGGTTGACGCTCTACTTCCGGCTTCTTTCTTTCCTCGCGTCACTTCGCCTCGTATGTGGCGTCGAGCGAGACACGTGTCTCTGACACTCAAGACCGTTTCTCATCCGCAGGAGGAGTTCAAGAGAAAGGCGAGGACCCGATTGCGCAAGAAGAACAGTCCCGTCGACGAGGATGCGCCGGGAAACGCGAAGATCGACGCGATACGCGTACGTCACGGCGGCGTCCTCGGACTGTGCGCCTTCATTCGCGCTCATCCGTACGACGTGCCCAAGTACATACCCCCGGTCTTCGAGCATCTCGGACTTCATATGAACGATCCGCAGCCTATACCGGTAATTNTTTTTTTTTTTTTTTTTTTTGAGGTCGCCGAGATTTGGAGCCTGAAATCGGGTTTTCAAAACAACGGATCCCCAATATGGAGAATCCAAATTCGCATAAACGTACTTGGAACCCCGTAACGAGCGAATCCGCCCGATTTGCAGATGACAATAAGGAAGACACTGAGTGATTTCAAGAGGACGCATTACGACGGCTGGACGGGCATGAACGGCCACGCGCAGCACTTCACGGAGGAGCAGCTGGCCGTCCTGCAGGATCTAACGGTGCCGCCGTCGCATTACGCTTGATTAAGGGAGATTAAGCCGTATATAGTACAATCTTCGCAATATCTCAACGCGGACGTGAAAAACTGGCGAACATTAATTAATTACAATCGTCCGGGAGAGAAATGTAGCCGTTAAATATCGAACGAATGACACCTTGAAATATGTCAATATGTACTTTTCACTTTCCGTTCTTCTACTTTTTCGCATGTAAGGGATTATTAACGCCTTCGCAGGATGGACGATGACGCGAAAGTAATCGAATGCGCGAATGTGACTAAATGTCCCCTCCTCCCCCCCCCCTCCCGGAGTTTTAACCGATATTTGTATGTATTGTATGTATGTATGTGTAGTTAACGTCCGGATCATCATCCAAGGCCTATTTGTAACTTAAATACTTCCGGAGGTGTGAAGAAAACACGAGTGTTCACGCAATAAAGTTTAAGGTGAAAATTTATTCAGACGCAGCACCATCAGTCGAGAAGCTTTCGATCGAATTTTGTCACACGTGTTTAAAGCAGAGGGGGGGAATGGAGTTCAATTTTTCTTTTTTACTAATATATAGAACTTTGTTAAGCACAACCACTGTATGTGTGTGTGTGTGTGTGTACGTGTGTAACTTGACATAAATGTGATTATTTTTTATAAACGTGCTTTTAAGCTTTAAGGCTCCGGAGTGGTCAGCACGAGAACTCCGCGGAATTGAAAGTAGCGACACAGTTCAAAACGGACGAAAAGATGAACCAATAGAGGTGCGTCTAGCAAGCGCTACAAATCAGCATCGAAGCGTTTCTCTTTCTGTTTATCTATTTTTCGGGTCCGAATAAAGGAGAAACGCTTCGAAGCACTTTATAGCGCTTATCATCTGGACTGTGCTTAAACGCGTGATGAGTGACGCGTTGACAATGAAATTTCATTGTTGCGTGCCATTTCATTGTTGTTTGTTTAATTGTGCCAGGTGTGATTTGTGATATGTATTTGTTAAATCCGTAAAAATGGACGAAAACCACAATCAGCCTGGAATTTTATACATATGAGCGATACTTTTCCACTCCTTTCGACAGCTGTGAAATCTCGTGTGTCCCACGTGAATAAGGGCTTTATTTCGCGTACCTTTTACGGCTATTTATTTATTGTTCGAGGAGGGAGGGGGAGAGTTTTCGTCCATTTTCACAAGTATCTTCAAGCGATTTCAAATCTGTCGTTTTACCTGAATATCTTTTTACTTACTAAATGGCACGCATCGTTTCTCAATCTGCGTCATTTCTCGCCCTCGTTACGTCACGAATCCAATATGGCCGCGGCGACTATTCCCCGGAGCCTTTTAACGAAACTTCTCACCGTGTTTTTTACACAAACGCAATATTATCGTAGACCTTTATACTTTCTATGAACTGTTATATTTCCAGTGGTATAAAAATATCATGGACAACCTCGTTTTTCTTCGAAGTAACATTTACATCGCAGTATACTTCATCTTCTTCCTCCTGTTCTTATTGGCTGTGTGTTCCGCAGAAACCAGGAGTATATTTTTGTATATCCTTGACAGTTAACGTTATAAATGTAAACTTAAGGGACTTCATGGGAACCAAAGGCAATAATGACGAGCTATCCGAGGAAGCTAATAAATTCTCACGCATAAATTTCCTCCGTTTTCGGCTTCGTAAAACAAAATGGCTGCAGCCAGGATATACCGGAGTCTCAAGGTTTCCGAATTATTCAGCCACGAACTCCGTATTTTTCTTTTTTTATGCTACGTAATCTCGTACGTTTCAAAACCGAAGTAGCTTTGGTTGATTCGCCTCTACGATGACGACACGTGTATAATTTTTTTTTTCAGTTGCGATTAACAGAGAAATACTCTCCTCGATGTACACACCTATTACTATTTATTATCGATACATTAAATTAGTCAATATCAACATGTGCGTCACTGCCACTGTCCAGTGAAGTCACCGTCTCGTCGTCGGCCTCGAGCTTTTGCGCGCACTCCAATTTCATGTGGACGCAATCCTCTATGAAGGAGGCCGTCAGACTGCCGTCCAGGGTCTTCAACGCCCTGTCGTGCACTCGACCGGCGTTCCAAGGCTCGCCGTACTTCCACTCGAATTTCATCTGGTCCAGCCAAACGGACTTGTCTTTCGCGCCGAACAGGTGCGTCGCCAACTCGTGAGGTCGCCGTGCATGTTTCACCGAGACGTCATTAGGTTGCAGCGCGACTTCGAGCGACGCCATTTTTTTGTGCAATTCCAGATTTAACGGCGGATCCAGGGACATGCTATTGTACGCCTCACGAGCTGCTTCAATGCCTGGAATGATAATGAATGTGTATTAAATTGTGTGTATGTGCGTGTGTGTGTGTGTGAAATAGACAGAGTGTCCGATGTAAGGCGTGTCAAAGCACACAAAAACATAAACCAACAGCTCAAGAAGCTGAGAAAATAGAGAGTCGTCCTTCCTGACGACGTCGGAAGCGCGAGTAAACGCATGTTGAGAAAATTCTTGCGAAATACGTCGAGTTGAAAGAGCATATCCATGGAATGACATCGATTTATCGGACGCATTCTTTCATTTCGACATATCGCGAAACGCGTCGAATAGAAAGTGTCTCGAAGAAACCAGTCTCGAAAGCTAGGATGTGTGTGATATTAACTCGACCAACCTTTCGTCGAGGCGAGCCAGTCAAGATAAACAGGCTTTATATCTTTGGCGATGAATGCGTGTGCCTGTAAAGCGGCTCGAAACGTCTTCTCGGTCTTCACCGAGCTCTTCATTCTTCGGACATGCGAAATCCGCATCTTCCACAGAGGCAGCGCTTTCTTTCCCAACATTTGCGTCGCCTGTAACAATCCACAGTCTCTCTTGTACGAACCGTCGAGTTCACTATCAGGATGGATGCACAGTAATAAAACCTTTCGCTAATAAGTTTTGTTGTGTCGAATCCTTTTCCCGGCCAACCAGATTTCCGGATTCGATCAACCAATAACCGCAATCCACTTACCTTCGGGTATATCGCGGCCACTTCTTTCCCCCGGCCCGAGACCAGCAGGTGTTTCATTCGCGCGTACCAAATGACGACGCTGTTCGGCACAGCGTCGGTCGCCTCGCGCAGAATCTGACGCAGCTTCTTCTGCGCGTTCACGTCGCCCGCTTTGGCGCTCAGCATATCGAACTGCGAGATCAAACGGTTATTTCTCACTTACACGCTCGTAAGGAAGCAGTCGCAAGTTGACAAGAGCTGCCGAGTTACAAACCCAATATAAATAATGTTTCTCCGTCAGCTTTCTCGCCTGATGTGCTTGCGAGAGGGCGATTTTCAGGAGCTTCCTCTTGAAATTCGCCAACGACCGCGAATCTCGACTGATATCCAGCAGGCATTCCACGTAAAGATACCACATCTCTTCGGTGTTGATGTCCTTCAGAGCCGTTTGATAGATATTGCTGCAGGAGACGATGCGATCTCTCAACAGGACCTTCTTCTCGGGACTGGCCGCTCTGTCGACGTTATCAGGTCGCGCCGGCTTCCTCCTCAACTCGCGACGAGCCATCTTGTCCCACGTTAGAGCCTCGTGAGAATAATCTCGCACCATGTCGCTGTAACAGCGAGTCAAAAGCTGTTCAGCACCGTGTGAGGCACCGGAGACCGTTTCACGTGCAAAGGAGAAATACTCGACGTTTGTCTTCAAAAAAAGTTCGCTGCATTTATACCTGATCATTTTCTCCTGCAATTCCTCCGTGTTGTCGTGCTTTTCGGCAATGGTCAGCAACTTAATTGTGAACCTGACATCGTTGACATGTTGGACGGCCTGCTGATATATCAGGTACGCCTTCCTCAGAGGCAACAATATCCTGTTGTCCTGTCTCGCTGTTAATGCTGAATCGTCCTCCTTGTTCTCAGCGTTCTCAGCGTTGTTAAGTGCAGTCTTATAATCGTTCAATTCAAGTCTAGTGAAACAAATATAGTTGGACAGTGATGGCGGAAAGTTGTGAGATAATTAAATCAAATCGGCAGTGGCGTAGCCAAGGGACCACAGCTGCCCCGAGATTGTCAATTTTTTTTCTATTAATTAGCTAATAAGCGAGAAAGGAGAATACGGAACGAAATTATACTCAAAAATATTAATTTAATTAATGAAATAAATATAATAATTTTAATATTAAAATGAAATAATCGGATGACGAAATTGGGCTGAAAGAATATAACGATTTTTAAGACTTCAAATTTCCTTTCTTTTTTTTTAGTCGTCCACTCGCTGCACCCCCCGAAACTTTTTCCTAGCTACGCCACTGCCAAATATTCTTGCTATCGCTAACCTAAACGCTTCTATGTATAACAACTGCGATTTCGAATGCAAATGCAAGCCGTTGAGAAGGAGGTTTCGTGCTTTCTCTTTGTCATTGTTCTCTTTCAATTCCCAACACGCCGCTATGTGCCAACATCTCGGCTTATCTCCGTGCATTTGTAACATCCTATTTAACGTGTGGCTGATGTTGCTGTAAAAATGCTGAGAAACGTTGGATTTAGAGCAAACTAAACAACTGCAGAAATTCATCATCTTGCTACTTACCAATTCTTTGCAAAATGTTATATAGTCAAGCCATAATGTGATATCATTGAACTTGTTTATTGCGGTTTTATATAAATTATTGATTTTATTTGCTACGGCAAAATCAATATCCGACTTCTTCTTCATAATGCCGTATTTCTGGAGAGAAAAGAATGCACTTAATGTTACTAATGATCTTATATCAATGTTATTTCTTAAGTTTCCTTATAATACAACCTTTAAATTCAACGTGTCGATGTATGTAAATTACTTACAAGCCTACGCTGTTTAATCAGCGCCAGGAGATCCTTCTTAAAGTGTATGTATTCCTCAAAGTCTCGCCTGCACTTTGCATAACGTTGAATTTTGTACTCAAATTCCTTGTACTTCTTGATGACAGTCCTGAAAAATTGAATTAGGCGATTAGTGCAATGCTCAGGGCAAATCTATGGCCTGTATCGATAAACATACAATAATGTCAGCGCACTAACAACAAGTCAAAGCTTGATTATCAACTTTACTTAACAGAGCACAGTTATCACCACATTTCAAATACAAGCGTTATTCGAGAATTCTCATATTTTCTGGCTTGTTGACGCGCTAACATCGTCGTACAGTCCCTGGTCATATTATCGGACGCACTTTGAATCCTTCATAGAATAGGTTAGGAGGAGAAGAGAAACTGATTTTATTTGATTAGAATAATTTCCGGTGTCAATCAGCGCTTTTTCACCTCTGAAAGCTTCAAGTCACAACATAAACAAAGATAAAAATTTCAACTGACATACACACACAGTCAAAACTGACGTCTGTCTCGTTATCAACAATGCAACTAGCAGGTTCATACCTTGTCATTGTGAACAGTCGAGTGAAATGACGAAAAAGAAGATTTTACAGAATAACGATTCCTTAACATTTCGATCGACAGACGAGCCGTTTTATAAAACTGGTGCTCGGAAGTCGATGAAATGTAAGAAATAAGGTTCGTCTGATAATAATATAGCCGGGGACTGTGCGTACGTACTGAATGTACAGGCCTGTATGTACACCATTTGTCTTCGGCTTACTGAATCTCGTCTTTATTGAAGAGCTTGATCCTTTCCATTTGCTCCAGCTCGGGAATCATATCCTCGCAACGCTTCTCCACGAATTCCGCCATCTCTTCTCTCAAGTTCTTCTTCTTCTTACGTTAGCACAATCGACACGATGTCGTTCGAACCGCTCGCTGGAACGGCCACGTGCCTTGTGACGCTTCGACCAATTGTGCGTGATACCGTATCCCACGACTGTTCGGCGCGCCATCTGTGCACATTTTTAACAACTATTTGGCCGGTAAGGCCCGTATCAGACTACGATATTGAGAATTGAGATTGAAATGAATTTGGCCAATCATTGTAATGGATTAGTCGTCGGATAGAGAATATCTAGAGTCCTAAATATTTTCTCTAAATGTAATACCATCCGCAATGAGCGAACATCGATGTTCTTTTAAATATCGATTATTTTATCCATCCCTAGATTACCGTCTAGAAAAGGCCTTTCCGATGTAGAAAGAAACATAGGGAACATTATTATCGACTGTTCGTAAAATCGCATTACCGACAGAACAGCTGGTCGTTAATCGAGACTCATCGGAGTTCTCTGTCCACATCAGTGATGGCGGTAAGGTCTAAATTGTTCATCGTGATAAAAATTAAGATTATTTCCTCCGTATAATTTGCAAAATTTTGTTCTGTCAATACAGGACACGATTGTTCAACTGAAGATTCCCGAACCAGCTTAACAACACTGACGTATAGTTGAACAAATAATCGTTGCCCACTCGATTATTGCTTCTCTTGTCGTACGAGTAGAGGGTACGTAACACACATACACACACACACACACACATACAGAGAATGTACGGATATACCATTGTATATTTAAATTACACAACACACAGATTATACAGCATCTCGTAAACATTATAGACAAAACCGTAGGAAGTCGAAGAAGTAGGAGGTGCGTACGAATTTGATTTTCGCGCTTCGGAGATCGCGCTCTCGACTCTATTGCTCTGCATAATTGCAAATGAGGTATATTTCGCGTTAAGATTAAGGTAATCGTAAAGTCAGCCCAAGAGGCAAACTAGAGCGAGGAATCGCTGTCGTTGGGAAAAGTGGAACGAAGGAGGAGGGGAGGGGGCCCGGACGAGAGAGAGAGAGAGAGTAAGAGTGGAGGAAGAAAGAACGCAAAAAGGAAAAATGGAGGATGATTACGACAAGGAAGAGAGACGCGGAGTGTTTTTTTTATCGGGAATGGAGGGAGGTAAAAATCAGACGGTAGTGAAGTATAAAGAAAAAAGATGAAAAAGAAAAAAGAAGGGGGGGAAAGAAGAAAGGGAAAGGATAACACGTGTCGCGCGAGAAAACGAAGGACTGAACGAGGATGATGAGCGAGGAGATCCCTCCTCTCTTTCGGAAGGATGTGGAGGTGAATACGGACAGGCGGACAGGCAGATATAAATAGACACGTTACTTCGTTTCCGTCTAAATGCTCGACTACGTAAAACTACATACATAATCGACCCGACCGATCGATTACAACGATCGAACGCACGCATATTGTGTACAAAGCAGCTATTTAGGACAACAATTTTTGGCCTCCTGCGCGCGCTCCCGAGGTGGGACGTGTGTGTGTGTGTGTGTGTGTGTGTGTGTGTTCGTCAGAACGTAACGGAACGTCCGAAATACGCAAAATCGCTTTTCGCCGATGCCCCTTTCTCTCTCTCTCTCTCTCTCCCTCTCTCGTTTTCTCTTTCCAGCGCGTCTTAGCGCGCCGCTAGTATCAGGGTCAGATGGTAACTCACCGTGGCACGAATTTTCTATCTGGTAGTTCTCGTGTCGCGCGCGAGGGTAAATTTTCGCGAGAGAATTCCGCCGAAGGGCGAGATAGATCTCACGCTCTCCGGTCGCTCGACGAAGTACGAAGGCCCGAAAAAAAAAGAAAAAAAAAACTAATGGAGTTGTTTTCTTTGTTTTCTTTTTTTCTTCATGGGAGCATTAGCAACGCTGAGAGAATACGTATAATTACATGTACAATTTGAAAAAAGTTTAAGTACGATAACCGACAGAGGGAGACACACACACACACACACATACACACACTCACACACATATATATATATATATTCGTTTATATTTACAATTTATAAGAGAAGGTGGTAAGGCTTAAACTTGCTTGCAAGCAGTCGGTGAAATTTCACTCATTTCGCTGTGAAAACAGGAATTAATCGAATGTGAAATCCTTTTTTAGGCTTCTTGCACATTGTATATTAACGGGAAAAATATACAGGATACCTCCCAGAAAAATGTATACACACCACACATACTTTGATTATAAAGTGAGCGTTCATTAAAGTACAGTTCATTTTCGAGATTTAAAAGAAATCTGCAGTAATTTTTTTTTGTCAACGCCTGTTTTCAAACTAACGGCCGTTCTCGTCCGGGCGGATAACGCGAAGCTGTCAAAGTTTGTGTATACATTTTTTGGGGACACCCTGTATATTTAAGGAATTAAAAGATATTAACATACTGCCCGATCCGTTGCCGCAACCTCGGGCTTGTATCTTACAGTTCGAGTTATGTATCTCACTCACACACACACACACACACACACACACATTAGCTGGCAGTCATAAAAGTCCCTAGAATTGTGACCAACCTCGAAATCGGGGGCAGAAATTTCCTGGTCATCTTTTCCGGTTACCCGATAAAAAAGAAAAGTATCTCGATATCTTCATTCATTCTTAAGTTATACTTGCAAAATCACGTATTGCATAAGCAATTATATATTGATATGTTTTTCTTTTTAATACAATTTTATCATTAATATATTTTCTTTTTATACGGTAAATATGTAGTAACATGAACAACCAGCACGAGAGGAAATCTCGTATTTAATTAATTCCTACACCTCCGTGACGAATGAGTGAAATTTCCCGCGATTTTCCACAAAAAATTCAAGCCTCGTCCGTTCCTCGCTCGACGCGCAATTGTGGCGCATCTTTCTCTCTCCGTCATCCGGGGCAGGAACGATCCGAGTGGGTCGAGACCGACACACAGTTCGAGGATCCGGACCGATTTTCTACGGATCCGTCCCTGGCCACGCGCGTTTTCGCACGCGGACGCGAAAACACGCGTGTCTTTCGCGCGAAAACGGTTCAGGACGATGGCGAATCGGCGATGGGAATCGCTGATCGCCCGCGGAGAGCACAGAATTACAGAATTCCCGGGCCGCATACAATATACAAATAATATTACACTAACTACATCGGCTGTCGTCGCGCGATACGTCAGACTCCTGCGCGTGCCTTCTGCGTGTGGCCGCCTTTCCTCTTTTATTTATTTATTTATTTCTTTTTTTTACACGTATACACAAGCACGTACACATAGAGACTACCGTGTGCAGAATACGCATATATAAANGGGGGGGGGGGGGCGGCAAACACACGCGCGCGCGCATATATATCAGACGTACACAAATTAACTCGGGTACCTTCTCGTTCGTGAAACCCAAAGGTTATTTACTTCGAAAGAAAGTCAACGTACAAGTTTAACGTTCGAAATCATCTCAAATTTGTTTCCCATCGACTTTGCTCCGTCTGTCGAATTCAGCGGAACGAATCATTTCCAGATGGACCGAGCGGTCCTCTTTCTTTTTTATTCAATCGAAGTGCAGGAAGGACGCCTCGGATGCTGAAGACATTTTATAAAATATTGTGTTAAAAAATGTTTGTAAAATCCACGTGAAATCGAAAGAAATTTCGATTTAACGTTTTCTCGCTTACTTACAGGGAGTTGCAGGACATTAAATGCGAAGGCACCGAATCGTAATTTTTGCACACCTAATACGCCGACCGTCGGCACCTTATCTCTTTCTCTCTCTCTCTCTCTCTCTTTCAAGATTCTCTACGCGCGAATTTGTACATAAAGCGTCGACGATACCGTCCGTTTTCTCACACACGGCGACACGACGGTGATAACGGCGTGACACTATCGCTCTCTATCTATCTATCTGTTTCTGCGCTATCGAGGCTCGGTAAATATCTCGGGCGACGGCGGATTTTGCGCGACGACGACGACGGACTATCGAAATGACGCGAGACGCGAGAGAGTGGATTAAGCATCGACTTTAAGCGCTCGAGCGAGCGAGCAACACGTCGTCGTCGAGAGCCGACACGCGGATCGTTTACACGCGACAAACAGGATATATCTCGATCGCGGTATGCAAGTGGCGGCTAAACGGCCGAGAGATAACGATAAATTTCCGCGGCGCGATAAAGCGCGCCGCGGCGCTTTAATCTAGCGAATGATTTCGCGAAAGGATTTCGAGGACGCCGCGACAGGTCGTGCGAGTCAAGTGAAGCAAACACCCTCCTTCCTCCTCCTCTCGTGCGGTTATCGAGGGAACCGTCGCGCGCGGAAAAATGCGGATAAGGATAGCAGCGGGCTATCCGTCTCTTCGGTGTCAAATCGCGATAAAATAAAGCGGGAACACCGTGCAGGAATGTAGCCGCGAGTAAAGGAATTTCGAAAACCAGGTGTTGTTCCGGATTATAAATCGTCGTAGGGACGAAATTTGTCAGCGAAAGATCGAAGGAAACGAGCAGTGAGAAGTGTAAAACCGAGGTACGGAAACTCGTCTCGATTATTATTTTTTATTCAATTTTCCGACGACTTCTTTTCCACGCTATTTCGACCTTTTATCTCGATTCTTCGACTCGAATACTTTCGTATTCTCGTGACATCGGGAAATCCAATCGCAAATTGTCATCGATTTATCGCGAAGCTGTACTGGATGTGGTTCCAGTTCTCGCGACTTTGACTCTACCGAGAGACATTCCCCGAACGATTTTGAGAGAATGAATGTTTCTTCGGCGGAAATATCGTGAGGGGTCGTTGTTTGCGACAACTTTCCGGTCTTCAACGATCAATAACGATATCTTTACAACCAAGTTTCAAATTAAAGTTCTGTTAAGTTAAAGCCCCTTTTCGAGCAAATCGGGGGAAAATAATTTTGCTGCCCGTTTTCCGGGTCGCTCGAAGCTGCCGGTTCGCGAAAAGCTTCGTTTCTTCAGCTTGTATCGGCGCCTCGACGAAAAGTCAACTTGAAATCGCTCAGGGAACCTTCCGATAAGATCAAAATCGCGAGAACTGGGATACCTTGTGTACACCGAGAGAAATCCGACTGAAATTACAGTAATTTTCGGCCTCGACTGTATCTTCTTTTTTTTTATTTTCACCCAAAGAACAGCAGTATGCATTTTTTATCACTACAGTTACGGTGGAAGGACGGTCTTCCACATGGAGGAAAGAAATTTAGTTGAATCAACAGTGACGATGAACGAACCGAACGCCTTTTGATTTTGGAGCGAGCAAAATTTCCGTTTATGAGAGCCATATTTAATTGAAAAAAAAAAAAAAAACAGAAATCTTGCTTCCCTTAACCGAAACGCCACTCGTTCGTTGGATAGGCCAGTTCAAGCATGCTCTTACCTCCGTTCAACTGTAATTCTTTCACTTCTTACGCGATTGCGATAGTCACGAATGTCAACAATTTTTTTCCTAGTGTACCGATATATATCACATTCGAGTGGCCAGTTTCGCAGAACACACTGAGGAAAAGATATCTTCAAATTCGTGAAATTTCATCGTCAAATTCAAACAAATTTCATCATCGGTACGCTCCGGAGGAAACTAATGTTTCGATTAACAAGTACGATATTGTTTTTTTTTTATTTTCACCCACTTTCCAACGAAAATACGTATATTTTTCTCAAATAAAAAAATTCGAAACGAAAAGTAATTTTCTTCGCAAAGAAATTATTTGCTTCATCTCACATATTCGTCGTAATCAAAATGATACTCTATTCAGTTGAGAGATATTATGTCAAATAATAGCGTTCTTTCTTCGTCAAATAATCGAGTTCTCTCGAATGAGACAATAATAAATTTTTCAACTCAAACAAATAATACCTCGTATATGTGTTGTCTCTACGAAAACAGTAATTGTTTTTAGTTCAAATAAATAGAAATGCTAAATCTGAACGAGACCTTTTTTCCCCCCTGTCGCGGGAAGATATTTCAGCGGAAAAGCGGGAGACTGCTGATGCGAAATTTTGAAACGAACGATACCACGCTCCACGTTTCCACGAGTATTAGCTTCACTTCTCCCGTCGACCCGACGGCTCGGATCCATCTCTGGACGTGAAGTACGAACGATACTTATTGAACGGAGATCGTAATCCCTCTCTCTCTCTTTCTCTCTGCCTCGCGATCGTCCGTGAGCGTATAGCGCGTGTATGACGAAATATTTCCTCGCGGAGCACCACCCACACCGAGGATGTGTTTCATCATAACCGCTTAACGCTGACGGTGAGCGTAACCGAAGCCATCGAGTAAAGACGGTGTTGTTCGCTTGATCGATGCTCCCCGCTAATACATCGTGCCGATAAATCGGGACCGATCGATGATCGCGAGTCCGACCGGAAACTCGAACGAAATCTTACACGCCGGGAAAATCGCCGGGAATATCGAGGAAGCGAATTCGAACGCGAGCAGAAATGAACCTGACGTGACCTCTGTCTTTCTCGAGCTTCCGTTGTTCACCCCGGGAACGTCCGAGACGTCCGTCATTTTCGACAACTGGGATCGAAGCGAAAGTGAAGTGAAATTTCTCGCGTTCCTCTTTGCTCCTCGAATCCTAAAGAACATTTAATCATGTTTAATCAACGAAAATTACACCTGGTGTGTCACTAGTCAAGTAATGAAAGGAAATAAACAATTGTGAAAAAATATTTTCTTGGCTCTAATCGGCTCGTCTTATATTATTCCTCGACCTATACATCTGAGAGTCCTATTCTCTTCCGTTTCTCCTTCCCCGAACCTTCCAAGAAACCTTTCATTCGTACCTTCTTTCGAAATTATACCCCGAGAGAGAAAGAGGGAGAAACAATCACTTCGATTCTCCGTCGTGGCGATCACTCGACGAAATTGTCCAACGATTTAATCGTCGAGTATTATTATTATCATCATTACTTTTTAAGGGAGTTACTTTAGTAATTCCATTATCCGGGCATTCTCGGTGTGTTCTCCAAACTGACGGATCTCCGTCGGTAAGTACCGCGCCTCGAAGCTGAATGACGAAGACAAGACGTCCAACGCAGGTAGTTAAGGACGAACGAACGGGACACATAGAGGAGAGCGCTCTCTCTCTCTCTCTCTCTCTTTCTTCCCGTCTTTCACTCTCCTCACTTGGTGTGCTGCTTCGGGAGGTGTCGCTTCATGTGCAGCGCGAGATGATCACTCCTGGCGAAGGAGCGCTCGCAGACCGCGCATTTAAAGGGCTTAGCCCCGGTGTGTTTGCGGTAGTGCCGCGTCAATTCGTCGCTCCTGGCGAATCGCCACTCGCATTCCGCCCATTGACACTGATACGGTTTCTCGCCTGAAACAGCCAACGGAGAAACGTGATGATGAGTACACACAGATGTAGTACACACACGTCGGGTTTCGACAGTCCGCGATATGTGTCACGTATCGGGTCAAATTGACCCCTTCGCTTCGTCGGGCGAAAAAAGACCTCTCGTGCGGGGTCTACAAGTGGGCGGTAGGAGTATGTTTGTAAGAAGTAAGAGTGAGAAATTAACCAATCATAGTTGATTATTCTCCTTACATTCGGACACGATTGATCAATTTCTTATTCTTATTTCTTATGAATACACTCCTATTGTAGACTAGGCTTCAGATTTCAGTATCTCACGTGGAGCAAGTTTCAAGTGACAATTATCGATAGTTCCGGTCTACAGCAGGTGTTTTAAGCTCTAAGCTTTAAGAAATTAACCCCGGAACGCGCGATTTACCCGAGCGTCCTGAGCGAGAAGAATGTTCCATGTTCGAGTTTCGAGAACGGCGACCTATTAGAGAACAAAGCGCTGCTCTTTCTGAGAGATAGCTATGGGATGTGATATATATATATATATATAT